CACTTCCCCATGATTTGAAATTGGAAGAAATTCTGTTGGGATCATTGTGCGTATCGGTGACTATACCTGCGATCCGTAGTGTCGACTTACCGCCTGCTGGGTATCCCTTCCCCTTTGACTCGTCACCAGACGGCCGCGTGCGTAACGCAAATCTTTGGGAAAGAAGTTGGGAGCGCAAAACCAGCTACCTAGCCGCACTCTTAGTCACTAAGATGCGCGAGGCGGGTGCTGATCGCTGCGTCGATGAAATATTCCTCTCAGGCGCAAATTATCTGTGCCATGATACTATCCTACAGCTTGGCGTTCCTGGGTTTGAATATCCACGCAGCGATTGGCCTCCTGGCTTCAAGTTTGCAGGGCTAGTACAAGGCCCGCCACCGAGTTGCAAATCCGGAGAACAGCCATCCTCTCCTTCTCCTGCTCCTGCTCGTAATAATAAAACCCCTAACTTCCCTTGGTGGTCTGAACTCACATTTAATACCGCCCTTTCTACCCTTCTACCCTCAGATCCGCGTCGCGCCGCAAAAAAGAAGGTTATCGTCGTCGCGCAAGGTACCGTAGAGATAAACCCCTACGATTTGATCGTACCTACACTGCGTGCCTTCGCTAACCGGTCGGACGTGCTGGTTGTTGCCATTCTCGGGTGGAAGGATGCCAACCTATCTAGCTACGGTGTCGATATTGAGATTCCGGTTAACGCTCGTATTGCTAACTACCTTTCGTACGATGCGGCACTAGCCCACGCTAACGTATGGATACATAACGCGGGATTCGGCGCTGTGAACCATGGTATTGCGAACGGGGTCCCCATGGTAGTCGCGGGCGAAGGAATGGATAAAACGGAAAACTCGCGACGAGTAGCCTGGTCCGGGATCGGAATCGACCTTGGTTGCGCGAAACCATCAGTTGAGCAGGTTAGAGGGGGCGTTGAACGCGTGCTAGAAGATGAACGGTTTACAGAACGTGTGCGGGAGCTACGGAAACAAAGCCAGGAGATAAACTGCTTCGATATGGTTCACAGTGAACTAGTTAGGATAATGAAAACACGGCCTGGCATTAAGCAACGGGGTCTAGAATCTTAATGAAAAGGGTTCGCATTTACTACCTGCTGCCAAATTTTGGCCCGTATTCACACGCAGAATGGTATCAGATTAATCAAGTTGCTTCCTGTAACACTTCCATCGACGATTAACTTCCTAACATCCTCCTATTTAGAGAATGCAGTCCATGGAGAGCCATCTCAATCCCCCTTCCAGTGTTTCTACATATTCGTATAATCAGCTTTTTTTTTTTGTTTGCATTAAGTTATACTTAATAACGCCGTGCCGAAGGGACATGCTTCGTGCCATATGATGGTTAACAAGATAACCAACTTATCAAAACGTGTGCTCCTAAATATAGGCAATAATCTATTGAGAAAGGGTTGATAATTCCGGGTCGATAAGGTAACAAACGAGGCGTAGAATTTATCGAGTCGTATCCTGAGTCTCGGGATAGTAACATCCGCCGGCTAGCACGAGGTTCATACGGGTGAACTGAACCTTCATGACAGGTGTTTTCTTCGTCGGAAACGCGCTAATCTGGTCTGGTGTTATCATGACGTCCTTGCCCTTCCTCTTACCCGTACCGCCAGCTGCACCGCTGGCAGGTTGCGTTGTCTGCCCGCTTTGTTTGTTATCGCCTTGTCCACCTACCGCAACAATTGTGCTATCCCCGTCCTGTTGGTTTGCGGGACGACTGCCTTCGGCCGGCATCTCAACATCCCAAACGCGCACCGTATTATCCTGTCCACCGGATATGAGCACGTTACTCTCAACACTAAAACTGAGTGACCAAATTCCACCACGTCCATGGCCACGGCAACGCTTAATACGGGTAGCCTTATCTATATCCCATAGAAAGATGTTACCACCGATATCAGCTGACGCGAGGATCTTGCCGTTAGGGGCACACTCCATTGCAGATATGTATTCAGTATGGCCAGTAAATATACGAACGCAGTTGCCACTGACCACAGACCACATGCGGATCGATTTGTCTGTCTCGTCAGAAGCTGAGAATACATACGTGCCATTAGGATGCCATGCCACGGCCGAAATGGCGGTGTCGTGGCCGACAAGGAGACGTTGTGCCGATGCGTGGTCTTGCGACCAAACTCTGACGGTTTTATCCCACCCGCCAGTCACGAAGTAGTGACCATGTGGACTCCACGAGAGAGAGAAGACCGGGCCATCATGACCCCTGTATATGCAAAGGCAGGTCCAAACCTCAAGAGACCACAATCGTACTTGGCCATCGGCCGAAGAGGAAAGAAGAAGCTTGGTATCTGTCTCCGGCTGAGGCGAGCCTTCGTAAATATTACGATCTAAGTTGGCTACAGCATCCGAAAAAGCCACGGAATAGACGGGAGCAGAATGGCCGATCAACTTGCGGTTGTTAACTTTCATGTCCTTCTCGGGCCCCAGACGAGACTTCAAAGCTTTGCCGTCAAGAGACCATACGCGAATGTATGATTCTGTAGTTCCTACCGCCACAAGTTCTTGGTCTTTCGAGAAGTCCATGCACGAGATGCTAGATGACGTTAACGCGGAATTCTAAGCTAGCAAGCTAAAGTAATTCTTACCTCCCGAGATGATTGTGGAATGTAAACATGCAAACTGAAACACCAGGGCCTACACCACCGGTACGACCTTCAATTCTGAACCGATCTCGATTTTCTCGAACTTTCTGCATTTCCATGACGACGTCTCTGCTCTTGATGGAGGGTATGGAAATATCTGTTCGCTGTGGAGAATCGCCTGATTCTCTCTTGATAGGATGCATGGCATTGAATTCTTCTACTAATGTAGGTAATCCTTCTCGAGGTGGACGAAGTCTATCCTCTTCTTCCAGCTCAGCAACAACATCGCCCCGAAGATCGGGATCTATCGGGAGTGGTCCAAGCTTCAGGGCGGCGGTATTATCGAGGATGTTGCGGTTGGAAAGGCCACTACGGCTGGAGACACCTGGGATACCCTCTTGGATGTCGACTTCATCAAGTTCTTGATGACGAGCACGGCGGTAAATAGCTTCGAAGCTAAACGGCTCGATAGGACCCCGATCCACAGAATCAACACGACAGTGTTGCTGTATAATATCAAGAACTATGGCTCCGCACTGTTCCAACTCTCGTTCTAAAAAGTGGAATAGATGTCCCGTTAGAGACTTGCTAATCGGAATGACGTACTGGTTCTCTAGATACGCCTTGGCGAACGCGTTCTCCCGGACGTGTACGGAGAGGGTTATGGTAGACAGACTCTTCAACTCGTCATGATGCGTTTTTTGAAACCGGCTCCGGATTTGTTCCATAAGTTCCTGTGCATGAGTATAGGAAGCCTGGCTAACCAAGCGGAGGTAGGAATAAATGAAGAGAGGCCAAAGAATCTTCCCCAGCTCAAACTATCCACGGGTAAGATGACCGTCATCTAGTATTTAGCTAGGAATAATACATACCTTGTAAAGATCGACTCCGTTATCAATCCATCGTGCAAAATGTTTGAACGCCCTCAGATACTTTCCTGCGGGGAGGAACTTGTTTGGGGCCACTGCATCATTATGATCTCGAGGTTTCCCGTTCTCGTTAATATCCTTCACCTCCTGGCGGAATATTTCTTCTGTACGGTTATACCCTTTCTTAATGAGGTAATCGGTAACCTAAACGACGTAATTAGCCTTGTTTAATACTAAATAAAGTACAAGTAAGGTGAAAGGGAAAAGGCAATGCAAAACCAAGCATACTAGTTCATGGAAGGGTCTTTGTGGAGGTTTTGGTGTATTAGAATTCTGGAAACTAGTTTGACTCATGGGGATATGCTCGCCGGAAGCTCTAGGCCTCTTTAGAACCTCATTCTGGAATGGAAGTTGAGGAGCAGGACGTTTAGACATGATGATGAGTTATGAATGTAGATAGAAAATGGTCTGAATGATGATACGGATTTAATAGACCGGTATGCTTGCGCGCGTGTTTTAATCTTAGGCTGGCACAAGATAAATAGATATCGAGTGTTAATTTGGTAATTACCGATTAATGAAGAATATAAGAGATTGGAAAATGGGTGTTTGTAGTGATGGAACAGCTTGCTTCCAGAAGATGGTGACGAAGATGGCGTACGAAATTTGAAGATGATGACATTCAGGAGTGAAAGTTTGTTGTAAGAATAAAAATAACTAGGAGGTAGGTACGTAATTAAAAAGATAAGTTACGGCTTACGATTTGGTTAAGATTCTGATTGCTACTCCCAGTTGCTGTGGAAGCTGAGGATGTGGTGGGGTTGCTAACAACACCTGGAGTTGTAGTTGACGGCTGCGGTTGGGGGGTGAAGTTATTGCTAGATGCACCTCCAGTTCCAGCACTTTGTGGTGCTGGATTAGACATGGCGAAAGTTATACAGGATTCGCGTATTTTAATCGACTATGGGAATATTGATTCCTAGCAACAATAAGCTTATCATCAATACTACATCAGCATTATAGTAATTCCTATAGAAGCTGAATGAGAACCTAAAGATAGCATAAGTAGCGTTAGCATATTTGATGAGACGCGATGGGAAGTTTAGAAGTTTAGAGTTGAGGCTCAAAACTGAAAAGGACAGGCTGATGCAGGTACGTACACAAAATAAGGTTGAAGGCCCCACTAAGGTACGAAGTATTCCCGTGATTTATGATGATGATGCACATGCCAAAAAGTGGTCTGTGAGTACATAAAGCTCAATTAATTGAAGCTTAGATATTTTCTATGTACATAGGACGTACGTACCTACACCTACAATTCCATCATTGTGCCTTTTCTTGCGATGCATCTAAGCATATCATCTTTCTTTTAATACGCAACAAAGCAAAAGTCTCTTAAGAATTTTTCATTCGCGTCAAACCTCACCAACATCTACAGTGTGTTCATGCCTACGATTTTAATACAGCCAAATTTTCCTTAAGCAACTTCTTACCACAGTACAAACCCCACGATGGAGACGGATGAACAGCAACCCCAATTTGTGCCTTTCACCAAGGCTGAGCGCATTGAGCAATTAGGCGAGATCGATCGGGTCCGTTACCTACATCGTTTTATACCTACCTTCTAAAGCTAATATTTAATTAGAGCATCGTAAGCCTGCTACGTTCCACTGCTCAAGCTATTCAAACCCTCGGACGGCAACAATCCCAAGGAGAGGATACTATCATGACAGGCGACAAAGACCAGCAATCACAGGTCTTCCAAAGCTCGATGAACGATTTCCTCCGTACATTACGAGCCGTTAACGTCGGTATGAAACGACAGATATGGGGTCTTGAAGAGGAGCATATAGTATCACTGGAAAATAAGGACGGCCCTAACACTAGGGATGAGGGCGGCGAGGTACAGGGAGCTAGTAATCGCAATGTCCCAATCAAGCCGGATGGAGATGGGAAGATTGGTGGACTCGATGTGGGCTGGCTTAACAGCCGAAGCGACGAGGTTGAGAGGGGTATGGAGACTGATCTCTGGGCCGAGGCCGAATCATTTCTACAACGGATTCTAGAACAACGTGAGACCACTCAAAGCTAAGAACAGAAAACGGAGAAGGGATATGTGATGGGTTTACTTTATGGCTGACTGAGATGTCCCATAGGTACCTAAGCTAGGTAGGTATGATAAGGGTGAAAAAAGGACAGCATTAGCATTCAGCGGCGTTTAAGGAGTACGGGTATACCACAGGGCTTATCCATCTTCAGTCTACCTATATAGTGCATTAGGTACCTAAGCTGAATTATTGTATTTTTATTTTTAAATAGTATAAATTCTAGATGATAAGGTGTTTTTATCAATATTCGTTATTAAAGACGCCATATAATTATCTCTTGTGCTTGTATAAGTGTTCATATATAGATCCCTAAAAGTACCTATAAATTTAGCACATGCCCAGGTGTAAAGGCAGCTTTAGCCCCACTTTGCGAAAGTCGGATGGGAATAGGCTGCCACCGCCGCACCGGCAGCACCAACCGAAAGCTAACGTAACACCTCCAAAAACATCATAGGCTTATCCCATACATGTAGCTTTTATCTACTCTCCTACATAATTTACGACGACCTCAATTCCGCGCCAGCTACGCTTCATTGTCAACTCTGAAGCATACATCATGGATTTGGGAGAGGCGATTCACCTTGGGGTGGTATGATTACCTTATCCTTTATTTATCCTGTATAATTTGCTTAACCATTATCAGATGTTCCATCCCAGTCAACTTCGATATCTCCTACTTTGGACCAAGAGGGTCTGTTTATTTCACCCTGCCCACAATATACTATACACAGTCGCTAACACTAGGTGAATTATATAGAAAGTTCTACAAAGACTCAAGATGCCGAGACCTCGCAGCAATCTCAATCTTCTGTTAAGTCGTCCACCAGCCGCCCTTCCAGAGGTCCAGTGCGTCGCCTAGTAGCCCAGCCGACAAAACTCGAAGCTGTCGATGATCCTCTAGGTCCTTTAGGTCCTTTAGGGGCCATTGCTGGCCCAGGCGCAGATGCGCAGGCTGATGAACCACCGGCTCCACCGCAGAAAGAACAGATGGTAATTCGAACAACCATGCCACCACCGGCGCAAAAGAGACCGGGACCTGCGGATCCTCACCACATTGACGATGAAGACTTCGACCGCCCGGTTGGCCCAAGAGCACCTCCTCCTGTACAGGCTGCGCAGCCAAGCCCAATCAGGCCCTCGAGTCAGCCTAGCGTTAGCATAGAACAGGCAGCTAAGCCCAGCTTCCGTATTGCTGTCGGCGACCCACACAAAGTCGGAGACTTGACGAGTTCACATATTGTCTATTCCGTTCGTACCCAGGTATGGCCAAGTACCCGGACTGATACTTATGGTATTACTAAATATACTAACCTAATGGCGGTAGACAACATCGAAAGGTTATAAGCAACCCGAGTTTGAGGTTAAGCGACGATACCGCGATTTCCTATGGCTTTATAACACAAGCATGGGAATAACCCTGGTGTTGTTGTACCGCCTCCTGAGAAGCAAGCTCTTAACCGCTTTGAGAGTAATTTTGTCGAGTCTCGTCGAGCCGCTTTAGGAAGATGTTAAACAAAATTGCCGCACACCGACCACTTCAGATGATCCCGATCTAAAGTTATTTTAGAAAGCGAGTCCTTTAATGTCGATGTCAAACACAAGGAAAGGAGAGAGCCCATACCCGGGGAAAGCAAAGGCGTTCTGGGTTCTCTTGGTATCAATGTTGGAGGTGGTAGCAAATTTGTCGAACAAGACGATGTAAGTTTCTGGATCTTCCTTTCAGAGATCATTTCTAATCATTTATAGTGGTTTCACGATCGACGAGTTTATCTAGATGCTTTAGAAAATCAGCTCAAGGCATTAATGAAGTCTATGGATGTTATGGTTAACCAACGCAAAGCCATGGCGGAAGCAGCAGGCGATTTCTCTGCCTCCTTACATGCTCTATCGACTGTAGAACTAAGCCCTACACTTTCTGGGCCTTTAGATGCCCTATCGGATCTGCAGCTTACTATACGAGACGTCTACGACCGCCAAGCCCAACAGGATGTGTTGACTTTTGGCATCACCATCGATGAGTATATTCGATTAATCGGTAGTGTCAAGCAAGCATTCACGCAGCGGCAAAAAGCTTTCTATTCGTGGCACAGCGCCGAATCTGAGCTACAGAAGCGCAAGTCCGCTCAGGACAAACTACTTCGACAAGGAAGGTCGCAACAGGATCGCCTCAACCAGGTTGGCGCAGAGGTGGCGGACGCCGAACGTAAGGTTCATCAGGCTAGGCTACTTTTCGAGGATATGGGGAGATTGATGCGATCTGAGCTTGATCGTTTCGAGAGAGAAAAGGTAGAAGATTTCAAGTCTTCTGTCGAGACTTTCTTAGAAAGCGCCGTTGAAGCGCAGAAGGAGGTGAGTAAAACTGGCCCTATATTTCTATGAAAATATTGTTAACTCCTTTAATAGTTGATTGAAAAGTGGGAGACGTTCCTGATGCAGCTAGATGCTGAGGACGATGAGACGGTCTTTTACCGTCCACCTGTCTACCAGAGTAATGATAAGTCTACTGGGCGCGGAAACACCGCAGTCGATCGAGCACGGGCTACCATCGATCAAGATTCAGACTAATAAAATTATATGGTCATCTTTATAATTTGATGTCTTTTTTATACGATTTATATGGCGAAGATTCAACCGAGGCTTTGGACAGGTGTATACATAGTTGTACAAATGCTATAGGGGAAGAGGCATTCAGTTGCCCTTCACTCCTCAATCGCTAGCAGCTCTCTCATCCCAAATGTTAGCATACCAAGTTATTATATACCCTGGCAAGCTCCCATCTCGTCATAACACTTCGAAATTCTTTGGTACTACCTTTTAGCTTCGTAGATAACAGAACAGGTCGTCTTCTAGAATATCGGCAGGCTCAAGCTTCCACTTCACTTGCCTATAATCCCCGTCCCTATTTCTTCTTTCCCGACTGTTTGGCCGGTCTGGTCGACTCTTTAATCTGGTCCTGGCTGGTTGAATAGTTGGAGATTAAATCGCTTAGTGCATCGTATCGCCCATCCACAGGGTCACTCTTGCTCGTCTTCTCAGCTGCGGCAGCTAGTTTTGCTGCAGCTCCCTCAGCTCCCTCGACTCCCTCGGCATTTTTACCATCCTCCACAGTAGCAGTAGATGCATCCTCCTCTCGCGCCCCCTCGATATCCCATCCGCGTCCGAACCTGCCGCGGAAAGCAGCCAGCTTACCAGCCTCGTCGACCTCGACGTTGCGCAGGGAGCTGTCGGAGGGCTGCCATAGGATGTGGTTGCGCGTGTCCTTGGTGCTCTTGTATAGCGCGATCGGCGACGTCGTGCGCTGCGTGTATGTCGATCCGTCTGTTTGCTGGACAAGCTGGGTGAAGGTGTACGGTCGCCGCGGTCGACGGATAATTGTTGCAGCTCGTGAGGGTGTGTGAGAGAGTGGTGTGTGCGAGGGTTTTAATGTGGAAGGTTGAGGGGTGTGGATGCTGGTGGTTATATTCGGACGCCGTGATATGGCGCTTGGGAATCTGGCGGCCATTGTAGTAGATGTGTTTTGTTTTATATATCTATTCGGCCCAAGCAGCGATTATAAGTTTACTCTCGTAATTATTCGGTCTGGTGCTTCGATAATTAGTTCGTTCTTTTCGCTGCGATCTCTTTTATCGGCGATATATAATCGATGTTTCTTATGTTTCTTATGCTCGACTTTTTTTGGTGGAGTGGAAGTTGGAAATATCGATCCGGTTAAGCTTGCCGGCCCGGATACGGCTGGCGGATCCTTTATCATTATCGTTATCAATTATCTTATCGGAATTTTTAAGCGGGAGCTCCCTTCTCTCGTCGACCTTGATTTCTTCTTTCAGTCATGATGACGAAAAAAGAGCCAATCGGCCTTCAACAATAGCATTGGTCTTCATGGACTGAAATGAAGAGTCTTGATGGTCTACGGTGGACATTTAAGTCTACAAGGCCACGATATGCTTCCTTTTACACCATATCAAGAGCTCAGGTGAGCTTCTTAACCTGGAAGAGTTCCGGACAAGCCGGTGAGCACAACATCATATAAGAGATATATTAGTATATTCAAGCTTATAATATAAATGCGGTAGGTTCTCCTAGATGGCTATATCACAGCAAAATACTTGAGAGGCCGGTCAAGCCCTCGAATCCTACACGGCATGTACTATCTCAGCCTATGCGCGCCGTCATGCGCCAAATCCCACATCCCGTAGTCGTTATTACGACTCTGGAGAACGCACATAGTATAGCCGAGCTTAGAAATGGATCCAAAGATCAAACTCTACCTCCAGTCCCTAGAGCCATGACTGTATCGTCATTTACGTCTTTATCTGTCGATCCCGTACCGCGGGTCACCTTTAATGTTTCTCTACCGAGCACAACTTATCAAGCCCTTATGAAATGCGGGAGGTTCAATGCTCATATACTCAGTAGCGACGACCATGGTGTTAGGATCGCGGATTTATTCACTCGAGGAAACAGACTTCCAGCAGCCGAGGAGACAACCAAAGACGCGGAACAACCAGACTTAGGTGTCCTTGCGGGTTTGGAAAAGCTCGGCGTTCAGGTGTTAGGGCGGGAGAGATGGCGACAAGAATGGGAGCAGGCTAAAGACTATAGGGAAAAAGTCGCTGCCACTGGAGATGTGGATACGAATAACCCCGATGTCGATTTGCCGCCATCGGGCACTCTGCCGGTGTTACAAGGCCAAGGCGTTATGCACGTGTTGAAGTGCGAATATCGTCACTTACTGCCTCCTGTAGAAGGAGACTTTGATCATCATGCCATTGTTATCGGCGAAGTCCTGGACATAATACCCGGAGAGTCTAAGAACGAGAATAACATCGCACTCGCGTATGCGGACAGGGCATACCGACAGATAGGGGAGAAGCTTTTAGACAGACCTACATCTGACCAAGAATCCTCTTCAAAAAAACAAGGAAATTAAGCTTTCAATGAAAATTTTACACCAATCTATGTCTGCTCCTGGACCTTACCAGGCCACTTCTATAACTCTACGCCTCTCAATTCTAATAGAGATAACGAAATATACCCTTCTCATACATCTGCCATTCTTTTTATACGCAAAATTATATGAGCAGAGTTCTAACCTAGTCGTGTTCATCATAAGGAAGAGGCACCTACAGCGAGGCAAGGAAGCAATATCAAAAAGACTTTCCTTGGTTCTGCTTTCTCAATGTTCGAGATTTTAAAAGGACCTACACCTACCTACCTACCTATCTATGTATACTATGTTACCAAAGTCCAACCCTAGTATTCACTATGCTCAAGGCTAGTCATAAATCAATTACAGGTACCTATATACCTCAAAAACATAGAGTTCAGGTCGCCATTCCTACTACTAAATAATTGTTTAAGTCGGAATCCTAAAACCTTTAAGAGATATAATTACCACATTCAACACTCCCGTCGTCGCCGGGAACCATTTACCATTGTCCCATCTAGTACGCCGCGGATAGCCATCGAAGCCATCAACAGGCCATGTGAACATATTGGTATGTATCAATAGGTACGGTTTCATCAATGGACATGTATGTCGTAAGTGATGTAGTCAGAATTAATTAGTAGCGAGGAGTCTTGAGTATAGATACGCTAAGTAATATCCAAATAGAATTCATCAACGAACGATTCACTAGAAATATTTTTGGTAGTTACATAGTCACAACAAGAGGGAGAAACATATCAGCAGTTGAGCTTTGGCAGGGGCAGCATCTATTAACTCTACATAGTTAATCAAGGAAGAGCATAGGTATTAGAATGATATAAGATCTAGTCTTAACTTGAGCTTAGAGGTTAGTTTGTTCGTGCATGTCTAGATAACATCCTGATCTATCGCCTACGAAGATGGGAAAGCGGGCTTGCACTTATATTTGAACAAGGCTTACTTACCTACAGGAGCAATATCAAACTATTACCTAGATACCTAAGTGTACATCTAAAGTATTATATAATTAATCCGTAGATGCCCCCTATAGATCATATAAACGCCCCTATACCAAAATACCCCAGACGGAAAAGGGGGCAGCAAGTAAAATACTCGCAAATAGCTACGAAGAAATCCTATAGCCGTGGACCTACGAATCCTAAGTCTGCAAGTCTAAGCAGTTTCAATTTGCATCTATACCAAAAGGCCCCCAAAACAACACAAGTCAGGACGCTTAAAACATCTCAAAAAGAGTATCAAATATTGCAAACTGGACATATATATTCAGTTGAGTTTCTAAGTTAACCCCTAATGCCAGCCAGGAGGGGTATCTGAAATCACCTAGCTGACCATCGCGACTCAACACTTAGTCTCTTCTTATTCTAGTCGCTATACAGGAGCCCTTGCGCACTCAGAAGTCGGCCCAGGACCTATCCGTCTCCAATCAAAATCCTCGGGGCGTCTTTGCTACTCGAAACAAAATAGCAGCAAGGCCCTCTTTGCCCCGAAGCAACCCACCAAAACTCGATAGTAAAATGAAGCAGAGGGCAATTATACAGCAATTTGGATGCTAGACTGAGGCAACCTGTGCTCCATGATGGATGAACGATTTACACGCCCTACCTACTCCGGAACGTTCTGTCCAAACCTGCAAACTCCGGTAACCTTTTTTTTGCAAGCACCGAAAGAGAATATAATTAAAACATTTCGAAAAGAGTAACTCGTCTGCAATTTCCGCGGAGATGGCGTCTCGAGAGTAGTGCACGACCTCGATGAGAAGACGCAGAAAAGATGAAATCTCGATGCGGAAGGCGGTGATCCGAAGACAAAGGAAAATGCGATTAGCATATGCGGTGTTGGTAAAATAAAAGCAACGCTGGATATGGCCGAGGTGCGAAAAGTCGTAACTTCGTTCAATTTTTATTCTATATCGTTTGCTCACGCGGATTGTCTTCGAGACGGGGGAAAACCAGAGGGATACCTGTATCAACCATGCCGGGCTGGTTACATTACAACGCAGCAACCACACCCAGACTTGTTTGGTTTCTCTTCTTCGGGTTCTTCTACCTCTGTTGGTACTCTAGGATTTTGAACAGTCTGGATTTGAGGCTGTTGAACCGAACGCGGGCTAGCGGCAGGTGCGCCTTGAATCTTGGGCATCGTCGAGTAAGAGCTTGTACCGGGCCGGCTCGTATTTGGACTCTTAGCACCAGGCCGTAATGGCCATTCTCCCTGTTGTTGCTGTTGCTGTTGTTGTTGTTGTTGTTGTTGTTGTTGTTCCTCCTCGGTCTCCTTCGGCTTCTCAACTTCGGGAGGCTTTAAGAAGCCCTCGTCATTAAGAGGGCGAAACTCTTTATCATAAATATTACCGAATTTGCCTTCCTGCTCCCATTTCTCTTGTTGTAACCTCTTTGCGACGGTAGGGAGGAGCTGCTGGTCTGGAGGCAAGCGAGGATCGGGTTTATATGCGGAAATCATCCACGGCGGATCACCCTCTGGCGCAGATTTTGTTACGGATGGTGACAACTCGCCGGATCGGGTGGTTGGTCGTGTAGTAGAACCACTACGAGGGTTCGGACCTGACCGGGTCTTAGGTCGACCTTGTGAGGTTGTTTTAGTCGGTGCGGTGCCTTTCTTAGCTCCGGTGGAAGTTGTTTTCTTAGGTGATCCTTCCGTAACGGCACGCTTCGTAGGTTGAATTTTCGGGACATTATCCAGCGCGTTAGAACTACCGCTACGTGACCGTGATTTCGGCAATGAGATTGAAGGATCTTCGTCAAGCATAGGGAAGCCTGGCTTGCGCGTTGCTGGCGCATCTCGCTCGAGGAAGTCGACAGGAATTGGCGCTGGGCTTATCTTGGCTACTGGAATACGCGACTTGCTGGCATCGCTTGTTACCCAATACTCGCCGGGGTCCTCTGCTATCTCCGCGGGGAGACGCAAGTCCCAACCCGGACTCTCGACGTCATTAGATTTTTCTAAACTCAGGTCCGAATTTTTTCGAGACCTCGCAACCGGACGCTCCGATGCATCAGTACCCCGCCGGCGTCCGTTTGCTTTTTCTGGGCTACGATCTCGCCTTGGTCTGCTGTGAGCTCTTGGCTTGGGTAAGACAATTCCGGCGGCTTGAAGCTCTTGGTTCTCTATCCTAGCCAACTTATCTCTATGAATCCATTTCGAGTGTTCGTCGTTAAGTTCTGAGGGCGAAACATCGGCATTCGGTCGCTTATGATCAGATTTCGATATGTTTTGACCTATATAGATAATATATATTGATTAGAAAAAATGTCCTACTCACGCTATACCTGACAAAGATATAGACATATGAATTTGCCAGACTCCTAGAATAGAAAACTGACTAACCTTTACTGGATAGATAATCATCTGTTGCATAGGGATCGTAGCTAGCATCCCCATTCGCGATGTAGGAAGGACTTCTCATAGAACCGTTGGTCTCATGTCTATCTGTAGATAGCTTATGCGACGTGGAATTCTGTAAGAGAAAACAAGCATCATATTAGTTTAGATTGGCCAAGTATCGACATATTAGGAGTCCATGAACACATCTGACAATTTTCGTACTGGGCTAAGAATATAGGGACTTACATCATGATAGCCGGAAGATGTGTGATTCCATCCAGAATGATTTGCGTGCGAACTGGTTGGGGGAGTAATAGTAGTGGTGCCCGAAACCGCCGACATAGCCGCCATTTCAAATATAAATTAAGGACAGCCAGTATAACGGCGGATTTGTGGAACTTGAGGCGCTGCCGACCAAATCCAGTGTGACAAAGTATACCGAATATAGGAAATCGAAAAGTCGAGTATAAATTAATGATATAATTTTCTATTCGGGGATAAGTTTGTAGCGATGGAAAAATCGAAATGGCGGCAATGCGGTTGTGATTTTAGCGATGATAGCGACGAGGATGTCGATGATAATAGGAGAGTTAATCGTAGTGGGCGCGTTAAAACAGCAGTCGCCAGCGGCTGTCAGGTTTGGATCTGACGAGGATCGCGAGAATAGTAGCTTTAGAAATGAGTGACGAGAGGAGTTAACCACGAAAACGAGGTATAATCAGAGTTAACAGTTAACTCCAATACCTATTAATTCGTTGTATCCTAACCAATCCCCTAGAAGTCATCCACAACGGACCGAACGGCCTAGACAAAATGCGCAATCCGTTTCCTTTTCCCTTTGTCGTTAATCCTACCAAGTTGTAAGGCAACTAAATGGTTACCAATATTCGACTCGACTCGACTTCCAACCTCTACACGTACACGTACACTCGATACACTCGATCCCTTTCGCGCACGCGCCCTTGTTTCGATCCAATGGGGCAATCACTTTCATGGGAATGCAGACTCCTAAAGGAGACAAGCAGGTGACAGTGACGATGACGATGACGAGGAAAAGAAAAGAGGACGCGGAATGGTAGTGGCTGGGATTAGATTGGAGAGGTGTTAAGGGAGCCGTCGTGGTCGTGGCCGTGGCGTGGCAGACTTGCAACTTGCAACATGCAACTTGCAGAAGCAAATAATGTGGTCCGGGGGCTTGGAAGTTCGGGGATTGACGATTTGACGATAGGAAAACGATGAGATGCATTCGGAAAGGGGATTGGTCAACTTGTTCTCATTTGAGCGATTCATTAGCTTTGAACCTTGAAATGTCCCACTTAGGTCAAGGTCGGTGGTTGGTTGGTTACGGCAAACTTCCACCGCATAAAGTTCTCATTTAGGTACATACCGGGGACTTTTCTAGGGGTACACGTACTGTATTATCGCATGTGATGACCTACATTTGGTGGTTAAGTATTCCGTACAGATTATATAAGGCAAGTCCGGTCCCGTGAACATATGCAGAGAGGTATGCGCGTACGAAGTACATGCATCTTTACATGTACAAAATACTAAGTTTCTCGATACGATAGACCTTACGCACTTTACGCACCTCATAGTTGCATAGACATGTTATTCCAAAGAAGCTTAAAATTCAGTCCCATGTCTTTCGTAATTTATTAAAAGTTACTAATAAGACTTCTATCTCGAATCTCGTTAGCTTAATATTATGCAGGAAAAAAAAAAGAGAAGAAAAAAAAAGGTGAACACCCAGAGCTCAGACTGCCCCTGAATTTAATAAATGGCACTGTGAAATGCAACATTGGAGTACCACGCCAAGCCTCAACTTGACAAGGTTCGGTAGGATCTTAGCCGCTTCATTGGTATTATGCTATCTACATTACCATCGGCGCGGGGTTGATAAGTGACATATTTAGTTATTTACACTGTGTATAACCTCCATTTCTTCCGCTATTTATACAGTTTAAAGCTAGCAGGGTAAACTGTATTCTAGAATACCTTCAATGCAACCCAGCCCTGTCTTTTTCAACTTACTATGTCAGAAAGGCGTCAAAAAAGGTGGCGCACCCGCTACCAACACATACGAAAGTATTATATTTCAAAAAGTCATTTTACACCTAAACCTACCTTTTAAAAATTAAAAAAAATCATAATAAAACTAAGTCATGCAATAATAATTGAATATTTTTTTACTTTTTATCTTAGCTTGGATTGGTATATAATTATAAGTTACATTATTATTATAAAGTATTAAATATTAATGAAGAACCACTTCCATTTGAGGGCTTATTTCCCAATCCTAGACTAAATAAAAAACATAGTAAAATAGGCCATTATCAGGGCTATCGAACGGTATATTTCATAATTAATCTAGTCTTAAATTGGCTGGATTATAGCCGTTAGAAGTTAGAGTGTTTTTTGTATATTTTGGTAGGAAGCGCCACCTTTTTTGACGCCTTTCTGTATGTATGCACATTTTTAATACGGGGTCCAAGCTCTAAGAAGCTAACACAAGTAATCCACTAGGTTAAAGAATAGATCCATATGTTCTGACATTCTGCAAAATACACAAACATCATCATCATCAACCTCAAATAGGAAGCATAACACCTAACAACTTACGGAAACACCGAATTTTTCAAGTACCTAACTTAAGTACTTAAATTCAATTAACTATAGCTATAAATATCTCTCCATTCATAGAGAATCATCACTCTTACGTTTTCTAATTTACCTATCCTTTCCTTCTCTTCATTAAAAAGCAAATTCATTCCTAAACGTTGGTTTGTCACCCATTAATTTCGTGATATGCCTATGTCAAACACTGACATATTCATAAATACCTTATCTAGGTACCTAGGAAGCCGTCATGACTTAAGCTAGTATACATGTAGGTAGGTATTGTCGCGTAAGGGCGCTTAAATAAATTACTTCAATAATCTGTAATATTCGGCGAAGCCCGACGGCACAAATACCTAGCACTGCTTACTGCTCCTTGAATCTCCTTGAATCTCCAGCAGGATGGGCAACTCATCTGCATCTGTGTCCTCTTCTAAGGTCCCACAGCACAATCGACGGACGCGCTTTGTCTGTATATCAGACACGCACAATTGCACAGTGAAACTCCCAAAAGGCGATGTGCTTATCCATTGCGGAGACCTGACGAACCAGGGAAGTTTCGGTGAGCTATCGAAGCAAGTGGCGTGGCTTGAGAGAGCCGACTTTGAATGCAAGCTGGTTATTGCTGGGAATCATGACATTACACTCGATACCAATTTCTTCGAGCAGTACGGAAACTATTTTCATAATAACAATCCCCAGAATCTTACTGACTGTCACAACTTATTAACAAAATCAAACTCGCTCATCTATCTCGAGCATTCGAGTCACACCGTCAAACTCACCTCCCCGTCCGGGCCACGGACCACCTTCAATGCATTTGGTTCTCCCTATATTCCTGACTGTGGGATGTGGGCCTTTCAATATTCGCGGAGGGATCCTGCAATTGCTGAGAATATATGGAGTGATATTCCACTCGACACCGATATACTCATTACTCACGGACCAGCGCGTACACACAGGGACGAGTCTCGTAGAGAAGCGCTAGGTTGCGAGAGTCTACGACAAGCTTTATGGCGAGTACGACCGCGTATTGCGCTCTGCGGGCATATTCACCAAGCTCGGGGTGTAGAGCGTGTTCGTTGGGATCTGTCAAACAAGTTTGTGCGGTATAAAGAGTTGGAAAGTAATTATCAGTGGGAGGACCCCGGCGTGGGGAACGAGAAGAACTGCCTGGTCGATCTCACCGGTAAGGGTGGTATGCCCTTAGATAATGATGGTAGCAAGGTTTCGCTATCATCAATACCAACAGCGTATACAGCTGACGAGTCTGCAAAACAAAATACGACAGGAATCGCAGCGAATATGGAAGCCGTGCTGACAGAAGGAGCGAAACCCGGCATCGGGACCCGTGGTCTTAGTGGAAACCCGGCATCCGCTCGGAGTGATGGACCAGCGCTAGCCGGGCGTCTCGGGCGCAAGGAGACATGCATTGTAAACTGCGCCCTCCAACAAGCCAGCTACCCTCATTCCGGGCCACGGATGCTACACAAGCCTATTGTGATTGACATCGACCTCCCTGTCTGGGGCGATGATTCCTGAGCATTTAGCCACCCCGAACTTCCCGGGTGTGGTTGCTTTCGTATACGCGCATTGAGGCCATGCTAGACGACGCCCCGTAAACTGGTACGTAGAGGTATTAGGCAGAGACGGGTTAGGCCTTTCGAGCGGCTCAAGTCTTGTTTCCTTCGGTTATGAAAGATCATAATTATTCGTCACAAACTATTCATTTGTGCAGCTTGTTTCTACTTGTGTAAGTCAAATGCGGTTTTTTTTGCCTGCGCTTTTTACCTGCCGAGCCTTCACAGGCCATTGTGACGAATGAAGGAACAGCAGTATTTTGAATGGTCGTAGGACCATCCTATATACGCAATTACGACAAGAGGCCTCCCGTGACTTAGTACCAGTTTACGCTGTCATTCTTGTCCCAAAGTTGTATCTATCTTGGATTTTTTGCGTGTCACGCGCAAAAAAAAAGAACGCCACCATGTCGGTAGTCAGTATGTCTCGGATATACGCTTGTAAACGTTCCAAATCTTTGTAGCCTTCAGATACTATAGGTGTTACGGGCCCGATGGATGTCAAAACACATATAGCTACTACCTTCTGTAAACATATTCATCTTATGCCATCAAGCTGTGATCAGCTATTTCTATTTACGTTGCTTAGACTAAAACAGGGGTCATTTTAAAGGAATAATCGCCGCCTCAATTGAATAGCTGATCGTTAAGTTAAAGCTGAGGTCAGACACGTCCATCGTTCCCTCAAGATCGTTTCTCTTTCGGAATAACAGACTACAATCCTAGGAGCATACAAACTATGCAAGGCAAGACTGGAAAGCAATGCATCGGCATAGCTTTACGGGGCCCCGGAAGGCTATCCTATCCAACCACAATATACGATCCTCGGCTTTTGTAGTCAGATATGTACCTACCTCTACCAGCAATGGACGGCTGCTCCAATCGGTGTTTGCTTGCATTGATTACATTTTATAGCATGCACTGTCGTAATTCAGAGAGGGAGATCGTAGAAGTTCTGCGCCTTCTATCCTACGTCCGATAGCCGGTACCTATGTATGTAGGCTCTGCTTCCAACAAGGCCGCGACAATCAGTGTCACACTTAGACTGCAAGACAGTGGGCGGTCTAATCGCTGGTTGGATAATTGGCTGTGAATCCACCAGCATGCTTTATGTAGTTTATTTCGCAAGTAAATATGGAGCAGCTAAAGTCCCTATCTAGACTTCTTATTGCTTCTGATGCAGTAGCGGCTGCTAACCATGGATATATGTATGCAGGATTGCACGGGGCATGAAGGACCCTGATGAAGCCAGGGTCAACGAGGTACTGGAGACGAAAGCAAGAGATTCAAATGCGGGGAAGATCATGTATACAAGTTGCGCCAGGAGAAAGAGAAGGGAGGGAAACTGGGCATCAGAAGCCTTGGGCCAGTTATATAATACCTAAATTAGGTAGATATTCGTTACTTGGAGTTGACATTGTTAAAGCGCCTATCATTCTTTCTCAACCCTCGTACAAATATGCATGACTATCTATATTGCTAGCACTTGTTCTTTAGAGCTTTTGGTAGGATAGGGCGCTTCGTTGTGTGATAATAACAACCAATGTAATTCAGTCTTGTCGTGTATAGTGAATTTCTACCTATCACGATGCTAAGGGTGGGGGGTAAAGGAAGCTTGCATCTGCAGCTATCCAATATCTCCGAATAGACAATGTAACAGAATACTCAATTTAGTTAAGTAAACACATATATAAATGCAGTAACGAATAACAGAGATGACATCCCCTGAGCCCCTGCTTCTTGGTTAGCGGGGTCTTTGCCAATGCGAGTGACCGGACTTCAGCTAAGAGCTCTGAATGGCTCGCGAAAAGATGCATTTGCAAATATTAGCGAAGATGGATGGGGACAAGGCCTGCCTAATCTACCTATTACAATGTACAATACCATTATATGTAGAGGAGACGGTATAAAGGAACGAGCAAGTAGGAAGCACTGCATACCCAAAAAAGATCGGGGAGCTATGTAGAATCCAGAAGTAGCCTCACCTACTAGTAATACACATTAGTTATCCTTCACCGACCGGAAGTGATAGCTATCATGCATCCTGTTGCAGGATGAGCGGGAAATCGACAGGCACACCTCCCGAAGAGCTGGTCTCACACTAACTAACATACCCGCCTGCTTCTTGTCACGTTGAAAGGTTTTCCGGGATCATCCATACAGGTTAAGCGGGCGGTGCCGTAGATGACGACGGCAGGCTTGCTCATCAGGGGGGTTTCTTGAAGCTTCATTAGCTCCCAATAAGCTCCCAAAGCTTCGGGGAGGATCTCGTGCTAGTTATCGGTCATTCCCCTCTGAAGCACAAGAAGGCAAGCTTAACTATCGGCTCATTCGTGCATATGGTTTGACGATCTGACGATGAACTCATCATCGACCCCGCCCCCGCCTCATACGTGGGTAGCGAGAAGGACGATCGTGGAGACAAGCAAGGATAATCACGCACATCATCCCGACATGAAACAGATCGGAAAGATTTACTAGTAGCAGGACGATAGCTCGTGTATAAGCAGGTCTTTAAAAGTAATCAGATAGATAGGTAATTATCTATTCTATCGAGTTCTAGTCGGCCTTTTTAAACTAAACCCCACGGTGAGAGTTATCTTGATTAAAAAGGGAGGCGACCCAAAAGACCCGAGACAGGCCCTTAGTTTAGTAGGCGAGCAACTCGATTCGCTACTCGAGTCACTAGAAGCTGCATCATCGGTCATCCCTGAGCTCTCACACGTTGACCGCCGAGACTGGCTCAACGTGCTTTGTAGTGGAGTTTCTAGACGAACCAGTCGAGCAGAGCCCGGTAGAATAGCTAGCCAAATTAGTCTCCCCTGAAAACTGAGGAAAGCCACGAGAACGGAAAATCAACCCGTAGACCCACGAGCATCCGGACTACTATACTGTATTTATCTATGGTAGGGCGATACAAGGCCGTTATAGACTGTTAATCGATAGCTTGATGTAGTTACGCTCTCCGTTAGGTTCTTACCTTGGTCCACATCGTCCATTGAACTGAGCCAGTCCAGAGGCGTGGACTTGTTCCATGGCATCGATTCGTATCCACCAACTGACGGATCATTGGTCTAGAGTAAGGTCCCAGTTCAGATCCCTTATTAGCTACTTCACCCTCCCTTCTCTAAACCAATCCTTCCCGTCTGACCTTTAGACTACCTCATCTTCCTCATCTTACCACACCATCTCTGATAATTCGTGGCCAGATGCTGAAGCCTCGTGCAACCTACTTCCATGCAGGCTCGTGAAATAGGAGCGCTGCGAGCCGTAAGCTGCTTATAGATCGTGATCACGCTTCTTTACCATAGCAGCCGCACACCACCTTCTTTACCATGCTCTCTACCATACTAACCCATGCCTATGCGGCACTCCAAATGTACCTGCTTTTATGTTAAGCGTCGATTGGTTCCCGATTCCGTAGAGGGACCACATAAGCAACCAACCTATTCTCTCTTGATGCGAGTGTGACAGCAACTTTGCAGCTGGTCCTTGATAGCTGATGCAACCAAAAAGCATTGGCATAGTACTGTGGACTAAATTAACTGGTCGACGGCCGCGGGACCCATTGAGTCTCCTGCGCCTATCACCAGTTTAAACTTGGAGAACATAGGCTGGATTAATCCAATAGGCGCGAATTGCTATGAATTACCAATAAGGACTTCCAAGTTTGGGAATCTATAGAGGACATACGTACCTGTCTAGGTATCACCTGGCTGCAGGATGAAGACCAAAGGGGAAAGGTATTGTTATCCGTCACGACCATACGATAACGGCCAAGTCACTATTGTACTCTTAACTACACTGGGATCTTTGAGAATGCCACGGATCGGTCGGTTTGGATGATGAAGAGATAAGCCTAGTTACATTATAGCTAAAGGTCATATGAGAGGGCGTTACCATCGTGGCCCAATTCGCAATGAGCGCGAACCTGTAAGAATAGACATAGTTCGGATGAACCTAAAGGATAGATGATTATAGCACGACTACCAATATAACTGACTAAACTTCTCTACTAACAATCCTTCCTGCTACTGGAATTGAGGTTCTGAATTAGTCTATTCCCTAACCTAGTTCCTAGTTGAACAACGATAGGTAGAGTTATTACTATGAAGAATATATAAAAATGCTGTACGGCAAGTCAATGCGACAAGCGTGATGTTATTCAATGCTCTGGCATCCGTCTTAAACTGTCGCGACAACGACATGTACTGTTAGTCAATAAATCGTAACGGATCTCTTGCGAATAGCATAGAGTATAATAGAACAAGCCATTGGCGCGGCTGTGCTTTTTTACTCACCACTAAACTTAAGCTCTCGCTGTCTATCACAGCCTGTTTCCTCGCAATGGCGTCTAGTGTAGTCTTCTTTCTACTTCATTATTTTGAGAACCTAACTTTCTAATATACTGGCAGCTAGAACTTCGTCGAGGTTTTTTTTTTATTGATCGATCATCTTCTAATAATATTTTCTGCATTGCTACTGTAAATTCGATCACCAATAAGTATATACGCAATAACACAATAAGCTAGAGGAAAAGAGCGGCTGCAGGAGACGGGTATATCAACCTTCACCGCTGGTTTCGAAACCGGGTGATACCAAGACTTTCCATACAGAGTCTTGCATAGGTACATACTTTACGTACACAGCTGCATACCTAGCATAGGTTTTGATAGAGGTATGTATTGAACATTGCTAGTATTTGTCTCTCAGCAATGGATCCTGAGTATATCCTCTTTCACCGAAGTTCGGTATCCCGCCTATGTCTATGTCAGCAAGTATATCATTCCGTATTCTAGAAAGAAAGAAAATTTAATATCGTATTTGAAAAATACGCATCGGGTCTCTGATCCGCTTCTGCTAAAATTTGCCATCGCCGTGTTTATTGCCACCTTTCCGAGTAACCCAACATCTCGACTTACACGGAGGTAGGGGGAGGTCTAGCCTAGAGCTATTGGTTCACGAGGAGCCAAGCTAGCGATCGCAAACGCAACTCCCTAGCTACGAACCAGCAAGACCAGCAAGACCAGCAGGACTAGCAGGATAGCATCGCATCTACCACACACTCGACCGTCTTAAACAAATTAGCAAACAGATCACTTCAGCTTCAATATCCGGACCTGTTACCTTTACCCAGTTACGAATTGTCCAACATATTTTAATTAACGAGTTCCATTGTCGTCACCCTCGGGAGCGCGATTTATTTTCTAATAAGTCATATCTCAACTTTATACCTTACTTTAACTACCTATATCTTTTGCTGTGTGATCATTCGTCATCCTTCACCGCATTGGCCTGTTTATAGTTGGTTGCATTGAACAATTCTTTTTTAACTGCCCAAGGTTACCTACTTTACCTTAGGTACTTTACTTACTTACATATCTCTCATCCGTCATTGTCATCATTATTCAAGTTCTTCCTCTTCTATTGCTCCATTATCCGGCTTCTTTTTATTTATTAATATTTACCTCATATCTACTCATACGCTGGTCCTTCACGAGTTTGCCTCCCCACCAAATTTGGCCGAGACCATTCTCTTAACTACGTAACTGGCCAATACTATTCCCGCTCTTATTCTATTCGTCTCGTTCGGACGCTGGGCATCCCATGAGAGATTATCTACCTAACATATCTAAACCAACTTATCTTATTTTACGGATCGCCCTATAACACGATACCTACCGACCTACTCACCTACTTACTTACATACGACATACTGCACACCACTATTACATTCTACTACGTAGGGTAATACATAGGACCTACATCGAATACTGGTATTACCTAAGATTTCCGACCAACTTGCATAATTGGTGTCTTTGAGCCCCCCGCGACATTTCGCTGGGCATCTCCGACGCAGTGTAATCCGGTTCCTGAACTCCCCCTGGTGAATTCCGTGCGAGACACTCGGCGAGAACGACAGGTGACGGACGGAGAGAAAGACGAGAGAGAAACGATACCACGTTGGACCTGGTGATTAATCTTTACCGTTTACCTTTTTTATATCACTTTTACCATTTTCACCATTTTCACCGAGTATTACTACCTAATTACCGTACATTATTCGGAACTCGTGACTATCAACTTTGCCGTTGATTCCGTTCCCGTCCATTCCGTTCCATCGTCTCGTCCGTTCTTATTAGTTCAACACACCTCCAGGGCTCTTTTGATATAATACAAATACATCTTAAGTACCCTTTTCCCGGGTACCTATCGGTGCGATTACGGGTACTTCGATTCAACGCTATTGTGCCACGTTGAAGAAAGTCCCTCGGTCCCCGCCGCATTGTATAATACCTAGGATACATACGCGATATAATATCCACTGTTGCAGCGCAGTAGCCGAGCGGTATAGTGCAGTGCAGTGTGCAGTTATAGTGGAGTTAGTTTACAAGGGAGAGCTGGCCTGTCCCCGTTTACAATCAACTTCTTTTTTTTCAACGTACCTATCATAGGTACCTATCGTACCTAAGGTACCTCCTAGTCTAGCCTAGCCTATAGGTTAGACTTAAAAACTTACGGCATCGTATACCCTAAAGAATCAAAGGAGCCCCACCTGCCTATAGGGATTTACCACCTGAGCAACCAACCTAAGGTAGCGAGTTACGGGTACATCGGTACACGGTTAGGTACTTGTAACACCTACCTAAAATTGGTGTTGACAATAGGTACCGTACCCCCAAAGGAAGTCCCCTAGGTTTTTCTCCCCTCTCTTGCCTCTTCAGGCGTGTATTTTTTCCCCTCTAGACCTTCCCCAGTAGCCTAGGCACGCCAACGCCAACGAAAGTACGCTAAAGAGGAACCGGACCGTCCGCTTGTCATCAGGAGGAGGACCAGACGATCCCTTTTCTGGATCCCATCAGGCGAATCCTAAAAAATCCGCCATCGTCCGTCGCATCGTCTCGTCAATCCCCTCTCATTTAATCCATACAAAGTGGCTAGAGTGGCCAGGAGTGGCTACACTACTTTTTCTTAGCGGTACCTACATATAGGTAGCATTTGTTATTTTTTTAAACCCTTACGATACGATCTACCCGTAAAAAAGAGCCAATTCGTCAAGCCTCAAATAAACGTCCTTGTCACCTTGTCACTTTGTTACTTTGTAACTTTTGTCGCTTTATCAACTAAGCCCATAACTATTCTAAGAAACCCCCCCCCCCCCCAAATCTACATATCCCCCCCCCGTCTATCTATCATCAACATCACCCCTCCAGACTCATTCCATCAATCATCACCCCTTTCCCTCACTCAATCTTTCTCCTTTCCAAGTTCTCAATCCGCAATTCGCATTCCGTGACCTCATCAAACCACCATCCACCCAACTGTGTTGACACACACGCCATTCTTCCACAAGACCGACCATTCTCCGTTCACCAAAGTGATGGTCCGTCATTCGAACTACCTAGTCGCAGTCAGTTCTTAATTGAATCTGACTTCTGACTTCTTTATTTTCATTTTCTCTCCTTTTCAATTCCAGATCCCAGATCAAGGCTTGTGCAACTTACAAACGGCCATTGTATTATTTTTTACCAATTTATTGTCATTGAGACTATTGCTACTATTGCTATCATTGCAAACTATTTACGTTCAATCTATCATTATTATTTTTCCAACTTACGAGTCCGCGTCTCAAGTTGGAATCCCGATCTACCTTCACCGCGCAGTCCCGCCTATATGCAATAATTCTCCACTTTCTCTCGTCACCGTCTTTTCTCGTCGTCCCAGCGACTACTACCAAACAACAAATCCACCAAATCCACCAAGTCGTACTTCTTTAGGACCGTTGCGACACGCCTCCTTCTTTCACCCTCACCTCTTCTATAGTTACAACTCTTCAACATCATGTCGTCTCTCCCACCTGACCCATACAAGATCCTCGGTGTATCCAAAGACGCTCAACTATCAGAGATTCGATCTGCCCACCGGAAGCTGGTGCTGAAATGCCATCCTGACAAGGTCCAAGATCCCAAGCTGAAGGAAGAGAAGCAAAAAGAATTTCAGCAAGTCCAGCAGGCTTATGAACTACTAAGCAATGAGGCCGAACGGACCAGATACGATGATAAAGTCAAACTCGAGGAGCTGAGAAGAGATAGGGGAATGACGTCGACATCGACGTCGTCTCCTCGTACTTCGAAGCGTTCTGAAACCAAATACCACTTTGATGTTCGTGAAGCTGAACCTCGGCCAACAACATTTGCTGGCTCACCTAGCTCCCACAATGTATATGGCCATACGCCTCCATCCCGCTCCTGGGATGAGGATATACATGCTAGGAAATTCGATGAGAAGGCTCGTTACGCAAGGAAGACGGCGAGCTATGAGTATGAGAGAGAGAAACCCTCTAGGAAAGACGAGGAGCGCCGGAGACGAAGAGATGAGGAAGAATGGAACCGTGAGAAGGACAAGGCAAAGGAAAGAGAAAGGGAAGAGCGGTTAAAGGAGCGCGAGCATCGAGAGCGTGAGGCGTTGAGGGAAAAAGAGGGAGAAGGAGGCAGCTAAGAAGGAGAAGGAACGGCGCAAAGATGAACGAAAGGAGGACAAGAAGCGATCCGATAAGGACCGTCGCAAAGAAACCGAAGACAAGCATCGCCGTCACAAGTCTCCCTACATAGAAGTATGCCCAGACGACCAAGAAGAGGTCATCTATACGACGTCATCTTCTAAGTCGGAGAAGAAGAAGCCTAGTAGCAGCCGGAAGTATGAAGAGGTACCCAGTGCCCCCCCGCCCCGAGAAACAAGTCGTCCACCATCAACTACCGACCGCGAAAGGAAGAATTCGGAAACTTTGGAGTCTGCAATTCGGTACCTGAGCAGATCCGGTGGAAAGCCACCAACGCTCAACCGGGCGCAGACATATCATCCGGAATTCTCGGTTCGGCATATCACTCCGATCGCCGTGCCAACGCCGCCGCCTGCTGCTGCTTCGGCATTTGCACCTCCGCCTATGGCCAATGCTAGGGATGTACCATTGTGGATGAAGACCCTATGAAGAGACCTTCGACAAAGCCTCGCCGCATGTCGCATGACACCCCCCGTTCTTCGAAGGAGAAATCCCAGAAGAAGGCGGGATCGTCTCGAGAGGCAATCATTGTGGATGCCTCTCCAACATCTGCCACTGCCCGAGTAATACCTTCTTTCCAGAAATCTCCCTCTATGCCAATACCCATACAGAGCGATTCTCACCGAATTCCACCTTTGAGCCGCTCAAATACTGATAATTACTCTCGACCGCCTCCTGCTCCTGGTCTAGAACGTGCATCGACCTGGATGGCAGGTTCTAATTTGGGCCGAGACCGGAGTCGCTCGCGTCATGCTCGCCTCTATTCAGACGAGTCCTCGGAAGATGATCGAGATCGACGGCATCGTCGTGGTCGGCGCACACAATCCCCGGAGGCGATGCAGACGCAGACCACCAAGCGATATACGGTAGACTCGAGCAGGAGGGCTGTCCCAGTACAAGACCACTATTTCACAGAAGAGTCACCTAGGAGCTCGAAGAAGACGTCTCATAATCTGCCTAATAGCTCTGTACGCCGTACAGATCCTCGACCGGGTTATTATGTGCATGAAAGCTTTGAGGATGAGGTGCAAATGCCATTCCCGAATGTCAAGTATGCGACCATGTTCGATCCCGAAGATATCAAGTATACCGATGTTCCTCACTCGACATTGCGAGAAGAAGTGCTTATATAATTGGTCCGAGAAGTTGCAATCAACTTCGAGTCCAATCAAAGGCCTTCAGCTCCGACGAGATTTATTGGTAACAAGTAATCTATCATTGCTTCGATGGATATTATCAGAATATTGCGGTTTATCATAATCAAATATTTATGATGGATGCTTTTCTCATGACCATTCTATTTCATATTTTCCACAGCTCGAGTTCGGCGTTCTCGGTAGGGGTGTTTTTCGATACAGTGCCCGTTAAAGAAACTTGAAATACAGTAACGACTTGATGTCTTTTCAACGGTCTTGGAGGAGAAGAAGCGAGATGGGAGACAAGCTGGGAGAGATTTTGTTTTGGGGGGGAAATCCCATGGAATTTTCCCAGGGGTGAGCGTGGGCTTTTGTGGTTCGGCTCGGCTTACAACTCGACGGGATGGCTCGATAGGTTCCCTCCATACGAGGCAAACCAACCTTCTGAGGCTCAATTGTTATCTGAGCACGAGCTTATGGCACAACCTCCCTTAGCCGTGCACACCGAACTCAGTCAGCCAATCACAAAGCTTTATAAACCATCTCACCTACCTACCTATTTGGCCCCCAATGGCGAACAAACTTGCCATCTTCGCCTCTCCAGACCCCATGAGTTTTACGAGAGATGTTTATTGTTCTTGGATTTTCCTTCTTTCATGATCATTTCCCTACAATCTTACGTTATATATATACACATAACTTGCATATTGAGGAGCGAGAAACCAGGAAACAGGCTGGTCGGGAGTGGGTTCTTTTTTTTTTCTTCCGTGATGGATCGAAGCATGACGCTGTTTATGTCTTTTTTATCATTGTTTATGTCATCCCTTCGTTCATTTACGAGGCGTTATGTAGTCAAGGAATGGTGGGAGCATTCGCGGCAGCTGGGTGGGCAGGACATCACGATAGTTTGCCGCGCCCGACGGAGGTTACGCATATGAAGATACAGATGTACGCGACGAAACGCTATCGTATGGACGAAAATACATGTTAGCAAGGGCCTATTGCTCTCATCGCCTAGAATAGTTGGTGTTATTATGCCAAATGACATGGCCTTGATTACTCTTGTCCTGTCTAATTTAAGAATAGATTGCATAAAATAGTTTGTCTTGTGACTTCAACGTTAATGAAACCATAGACCACGTATACATAAAGGTGCCTAGCTAAGTAATCCGGATTATATCTAAGCAGTCAGCCCTAGACTACGCCTCGTAAGCGAAATTTGCTTCCAATATGATACTATATCGTAGGTTATGATGAGAGCCCATGTAATTCTTGTCTTCGCAGATACCTATACACGAAGATGAGATTTCTAAGAAAGTGCTGTGGGTTAAATGATAAGACAGTTCATGATAGTTTGTGTTAAAAATAAATTGTATCTCTCCTGTGTTTAATATTTGAAGAAAAGGCTACCTTAGGTAATTTACGCAATACCGGAGCAACCCATCTTAGCCACTATCTCACGTACGTTCTCGTATGATATTCTACCCGACTTCGATATGATAGAATTTGGTCAGATCACAAGGCATATTTCTAGTTATACTTAGCATTATTGTTTCTACCTTGATAAATTAGGTGCTTTATACTTTTAGAAGTCAACATAGTACCAAGTGTTACACCATATTATTATTAAACAAACCTTAGGTACTTACCTAGGCATTCAGCTACAAAAGCCCCTCTTTTCTCCCCTCCGAACTCTTTCTCTTATAAGATGACTCGGGGAGACCGGACTCCGGGATGACGGCCGATAGCCGATATCTTCGGAGCTCAGGAATTTTCCCGGTCTTTAATTCGGAAGATCTCGATGACCTGAATTTCTCCTTTTCTTTTTTATTCTTCCTTTTTCGTTGCGTCTTGCGTTGTTCGTCGCACGGGCGCTTTGATGTCGTCGGATGGCCGACTCGGCTCGCACACGTAACGTTGCCTGCATACCTCACACATACGTAGCTGGCTGTTTGCTTTGCCACATGGTTATCTCCGCCGAAGATTACCGACTAGAGGGGAGGATACATAGGAGTTGAAAAACATGGTGGATATTGACGAAGATGGGAACGATGATGATGATGACGACGACGGAATTAATGAGCGGTGTCCATGACTCGTTTCGTTTCCCGGAATCTCTCCGACTGTTCTTCAAGTAAACAAGAGGCAAATTCAACACCGACTTTTCGTAAACAGCCAAGTTTATTCTAGAAGCACAGACACGGAAGCAATACATAGGTCCCCCCCCTGATTGTAAAGTGGATGTATGTAATAGGTCAGCTGGGTGAGAGTTTTCAGCTTGGATAGGTCGAAGGGACTATAAGCCAAGAGATATATACATAAGAGTCTAGACAAATCGCTATTACATATGTACAGATCTCGTCGGATGAAAGCCGAAGCCACCTTTGCGGAGACGACGCACGTCCCCCAGAATTCCCCATCCCCCATTTGCGGAGGCGGAAACGTGATCAACACAAGCTACCTATACCTATATATAGGTCCATCAAAAAAATTGCGTGGCCGACCTTGGTGCCGTTTACGTGGATGGCTCGTCGTTGGCTGGGCTGTTTGGCCCCCCCTCGCCGCCGCACGTGCCTTGATGATGCAAGAGGGCGGATCTTATAGGATACCAAGCCCCAGGTTCCATACTTGCCTAGGTGTTCGTGTTCCCCCTTGAGCTGCTGCTTGACGTAGGCCCCGTTCATGTATGATGACAGAAAAGTAGGTAGTCGAGGAATTATTGGTTGGAAGATTTTTTATTTTTTTTTTTGACAGGTCTGGAATTTCGATAGCATCCAGTCAACTAATACAGCCGCAAAAAGGGGTCCGGCTCCCCAGGGGTCTTTCTACTAAGACCAGATTAAGACCCCACACTCCTGGGGTGCCTCTTTGGGACGTATGTAGAAGGAACTAGGAAAGGGGGTACTCTGAAGGTATCTATGTATGTATTAGAATATGGAGATTTTCTACTTTGTATACATTAGGTACAATGGAGTCTTATGCACGTCTTAAGGAAGGGTCTCGGGGTCTCTCCCTAAATTACTACTTCTACGGAACGCCAGTAGCTATGATTCGTTCTTAAGTTACTTCTGTATATGTATTTACAGGTATTAAATGTGAAAAGGCACGAATAGAAACCACGTATTTTTATTGTTCCTGTCGTACAACCGGCGGTTATATATATACCGAATACCTAGGCAGATATATATTATAACTCACTTAGGAATAGCAATGGGTTTCTATTTCCCGATGCTATTCGGGCGGAGGGGACGCATAACAACTAGTATATATATAAATAATAAATATTATAAATATTACTAGACTCACCGCCAATCCCTCGTTGTGAGCTTCTAGGCTGTTATTCTCGGTGGAGTCATCTATAAGGTGCCATGTGAAGCTCCGCCTATGCATTGACGAATGATTTTCACAGGTGCAGGTTATTGAAGTCCTCGAACTGAGGTCATAGTTTAATACGTTCGGTAGTTAGTTTACAGGTAAATATTTATCTATTCGTGCATATGGTTGATTATAAACCGGAAACGATACGTCAAACTTATCAGTTATGAGTTATTCGAGATAGTTACTGGATATAGCCCCTATTTTATTGCGCCGAACTCGGGACGTGATATTTGAATATTGGCTGTTAGACTAATAAAATCTCTTTGCAGCTTTTGAGACGTCGAGGAATTAAAACAGCTTCAGCTTTATACTTTTTAGATATTCGAATGAACCCCATAACTATAGCTTATCATAGGAGGTGGTTATAGTCATGAAGTTAGTATCTAAGACGTGATACTACACCCAAAAGCTCGTTGCCAGAAAGTGAACTATCTTCACTAGATAGATGTAAATATAGCCTTTCACAAAATACAAACTTCATCAAGAGAATTCAAAATTTTTATTCTATATAGCTCCACGTACATCAAAGCTATCTTTTCTGGCTCGCCAGAGCAAGCCACTCCTTAATCCTCTGGGATGCAAAACGAGGCAAGTCCTTGTATTTATTTTCATCATACGTGTCATCAATAGCCTTCACAAGTCGTTTTGCCTTCGAGATGGTAAGTCTTTTCGCATCGAGATAGTGCTCAGTTGACACGAACTCGTCCGCATCGTCCGCCAGATCGCGCCGCTTCTTGCGCACGGCGGGGGTATCTGTCTTTTCCGCGGTGCAGAGCGGACAGCTGCATTCGAAGCCCCAGGTAGTCATTAGAGCTGCCTGTCTCGCGTCGAAGTCGCTTGATTCGTCGTAGCTGTGGAAGATTTCCTCGCCGGCAGCGATGGGCCGGGTAGCACGGAGAACCATCAGGTCGCCTACATATTCCTTCTTGGCATTCGCGACACACGAGTGGTTGATGTATGCGGCCCAGATCCAGAGACCCGTACTCGCGTTACTGACACCTTCGTCTCCGAATTGGCTTCCCGGACCGAATGCATTACGGGATACGATGTCGTGAACTCGGAATGTGTCGACTACAGGACCATCCCCGGTCTTGGACACATTGCTGCCGCTTCCCTGGTAGTCGCCATAAAGATCCATTACTTTTTCGATCTGGGAGGGATTGCTAAGGAGCTTTTGCACGATAGATTTGCTCAGACCGACCGGTGACACCCTGATTTTGTCATCCCGCACGTCGTATGTCATTGCTGTCATAGCCTGTTTTTCGTGGCCCCAAACCACGCAGAACGCTTTCTCGCATATGATAATCTCCCCGGCAGGAATATCACGGGTCGCGAATAAGCCACGTCCTCGTCCCTTGCTCTCCTCTACCTTTGTGTTACTAAGGAAACTTGCGGCGTCGATGCGTGGACGGGCTCTGGATAGGTTGGCCTTGATCTTCTTGAAATTGTATGATCCCATGTTTTGCTCGCGGAAGCGCACCTCGATGTTTTTTAAGTAAGCGGCCGCTGTTTTGTTATCAGGGGTAAGCTTAAGTTGCTCTTCAAAGAAGCCCTTCGCTTCCTCATATTCGCCGAGGTTGTATGCTGCAGAACCAGCCCGGAAATAAGCCTTACTGTCAAGGTCTTTGGATCGCTCATCATCCTTGCCGATAAGAGCAGCCTTTGCATCACTCTTTGCCTCATCAAGTTGATTCAAAAGAAGGTTAACATGAGCTCTATTGCGAAAGAGATCTCGGGCCAAGTCAGGGTTAGTTTCAGATACAATATCTTGTCTGGCAGCTTTAAGGCCGTCGGTATATTTTGCATGAGCCAAGGCTAATTTCTGCTGTTCAAGGGCCGCATTCCCCTTGTTTTTGCAGGTCTTCGCAATCTTCTCTGACTCTGCTGCGTCTTTAGCCTGGCCTACTTCATCCCGACAGACAATTATATCTGAAGGATGGTCAACCCGAATCGTGGGTTCACCCTGATCTGTGAGAGTAAAGTAAGGTTCCTTTATGATAAAGGTTGATGCTGATTCCAGCACCTCTTCGCCATGTCTTGACTTATGCAAGCACAGTTCTAGACGCTCCATATCCTCTTCTCCTTCTTCCTGCACCATGGTCCACGGCCTCGCTATAAGCAGAACCACTGGGCTCGCGCGCTTCACGGTGAGCCGACGGCCACGATGATGGGTCTCTATTTTGAGATCGACTAATTTTATGGGCTCTAAGTCCTGGAGCGAAGTGGTACAAGGCGGATATACTTGTCCTACAGGGAGAGCCGGGAATGTGCCTGCTCGACCTTTCGTTTGCGCCAAGTCAGGATCTGGCGCGCCCATATCGGCCATAAGAGATGCGCCAGTCGCTTGTTGTTTGGAGGCTATCGCATCTCTCTTTTCCCGTGAATGGCCAGCCAGTTCGGAACATTTCTTTAACCTATTTTTGGCAATATTCCGTATGCGCTCTGCTTCCTGTTCAGTCATAAAGACCGTGTGTCCATCTTGCTGAGAAGCCATCGCGAAACGCCAGCGTTATGAATGCGACAACGCCGAACTATTTTTTGCAAGCCTAATCCAACGAAGCCACCAAATTATTTTCAGAATTATTATATTCCAAGTAACCCTCTAGGCTATAGGTCACAAATTACCCAAGAAATTAACTTGAGTTATTTTAGATATTGGATAGTAAAAGTTTTGGCGAATCAAATGCTCGTTCGTCATTGAATATTGTCCTAAACTAAATGTACTGTATTTATTATTCGAATAAAAATTTTAAGCTAAGGGACAATCTAAATTTTGAAAAGCGGACAACTTGATTTGTTGGTACTTTGGCACTTTGCGACTCTATTCGGCTTGTATCGGCCCTTAGTTTGACACTTAGGGGTAATAAACAAAGTGATTTTGTTACGAGTATAAGTTGGCGACAGGACTATATATCGATCACTACCTAGGTTTAATGGGTTAGGTAATTATTCGAATATTAACACCTAAATTATTATATACCTACCTAGGTAGTTAAGATATAAACTAGTAACTAAGGCTCACTTGTTTCTTGTATTTTACTATTAAACTACCACTTATAAAAATAAATCGACGGAATGTAGGTTACATGCTTGAGGTATGTTATGCTAAGCCTATTGATAACAAATATGAGAGTAGGGGTATATCCGAAATGACATGCAGAAATCAACTGATGGTATGATGGGATGATGTTAGTAATATGATTTGAGCGGTGTGCCCAAGTGCTTGATTGTTTGTTGTGGTATATTTTATGCGACAGATTCTACCCCCTTTATTTTTTAACCTTTGGTTTCCCCCCCCTTTTTATACTTAAATCGCCTACCTGCTGATTCTAATCAAACCAGTACGTAGAGTGAGCATATCTATACCTGTTAGTTTATATTTCTTATTTTTCAGAAGCTCAAGAGTATAACGTATAACAACTTACCAAGCTCAAGCCCATGATCATACACACCAGAAAAGCACATTATTCGCTGTCTTGTGGGCGCGCACCCACTTTGTTCGCTGCAGTATGACAATCGGTAACTGCAACATCTGGCAAATAAACCCATAGCCACGAAGCTTCTTGGTGATGCATGCCATGACGATTTCGTGACCGATGGCTGAGATTAGGAACGTAATGACTGTCGCGTTGCTACGGCCGATGGTGGGCTTTGATGTCGCGTATACATGTCGCCGTAGGAATGAGTACACCGGCACGTTCCACTCACGACTGAACTCCATCCAGTCGGTGCTGTTCCACCAGTCGCTATAGAAGTGACGATCCGCGAACTTGGTGATCTCAGCAAAGGCACCTAGGATGTACTCAAAGATGACGAGAAACACCAGCAAGAAAGTCAACATAAAGGGGAACAGAAGCCACGAGATATTCTCTGAGAGAATGAGCAACGTCTCGGCTACAGATGAGCTATTTTCTAGTCGGATTGTGGATTCTTGCAGCACAGGCAAGATGAACTCTTCCGAGATAATGGTCAACAGGAATATACAGCCAAAGGTCGCGACTATCTTGGCTATAAGTGATGTCCAGTTGATGGACTCTTTGCGCGGGTACTCGAGTTCGTAGCACAGCGTCGGACAGAGAAGGTAGTCGGCGTAATTCGGCCACGATAGGTTTCGCGGGTATGTCACGTTGCCAATAGGGCTCGTCAACTCTCGAGCTAAGTCCTCGCGCAATTGCGATAGACCCTCGTCCTCATCATCACTATCGACCTTCATCTCCTCGTGGACTAATTCGCCCATTGGGTTATCAACCGAAGGGTAAACGTATGCGGGGGCTTTCGAAACGTTATGAGGCTCATCGAGAGCGCGCAATCGCTTTTCCGTTTCGGAAAGATGGCCATTATAGAAGGCATAGGAATGCATCTTCATGAGCAGAACCATGGTATGTAGCAAGAAAAATACTTGGGAAGTCCAAGTCCAATTGAGAATAAAGGGTATAGCGATCCAAAATGCAAGCCAAACAACCTGATATATGCTTTGAATGGCCATTCCACCCTTATTCCACCTTAATGGTCCCTGGCTACTCCTAAATAGTTTATGCAGAGGCAAGCTAACGGCGGTACTAGCAACCATAGAGAAATCGGCGACGGCTAGATGGGACAACTTGACGGTAAAAAGAGTCCATATCTGAACGCGCAAAGGGTATCCAGTATCCTTATAGTTGCGCAACATAGTGGTAATTCCCATGATAGCCAGGCCAATCCAGAATAGGTTGAAGAAGCCATGAAAATCGCGATAATCGGATTCGGGATCGAAATGAGAGACGCGTGAGGCGAATTCGATGGTTGGGAAGATACGTTGTCGCTGTTCCGCTCGAACTTGTTTCCGTGCACTAGACAGAGCTTTTGTTGAAGCGGGAGCATTTTCGGGGATAGGTGTCGAACGGCCACTGGAATAACGAAATTCAAGTTAGATTAGATGAATTTTGTATACTTTGTATAAGTCGAATTATAAGAATAAGAATAAGAATAATAAGTAATCACCTTGTCATGCCTGAACCAGTCTCTTCTACAGGCGCTTCGAGGTGTCCATTTCCATTCCCATTCCCATTTCCATTAGTAGAAACGCTGCTATGCTCTTTAACAAGCTCGGAAACTTGGGTATGTTGAGGTTTCCGCGGTCGTGGACGTAGGATATGATCGTGACCACCACCATTCGTCTCAACGTTGGTGGAGGACATTGTGTATATTCTTCACGCGACGGCCAAAAAGGAGAACTTCAAGGTTTCGGGGATAAATAATCGATAGGGAGACGGCAACCGGTGCGAGTCCCCCAATAATAAGGTAACGAAGTATCCAGGGTTATGGTTGCTATTGTAAGTGCGTGACTACATATAGCTTTGGCGAGTCAGGAAGAGAGTTTAGATGTTGGAGAAGAGAAGTATAGACGATGTATAGCGAGTTAACTAGTTAGGAGGTAGTTTAATGAGTGTATGTAAGATATGTTAGTATGTATATGTTGTGCTTCGTCAACGAAGAATATGAATATGTTCAAGTAGGTATGTAAGAAAATAGAAACGATAAGAAAAAAAAGGGAAATAAATAATATTAAACGCTAAACTACAACGTCGTCATATATTAAGATCGATCGAATGCGAATGCGATTTTCGCCTTATTCTAAAGGGTTTGAATTGCGACTCGACAGTGGATTACACGCAATCCAAAATGGGAACAAGTCACTGCCACTTTGTTAATTCTGCATACAACTCTGCCACTATCGTTGTTGAAGAAAATGTTCATTTAGGAGGAAACGGAGAACAGAGCAGCTATCGGTACTTGCGCTATAAGCAATCTCTTTAGGGGTCACTAGGTACCTAGCTGCCTAGTAAAATTCGGCGGGTGATTAGTAGGTACCTAGCTTCAGGGGGGCCGAGGGGCAGTTGAGGGGAGGATACATGTTCGGCGCCGAGTCCCCTAATCTATACTAGCGTTGTATTACTTACATATGTACATGTATGTACATGTTACACGGTTGACGTCACGGTCCGGGAGTTTGGTCCCCTTTAGCTTGCGCGACGTCAGGGTGCAGGTCATTAGATCCAACAGTTTTTTGGGGGGGGGGGGAGGGAAGAAGGTTTCTTTTTTTCATTCTTTCTACTTTCTTCAAAGCTTCAATTTCTTTAGATTGAAATACCTACTTCGGCTCTCGGCACAGATGCAATGGTACCAAATTTATTACAGACTGGTTATGAAGCACTACATATATGTACGACTACGAAGTACATTTAAGATATCGGCCATTTATACTGGTAACCCGGATGGTCGCTCAAAAGATGCGGCTGCCCGAAAAATACTTCCCGCGCTGTGACCCCTGACCGCTCAGCCTCTGTTCGGAACAGCCCCCTTCTTCGTAATTCGGGAATTACAAACTCGATGATATCTTCAAATGACCCAGGATTTACTACGTGCGCCAGGTTGAATCCGTCCACATCTGCTACCTCAGCCCATCTCTCTAGCTCATCTACAACAGTTTTAGGACTTCCTATGATCTTGGGCCTATAGAATTTAAGTCGTCAGCTAATTATCTCCCATTCTGGCCATTCTGGATCAACTTCACTTACATCATGCCTCCTATCGATAGGAATTCTGTAATTCGAGCTTTGGTCCATTTTAGCCCTTCGGTACCGGGTACAGTACTGGACCATCGATTAATCAAAGATCGAATCGCCGGCTTGTCTACTAGAACTAAATCTTCGTCGTCAGAAAACGATGAAAGGTCATTTCCTGTCCAGCCGCCAAATAGAGCAAGTGCGCCTTCGCTGTCCCCGTACGAAAGAAGTTCTTTATATTTAGCCTGCGCCTTCTCGTCCGTCGCATCAACAATAATGGTAACGCCCGTGAATACTTTGATGTGGTTCGGGTCCCTGCCGAATATCTTGGCTGTGGATCGAAGCGCGTCAACCGATTTTCGCACCAGCTCCGGAAGCTGACCGCCCATGAACACGGCTTCTGCATGTTTTGCTCCGAATTCTGTTCCGGCTTTGGATGTCCCGGCTTGGAATAGAAATGGCGTCCTCTGGGGAGATGGTTCTGAAATGTGCGGGCCAGGTACTTGAAAGTATTTGCCCTTATGATTGATCGGGCGCACTCTCCCTGCTACTGCAAACTGACCCTTTTCACGATCTCGAATGACGGCATCATCTCTCCAACTGCTTTCCCAAAGCTTTAACCCAAAACTAGTAAGTGACTGAATTCTTCGAAGCGTTAACGAATCGAGTTCCTACCTTGTAGACTACATCCATATACTCCTCTGCAATTCGGTACCTCTCATCGTGTTCGATCTGCGTCTCCAGTCCAAAGTTTCTGGCCGCACTTTCGAGGTACGAGGTCACAATGTTCCATGCTACCCCCCTTCAGCCAGGTGGTCAACTGTCGAGAATCGCCGAGCCAGAGCATATGGCGCATCGTAAGTAGTTGAGGCAGTGACACCAAAAATCAGATTCTTCGTAGCGGCCGCCATGGCCGGCACGGCATACAGCGGATCATTGACTGGGTACTGTGCTCCTGAGGCAAGCACCGGGTCTACATTAGCTGGGCCCCTATAGACGTCGTACGCGCCCAGAGTGTCCGCGATAAACATGGCGTGGAAGTCCCCCTTGTCTAAAAGCTGCGCAAGCGACGTCCAGAAGCTGAGCTTATTGTAGTCGTCTGTATGATTCCGTGGGTGCTTCCATAACCCCGGAGACAGATGTCCAGGCGTCGTCATCACGAAGGCATTTAGGAGAAGCTGTTTCTTTGGCTTCTGTGCCCCGCTCCCAGTTTCGTTAGATGACGCCATTCTCTGCTTTGAATTATATATCGAATTATATATCTGAATGATAGAGCACTGAGAATGATTGTTCGTATCGTATAACTTTCGATATAGTAGATCACTACTGAGTTACTGAAACACGCAGCGACTATCAAAATTCAATGTAAAATATGAATTTAGCTAGGATATAATATTCTTTTATCTATACACGAGACATTTATATACTTATCTTTCATAGGCGATAGACCCTAAAGATTATTGTTAGTCTGCCGAAAATGTATAGATACGGAGGTGGATGTTGAGAGCGTCATTGGCCTACCCCGATTCTTCCATCATGCTTCGCGCGGATTGCGTGATGCGAGTTCGGTATGTCCGCCGGTGTGACCCTCTTACGAAATACTGAGTGTAAGTGTTATACCGGTAGACATTAATTTATATAAATGCGATTGTGTCAAATAGGCTAGCCATGACGACACCAAAGGGTATATTCGGATTTTAGAAATGATTCTATCCTGGAAAAAAGCATGGGGTGTTTATTTGAAGTAGACATACTTTAATATTGATTTATATACTGGTATATAGCTAGGTGGGAAAGACAACCGCATTTGTATCATATTTCAGAATTGAGAAGTAAAAGTAGGATGCTAAGTTGATGGATACTTTAACAAAATGACAAAGAAACAAAAAGTTGGGTTTAGTTATAATTTAAATGGAAGGGGGGGTTTAATATTGCGAATAAAGCCAACAACCATCTAGATACTGATATGCGTACCTATTTATCTTATTCTTGGCCACGTTTTCCTTACTTACCCCCCTTTTCCAACTTTTAGGTATTGGTGTTAGTATTTATACCTCGAGTGACCGACATCAACCTGTTGTGTATCAATTTGAGGGGGGTAAGGAAATGAATAAACCTCCATCGATATCAAATAAATATCGTAGTGTATTTGACATTTAAAAGCCTATAAGATTGAGCAGTTCTCAATATCTTGAATGTTGAGTAGACATTACGTATGGCAAAAACACGGTGTTGGCCATAATATTATTAACTATAGGAAACTTGGACAGAACTTCAACAAGCATGGTCGATTCTATAACTAGTAGTTATACGACTAACTAGTACTATGCGTTCCTAAAGTTACCAATTTGCTTAACTATAGTGACACAATACCTCTATAGAATCGCAAGCGCAAAGATCGGGAAGCGCACTCTCCATCCCCGTCCTAGTCAGTGCTGAAAGGAAAGGGTTGTGAGTGAATATATATGCCTGGAGCCGAAACACTTCGGGTCGGGAGGAGATTACCCCAGGTCTATGACCCGGCCTGTGAGACAGAAGAATCGTGTCATACGATATTATAAGAGACAGTTAAATGCTGGGGAGGGGAGGGGTTTATCGTCGCCCATATAGCGACGGTTAACATCTGAATCACTCGACGGCCTTTGCTACCTAGACTAATCACGTATCACCGCCGAGGAAGTCCTGCTCTCGATCAAGGTTGACGTACGCGCGGTCGACAAACGTGTTGTCTTTCTGTTCTATACGAGATTATATCACGGCACTTTCAAAGCACTAGGTTAGGTTACTTGACAAGTGGAAGACAGGTAGATATGTATACATCTGGTCACGTTTCCGTAGCCCCCTTACTCCTGGTATCTAACACATGCAATAGTCTACCTATTTGCTATGCATCCTTTCGCAGCTCTAAACAACTATTTCGATTCCGTGTAAGCTTCGGTGGGTGGGTGATGATATACTTGCTCGTTTACGATCGAATAAATACCTCTCTTTGGAGATTTCCGGGTATATTCCGATATTCTCTCTTGTGGCTCGTGGTATTTTTTTTTGGTAGTTAGCTTATTCGTTTGCTCCAGTTATTTTACAACTTTTTATGCAACGTTGTTGTCCAATGGCCACGTCCGTGGGTCGGTGGCTGCAGCCACACGAATATCTTGGAGAAACAACGACATTCACGTCTGTCTCACAATAAGACGTTGTAGATGTTGTAAGAAAAAAGAATGGATACCTATACGTAAGAGATAGTCTGCTTAACTACCTCTTATAAAGCCCGTTTAGAAGCGGCTATACCCCTATATCGTTCTGTGGGGTATTTTATAACACCGAGTCCTAAATCATCAAAGCCGGAGTTTTGGATGTCAGCCATCAAGAAGATGGACATCGTCGTGGCGGTGGCAGACTGGGTAGAGAGAGAGAGAGAGAGGAGTAAAGGATCGATAGGGTCCCACATTTCAAAGCAAGACATGCTGCCAGAAAACCCCGGGTGTGAGACATGTTCATGCAAGACGACGTCCAGCCCGAACACGACCAATTCCAGATCGTAGGTGTACGACGAGAGACGCCTCATTCCTTGGCGGAACGGCGACCATGGGGGTTATGATTCGCCGACGCCTTGTCCGTGTCTCGCCTACCCGCTCTCGGAACGAAAGACTCCTATCGCGGGAGCACAGTGTCTGCACGCCTCGTGATGGGATAGGCGATGGGACTGTTGCCGAAGTTAACGAGATATGGAGGGAACATAAAATCGAATATAAGACGAATAGAAAAATTCTCGCGATCGTCTAGGGGGATGTAATGTAGGACTTCGGGAAGCTAGGAGGTCAAAGTCGCCCGGCCAGATGCCGAGGATGTAATACGAAAAGAAAAAAAAAAAGGTTGGCCTGCTCGCCTTTAAGTGAGGGGACCCTGCTGCCTTTTTCTTCGCTTGTCTTTGAGGAGATGGACAGGCAGACAGATTTTACACGTTGTGGGACTGCATCCGTATAAGCCACAGGATCTACCACTATATCGGATCTTGCACCACGCATCTGGAGACGACGACGGAAGGCATGCGGGTCGCGGTAATAGGCGCAGGTCCTGCTGGACTCGTGACGCTTAAGCATCTTCTAGCTGCAGAGAGTGCTCTAGGAGTAGAACCCGTCGAAGCTCGCCTCTTTGAGAGCGAATCGGGAGTAGGAGGCACGTTTCTAGCGAGGACTTATGAGGATGCTGAAGTAGGGGCGGGTCGCTTTTTTCAAGTTTATCCTGAGTTGAGGTTTTGAGCAGGAAATTTTACTACAATTTTACTGACGCTTGGTTGTTAGTTAGTATCCTCGAGACAGCTCACTAGTTTCTCTGACTTCCGATGTAAGGACGACGAGCCGGATTTCGTCAGTGCGAAACGCTATATTGAGTATCTCAATGATTATTGCACATACTTCAATTTGTGGCCGCATATTACCCTCTCGTGTCCGGTGAAGGGCGTAAAAAGCCGGAAAGAGGGAGGCCACGTTGTTACATACTTGCTAGGAGGACGGCAGTATAGTTGGGAATGCGACGCGGTGGCTGTGTGTTCCGGGCTTCATGTCGAGCCCAGCATCCCTAAAATCGAAGGCATCGAGAGGGTACCTGTGGTGTTTCACTCGTCACAGCTAAAGAGGAAAGATCAGTTTGGTATTGGGAAGACTGTACTCATACTGGGTAGTGGTGAGACTGGAGCGGACATCTCATTCCTTGCCGTAACTTCGCCAACGAAGCGAGTGGTGATGTGTCATAGGGACGGTTTCCACTTCGCGCCAAAGGTAGGAAGACAATCATAATAAATGGATATTCAGACAGCTCAGCTAAGACTCATCAACTGTGTAGAGAAATCCAAATCCTAAATTAGTGTTTTCTAGAGGGCGAAGTTCCCTAGATCGCCCTCAAGTACCGATCGATGTCTCCCGGGCGAGTCTTTTTGATACGGCATACGTGCACCCCTGGCTTAGGAATAGCAATGCTCTGTGGAAGTATTATGACTGTTATGTGAGATCCATTCTCTGGACTTCGTGGGGCACCACAGACGGAATAGATCAATGGATAGGGGGGAAGCCTAAGGGATGGACAACTTCAGAGAGTAAGTCTTCTTTCTATTACTGCCAGCTATACTTGTGGGTTAGGTAGACTCATAGACAAACTGGTACTGGTACTAATATATGCAAAGTCTTCTTCAATAAATCGGGTTACAAACTTAGCCCTTACTTTAATGCCGTCTGGAAGCCCAAGGCACCAAAGGGAATCTCGGAGCGCATCCGCTCGTGGATAGTTCGAACGCCAAACACAGAAGAAATCTGCCACGGTCGGCAAGTTGACTTGGCCCCCTGGCCGGAGCGGATTGACGAGACTGGCACCGTTATATTTAGGGACAACAAGCGGCCAGAGTACGCATACATGAAGGATGAGAACATCAAGCCGGATATAGTCATCTTCTGTACGGGTTACACACATCAATACCCCTTTTTAGGAGATCATCGACGCGATCCAAGGTACTATGAAGGTAAACTAATTCGACAGATATGGCCTCGAGAAGACCCTTCCTTAGGTTTCATCGGCTTCGTGAGGCCCAACCTAGGCGCAATTCCACCACTCGCCGAGTTCCAGGCCCAGTTATGGGTGCTCAACCTACTTGCGCCAGGACGAGTGGCGAGTTCACTACTCCCTAGCGACGAGCCACACTATCAGCTCGTGCGCAAGGAAAATGCACGTATTCGCTACGGTGTTGACCATGAGAGCTATGCATACCAACTTGCATTAGACATGGGTTCTGCACCGTCATTCGGGGACGTCCTGCGTCTTGGCTTCTCTAGTAGTAATGGTGGCTGGTATAAGCTGCCACTTACGTGGGCGCTTAGCTCCAACTTCAACACGAAGTTCAGGCTCATCGGGCCATGGAAATGGGACGGCGCGCTCGACATTATGAATACCGAGTTGTGGGACACAGTAGCCAGGAGGCAGATATTTTTCGGTCACTTTACACTTTCTTTCGTCCCGATGCTCATTTTTGGACCAACAAGTTTCGTAGTATTTCTATACGCTTCCTTGTATCATATTTTTCAATATTTCCTTCGAATGTTAGAGGTGAACACATGGAAGCGTAGCAATGACGAAAATAGGGGGAAAGGAGCTTATTAGAACTGCATTGTCCGAGTAAAAAGTTTTCCCTTGGCAATAGAAGCGGGGTTGTCCCTTTTGTATCTCAAGTATCTCAAGTATCCCTCACAAAAACTAAACTACATTGAAGCAAAGAGAAAGAATATCAGGCTATTCAACCCGATTTAAAATACGTGGGTATGCGTAAAGAAAAATAAAAATATGACCCCGACCCGATTTGAACGGATAACCTTTCGATCTGGAGTCGAACGCGCTACCGTTGCGCCACGAGGCCTATGTGTTAAGGTTGACGTGAATTTTTGTCTGCATTAAAAATATATAGCGCATTCTTTTTCTTTTGCATCATCCCCACCGGAGGAATGGAGAGAATAATCTTCAGCAAGTTACTATAAATGTAAACATTTGCATCAATCTTGTGAAGGCGGTTATTAATAATCCCCAAGTTATCCTTATACGTAGCTCAATCATACGTGGTTATTATAAAAAAGAACACAACTATCATACTCAAAAACGATACACCTCACGACTTATTTGTAAGTAATTCTATTCGCACCACTACACCTATATTAAGAGACATGAAAGATAAATAAATAAAAAAAATAAAATAGACCCCATATAAAAAAATCCTAGCCCGTAGTCATAACTCTTGATATCCTCGGAGGAAATAGAAACCAATCCTCCCATACATAAAACCGATACTTTTTCCCCCTGTCCCATGCAAACACAGCACATACATCCATAACTGGTATCTCGGCATAAAGGGAAAATCACGTCTAAAAAAGAAGGAGGTGCGACTTCAACTACCTTCACGATAGCGTCCCACCATCGTCCCTTAAGTCGAGAGTGTCCGGGAAACTATACGGTTTATTTGACGAGAAGACCTTGTTGAAATGCGCCGCGAACGAGTCATCCCAGAATGGAGGAGCGGGTAGCTGATCCGTACCGGCAGTGGAGAAGTCAGTAGAACGTGTGTCGTCGTCTATGGTTGTTAGTGTTGATGACGGAAACCCTTGCGACTCAGATGTCCAGGCGGTGCTGTCAGAATAATCACAGGTTAGAGATGGCATCTCGGATAACACAGTCTCTACCGGTTGATCTTGCGCGTGTTCTCGACGAAAGCGCTTGACGAGGTTGAGGCAACTGTTGATTTCTGACGCGTTCTGGTGATCATCATCTGCTAGACGATGAAGGAAAGTCTCAAACTTGGCAAGTGTATCGGTGCCGTCTTGATTGTCTCCTACGCCAGATTCCTTTTCAATCGCATCGCAATCTAGTAAATAGGTAGCTTATGTTAGCATTCTCTACCTACTTGAGGTAGGTTATGAAACAATATTCTGAGTCGCTTACAAGGTGATGGGACCTCGGAAGTCGGATCTAGTTTGAATATGATCCTATATATCTTCTTCCACTTCTCCTCTTCCGATATCCCACGCTGTTTCTTCCGGATCTCGCCTTTCTGTGTCTCATCAATGGTGTCGATACAATTATGAGAATCTCGTATTAGACAAGGTGTTTCCGAACGACGGTGCTGTTGGAGATCGTACATATTTTCAAACTCGTCGAAGCAACGGTCGCATCGACGGCGGGAGGAACAGTGGTTACGGTATATATGCTCTCTATGTTGTACCGTTAGCTATCAGTCCACCTTACGGTATTCTTGCAATAGATAGGTAGATAACTAAAACTGACTTGAGTCTATTTATCGTTCGACCTTCGGGTATGGTGCACGCTTTCCAGGCTTTCGTATTATATTTCCCCGGATTTCGTTTGTAGAATGGACAGGCAAATAGTTTCCCCTCTACATCAGGTCCTGACGGTTCTTGAGATGGGTTCTGCTCCAAAATATCTGGCGGTTGATCCTTGGAAGTATTATGAGTGAGTGTACCCCCTTTCTTACGCACTTTTTTTCTTTTCGGCTCATAGCTCATGTTGTCGTGGCCGGTCATATCGTCGAAAACTCGTCTCCGGCTTTTTGGATCCCCGAGAATACTTTGAGTGGGAGAAGTCTGCCCCTTAGGGAGGATATGTCGATGTGGTAGTACGCCGAACTGACGTCCACCCGATACACCCTCTATAGGCATCATATCGGTTGAAAAATTGAATGTAATATTATCATCGCCATAAGGTTCACTAAAGTTAGGCCAAAAGGAACCCTGACGGGGTACTGTTATTGAATCTGTGGGATTTAGCTCGTTAGAGCTTGACAATTGGTCCATCATGAAATTGATTGGTTGGGTTTTGCTTTTCAATACTGAAGAGTTGTTTTGGTGAAGGCTTGTGAGCTTTCGGGTTGGCCACGGCGGTTTGCGAGGCCGCGGAATAGCTACCGTGTACGTTGGGTCCTCTAAACATCTCTGTCGAAGGCATTGGAGTTTCTCCACAACTCGCGAGATGCTAGCTCTCGTTTCCCTATTGGTATCTAGCAGGTCATTGCGTGTAAGATTCACCAGGTCCGTAATATAAGGACTCGTTGCCTTTGCCGTGGTGATATTATTGACCCACTATGCTATTAGTAGAGCACCTTATATATCTAAGACTGCGGGACTTACTAGAACGACACTTGATTTGAGCTGTGCATCTGGTGGACCTCCTTGCCTTGCTACGATCCTAAAGAACCCGTCGTCTCTGTCCCCCGCTTTATCGGTTCGTTGGTCTACGTCGACTCGAGAGAGGGCGAAAGACTTGACACCTTCCCAGCCGCAAAGCATCCAAGTGAGAAGCTCAAGAAAGACGCATCCAAGGGACCAGATATCGTAGGCGCTATCAATTATCCCTTTTATGTCAAGTTCCGGTGCCCTATAAGTAGGCGAGAATCCGATAGGGTGATCACCTCTGCTTCTTTCTATCTGGCGGTGTAATGTACCGAGACCAAAGTCACTAAGCATCCAAACAAAATCGTTACTGCCAATATTCTTCTTGAATAAAAGAATATTCGAAGGCTTTATATCTCCATGTCGTCCGTAGTGTGATGAACCTGCCTCGGGGGCAGAGTGACCATGGTGGATTTGATACAGGGCATTGGCAATTCCAAGACATTGTTCTGAGACCCATCTAGAGAGAGACGTATCTAAGACTGGCTTTGGGTTGTCTTTCCAGAAAGAGTGTAAACTGCCCCCTTCGGCCCATGGGAAGAGCAGGTAGAACGAACTTTCGTGCCGGAACGCTGCTAGAAGTTTAACAACGTGTTGATGCGGGGAGACCACGAATGGCCTTAGAGCGGCTACTTCGCGCTGAAAGTCTTCAATTTGTCGGGAGCGTAGTTCTTTCAAAGCGAAGTATAGATTGTCCTAGGAAGTATTTAGCAGCTAGATCCCGCATCTATAAGCTAACTTCTCATACGTACCTGATTATTCCCAAAATCGTGATGTCGATGATGGATTTTGACTTTTCGAACAGTGCTGTAACCACCAGTTTTGATGGAGGATGTGACAGTGGCATCATCGTCGAGAATGGGGAGGATAGTTTGCGCGGAGAAGTCGTAGAGAGAGACATCTGTTGTTGATGCGCTGAGAAATGGGGACAGGACTACCCATTGAGTCTCTATAAAGGCGTCGATACTAGACAATGTCCAATTGTTGAAACACCGTGTGACTAGTAATACTAGTGATGGAGGATAATATAGTGGTGCTTTTTGATTTTGGAAGTGAGCATGACCAATTGGAAGCAATGAGTCCGTAAATCCGCAGACAATAAACGATGGGATAGTTTCAACCTTGCCGATGAGAACCAGGGTTATAAACGTTCTTAGAAGGCGAGCCTCCAGTACTTGTGACTCGAGACTCGACTTCTGAGAGTTTTTTTCCGGACCAGTAGCATCGTCGATAGTGATACCCAGAATCTGAGCGGTATAGTTGTAGAGGACGGATTCAGAGAGTGTTGGCATAGCTCTATTGAGCTCTTCCTTTACCAGTTGTGGCGTTATAGTATCGATCTGATTTGATGGTAGAAAGGATCTTGATTTAGAGTCAAGACTTCTACACATTGACATGGTGAGTCGGGTGGAGAGAACAAGGGAGGGAACATGCTGTTTATCGGCGATATAGGTCTGTTCCGCTTGATTTGTCTTGAAGTTTGTAACACTCAGCTGTGGCGGGCGTTCAGGCCATGGACGACTTTCAAAGTTATTACATTGTGAGCCGTCCCTATCGTGATCGTATTCTTTATCCATGACGATCGTGGTTGCAATCGCAGTAGTTCCATGTATAGATTGCCATAAGGTTCCCATGAACCAACTGACAAATCATTTAGGATTTCCAAGTTCTGATATGAGATTGTTGAGATCGTTTAGGTTTCCTGTGAGATTTAGGAACTAAAGAGGCAATGGTTTTTTTGAAATAAAAGAAAAAGGAGTGACTAAAGGTAAGTAAGTAATGGGGTTGATGAGTAGTAAATTTAATTAAGGAGTTTCAAAGTAGAATGGGAATACAATGTTATATTCATATGAGAGCTGTTGCATAAGGCTGCAGATGCATAGCTGCGTTATTGCGCATCGGCGCAATCCGTAGAGCTCTAGGTTTTGTCTGTATTAGAAGCTCTGATTCGCCCAACTCTCACTGCCCCCCTCAGTCCCTCCAACTAGAAACTCTTCTAACTGGACGAAACCGATAGGATAGTATGTCACAGATACGAAGAGAATATGTGCAATATTCTTTTTATTCTGTATTTTGTATTCTGTATTTTGTATTCTGTATTCTGTAGATATACATAGACTGCTAGTAAGCAGATGACACCAACCAGGCTCAAGATTTGTCTTATCCCTAATAGGAGCAAATCGAGACTCACAGCGCCATGCAGTTTGTTACCTATCCGTAACACCGGCGCTATCCAAAAGCAAAATTCCTATAAGACACGAATATGTCAATACATATACACAGCCACTCATTTTCATGATAGGCTCCTATATCCTGCGACTTAGTGGTGGCGTATTGTCCTCTGGCGTTCCAAGAACTAATGTAATATGCCTTTTTGCCCTCTAACGAAGTCCTTCGGTATCGCTTCCAGAGCGTTCTGCCACCTGGTGTGCGCGGCGTCTGCTTGAACAATGTCGCCTGCTTCCCTATACCAATGCTCCAACCGCTCCAATTCGCCGAGGAGGTATCCCATATCGGGATCCCATTGACCCTCCATCACCGAGACAATCTGTTCAAGGTAGTGTACCGATAATTGGTGGTTTGATTCCTTGGAAATTGGATCCTTCTTCAGTAAAAATTGATTTCTGTGGTAGTGGGCCAGCGAAGTTAGTGCGATGTAAACGAAGAATTCCGTGTTATATGCAATGCCCTTCGTGTTTTCGAGGACAGTATTGGCAAGCTCGAAAACGCGTTCGCCTTGCCATAACGTCTGATTTCCTAGAATGAGTAGTTCGGTTGCCTGAAAAACGGTCAATTCCTCTATCGCCGTTGGCATGGTTCCTTGGACTAGTCGCTTAAAGTCGCAGCGGCTTTGAAGACGACGATACGGTTGGGACTGGTATTGGTAAGCTCGTGGAATGAATAAAATAGGATAAAGCCTTGGTAACGTATCCGCCGGGAGGCCAGAATGATGTTCTTCAACTAAAAGGAGCTTTTCGGTACACTCGAAAATGAAGTCCCAGAACTCCTCATATTCATGGGTGCTGAGATATTTCCACATTCCCTGAAAGAGTCGCGCCATAGGCCCATCGAGTCGAACGGCAGACGCGTATGCCGAAAGGTATCGCCAAATTTCTTTGACAACCCCTTTATTCGAGGCATCAAGAACAGTGATTAACAAATGCAGCAATCCATATATCGATGGCTTTTTAAAAACTAAATGCAAAGACTTGAAACCTTGCTCGCACATTGCGCCACCCCTTTCATACTGCCCAACAGAGAATAGCCAGTCCGCATTGGTAATATCTGTGATCGCACAACGTAACTCATCTCCGCGATAATGGGCTGCGCAAGCAACTAATGGGGTATCAGGCGGACAGTACCAATTCCAGGCCAAATCTCTCGCGCATTGTAAGACGAGTTCCTGTAGTGATAGATTACCTGGGGCATGTAAGACCTTAGGACTTTCGGGAGGTGGTGTAAGGCAGCGCAAGTTCTCGGGGAGATTCTCGGCCAGGCCGGGTTCTACGAGATCGTACTGCGAGATCCCTTTCCTCTTGAGGTAAGCATCGATGGCCACCTCCTTTCCGTTGCGATGAAAGGCTGTGCGTTTGCCGACAGCATTTCGTTGCCGTTGAACCTGTAACATCGCGATAACATCCTTCTTGCTGTTATTTTTACTAAAACCCCACTTGTCGAAGCGCGATTTGTACATTCTGACACTGCCAAGGCATCGTTAGCCAACGGGGTATTCAAGAGGTAATGAAAACTTGGCGGCTCACGTTGCCCGAAACCCCTTTTGACGCATTATCGCCATGACTTCTTTCAGTGGCCTGTTCTCTTCTAAATACAATCGCCGTATTTCAGCTTTATGGGATTCCCATACTTGGGCCGAGTGCTGCTGCGAAGGATGAGCCTCTCCGGTCTGCGAGGAGAAGACAGTCTGCATATGTATTGCCGTCGGTTTGACAGGATCGACATCATGACTCGAGACGCTACTTGAATCAACAGGGCTAGAATCGCTTGCAGGAGGAGACAGCTCTGGCGAAAGGGTCTGCATGACTGGAGTCGAACCAGAGCTGCGGTAAGGAAGCATCATATTGACATTTGGGTTGGTTAAGTAACCATTAACCGTGAATGTGAAGTCGCCATGCATCTTGACTTTTATATATCCTACCCAAGGTAAAATTCCTTTTAGCTGGTGGTTGTGACACGGATAGATCCTCGGTCTGCTTTGTCGCACGCGCGAGTAACAATGATCGCCTTTTCTAATAGACTTTGTCGAGCGGCGGGTAATACTATTAATACTAGTGGAAACTAAAAAGACAGAAGAAAGTCGTCTAAGTCCACGCGAGACGATCTCAAGTAGTTTGATAATAATATAGCATAATTGTCTTAACAATATTCTTGTTGTTGAAGCGAAGGAATAGCCCGGCTACCAAGTGGACAGAAGAGAATACGATAGAAAGGTTATCAGCCCTACATGTAAGTAACATAGGGCTAAGGGGGGTTTGATATTGAGTGGGGATCGTTTGAATATTTAATAGGTAATCACGAGAGTTACATAAGTAGCAAGTGCTTAGGAAGTTGAGAGAGAGGAGGGAGATCAAATGTCTTGCATTGACGTAGTAACGGTACCGTAGTAATAATCACGAACCCGGTTAAGTGGTCTTGGGTTGGCGTGGTGTGTTTAGAGGAAGAAGCCGGTGATCAGCTTCTTAGAGTATAAATCGGTGGAGTGACGTTGCCTTGTGTGCTCCTTTCGTCTTAAACACTCGACCCTAGCGTGAGCGCGTTTCGACCTCTGCCGGCAATAGGAATGAGATAAGGCGACGGCCATAACCATGGCCATGGCTATGGGTATGTATGTATACCGAGGCCGAGCGAAAAAAGGGGAATAAGGAAAGGTGGTAGGCGAGGGGAGAATCGTAAGGAGTATGCTGGGATTCAAACTGAGCGGGATGTATACCCAAGTGTGGAGCCTAGTAAAAGAGAAAGGGTCGGGGGTTTGTGTCGGGGGTGTTGTCGTGCGTGAGTATGTGCGTGCGTGCGTGCTATCCTCGCTACTAAAATAATTCCAATACGCACTCTGCCCTGTTATGGCCCTTGCTTACCCTCTTAGCAACTTCGTTTTGGTTAGCTACTCGGCCGTTCGGTCTAGTCTTCCTAATTCCCTCTCCACTTCGACCCGCCACTTTCATCTTTAGCGCTGGTTTGACTGGGTTTGATCATTTTGTATACTTCGTTTACCGCGGATCGCAGATCCATAAGGTATAGTTCTCAAGCCGCTCCCGCCCGCTTTCTATAAGCTTAATCAATAGACTGCCGGCCGTATTTAGACCAATCGTGGATCAACGTCCGATATGAACAAGTTGCGTACCTAGGCACTGACTGCACTGCTTCACAGAGGGAGGTCTACGAGTTGTAGACCTATCCCCCCCGTATGTAGTAGGTAAGGCTGCGGCTGTCAGCTTCCCCTGAAATACCACATGGATATAAGGTATGTAAGACACGGAGTCCAAACGCGGTATTAACGTACGCATGCATTATGTATGCTTGCGGTGCGGTTGTGCAGCATTACATGTCTGGAAGTGGGCCACGTGGTCTGGATGTTCCCAAGATCAGGTACATCTAGATGGGATTGGCACATGCATTCATTTCCCTTGGTAATATGAGCGCATGAATGCATGGCGCCATGTTTGCGAACCCGCTTAAGTAATTGTAACGCTTAGTCTTCCTTACTCCTCCGGTAGGGCGACACCAAGCGGTTCAGAATTGCCGACATGTCAAGAAAAGTCAGGGGTTCCCTAGTCCTAACGAGGGTCCCGAGTTCGTACTCGTCAGCAATAGTCAGAGAATAATAATAATCTAATCTATTGATCAATTCAATCATGGCGGGACTCGAGTTGAGTGGGTCTTTTATGTGCCGTTACTATCCTCTTTTTTCTCGGCCTTTTTGTCATCTCTTCTCGTGAGAATTTCGTCCACGATGCCCATGTCTTTCGCTTCTTGCGCCGTAAGGTATTTGTCGCGTTCCATCATATCCTCTACATCTTTAAGACTGTATTTCTCATGATCAAACGCCTCATTTAGATGTTTCCGGTAAATCTCGTTGACCTGTTCGCGCGTGCGTTGTATCTGATTTGCATAAATCAAAATATCGCTTGCGGGGCCCTGTGTCCCGCCTAAAGGCTGGTGGATCATGATACTGCTATGCGGTAGGGCAAATCGTTTTCCCTTTTCGCCTCCCGCGAGCAGCAACGAGCCCATAGAAGCAGCTTGGCCAAGGCATACCGTCGATACCGGCGAACGGATATAAGCCATGGTATCGTAGATAGATAACCCAGCCGTTACGGAGCCTCCAGGAGAGTGGATATACATGGTAATTGGCTTATCCGGATTGTCGGATTCTAACCAGAGTAGTTGTGCCACTACCGAAGCCGATACCATATCGTCAATAGCCCCGTTCAGGCATATTATTCGTTCCTAGTTCGTCAATTCAAAATAATCAGAATATAGAGGAGAGATATACATACTTGTAACAACTTAGAGAAGATATCGTCTATGAGATTCCATCAGCAAATTTGTTTTTCATATGGTAATGACAAGTTCAAAAGTTCACGAACATGTCCTCCAGCCACCGGACTATTCAGTTAGCTATTGGGTCCATTTGCGTATTTTCCATTAACTTGTCTTACAGTAACTTCTGTGATAAAGGGTAAGGGAAGAGCTCCTTGAGGAGCTTGGATAGGATTCGGAGGGAGGAACTGTGAGAAACGACGAGTACCGCATCCTACAGTCTTCGTCGCCGCCCGCCAGAGGAACCGTTGACAATTCATAATGGTTTAGAAAAATTAAGGGCAAAATATGTGTTCAAGAGTTGGTGTTAAAATAAACTTTGATGTCGGACCCAAGTTTCTGGTTACTGGAAACACAACTTCAATGTTCCACCTAAAGGTTCGAGTTATTATTGGGAAGCTATGATCGGTCAATTGGAGCTATGACGCTCCGTGATCTTGTGATTACATAACTTGGATATAAGCTGTTGATAAGTTGATAAGTTGATAAGCTAGTTAAGTATTTTTATGTACATGTACCTAGAGATATCTACCTTTCTACTACATGTACTTAGCATCTCGGCTCAGTAACACTGATTACCTATTTTCCCCCAAGCTTAACTCTTAACTTAAAAACCCCTTCGTGTATCCTCTGTTTACTGCCTTCTATCTTCTATCATCTATCTTCTATAACACGGCCAATGTTATGAGACTATGTAAAGCACTGCGCGGCAGAACAGTGCCAAATCTAGCCAATTCAGAATAATTGCCCCGCATTCGAATTGTCGGCACTTTGCAGATGACCGAGCTCAGCATGGCAACGAACAGCTTGCAAGCGATCGAGACGATGTCTTCAAAGTTCACCCAGAAAACAAGACGGTGAAAACGGCTGTCGGCGAGCTGCCCCTATCTCCCATCATGGATCCTACATATTGGGAAGCTGTTAGGCGGCATCAGGTTCCTAAAGCGAGGCCTGGAAAACCCTTGAATTCAGTCGAGCGCCAACTTCGGGCTAATCCGTTCGGTACGATCATTATACTACCTAGCTAGTTAGTTTCTACCATTATCATCAGCTACTAATGTCTATACGATATAGCCAAAGCTCTAGCAACAAAGCTGCGAATGTGCTCATTGACTCGCACGCGGTTACCCAGTTCTCTTCTCCAAGACTTTACTTTTCTCGCCCACCCCGAAACCGGTGACCCATGGTTCGTTCCACATAGTCTTATACCCGACGAATCTCCCGCTGGTGACGAAGCGGATGTACAGGGTATAGCAGAAGCTATGAATGAGGTAGAGCTCGAACAAGCAGAAAAGGACAAAGATATGGCTTCCGCGACTACTGCCTCGACAAACAATAACCAACTACAAGGCCCGACTGTTTATTGTTTAGCAAGACAGGATCTAATCTCCTCAATTGCAGTTAAGGGGACCGGTTTCGAACACGGCGCCAGGCGAATGGCAGGAGCTAGTCAGCGGTACAGGAGTCTGACGAACAAAGTTGTCTGGCGCCAAGACATGGATAACTGCATTCTAGACATGATGCGACAGGGAATAGTGGACGACATATTGTACCTCTCTAGGCTTTGCGCCGAGTATGGTCGATACTATATCGTAAAGTGCTATGGTTGGGATGACGTGCGATACAAGCATAACGGCGCCATACTCTGGTTCGGGGAGCCGGATGAAAGTGTTAAGGAGGGTCAGACTTACAGCCAACCCGGCCCGTTTGCTACGTTCGGTATTCAGAAAATAGATATTCAAGGAGAGACCTATACCACAAGCGTCGCCGTGCACAATATGCCTATGCTTCTGGGGAATAAGCAAGCAAATCATATAAAAAAAGAGTCTTCCAGTCTGAAAGACGGTTCTATCTTCATGCTTGCCGGGCGACGAACAACAAATCTTCAGCTCAAACTTTGGAAGTTGCAGGGCTACCTAGCTGACTATACAAAGATAAAATAATGTTATACAATTTAAATTAGATCCATCTTTGCACCAGCTCCAGGTGACTTTAGGACTCTCGTTATAAATTGATGCTGTTATCAGTGTTACGAGGTGCTAATCGCATTTTACCCAAATATCAATCTTGACTACCTAGTATATATCATCAACACTGTACATCGATAATAATATACTGAAGTAGAATAAACTAAAGACTCACCTTTCCTTTGTCCCCATTTATTATTGACCCGGAGGCTCTATACCCAGAGATAGTCAGCTAGGCATCATCATCATCTACGCTACTACGGAGAATATCACTTAATTGGGAGCATAGAAAACTTTGAAATATTAAAATTCCGTGAATACTTCATTTCATCTACGGATCAGCCGACCAGTATCTCTCGTAAGGGCATAAAATACATAAACAATCCGTAATGCAACCACCAACTAGCAATATCTAAACCTGCTAGAAATTATCATGGCCCCGCGACTGGGAGGCATGAGGAATTATCGAGAGAAAAATGCCTAAGACACGACATCACCGGGAAAAAGAAGCCCGAAACCATCCAACTCCGAAGAACTTTTGCGATTCCTGTTCCTGTTCCTTTCCTGCCATTTAATGCATTTAGTCAACCTCTTCCATGGCGCTGTCGCCAGTCTCGGCGGCAGCAGTGTCAGCAGTAGCTGGCACCTCCTCAACTTCGGGCTCCTCATCGAGGTTCAAGCCCAGTGACACCAGCTTGTGGATACGCTCCGCAAAGCCGGCGGGCTCCTCGATGGTGAAGCCGGAGACGAGCAGAGAGGTCTCGAACAGAAGCTGGACAATGGACTTGACAGTCTTGTCGTTCTCGCCATCAGCCTCGACCTTCTTCCTAAGCTCCTTGATGATGGGGGACTTGGGGGAGATTTCAAAGGTCTTCTTAGAGCTCATGTAGCTGCTCATAGAGGTATCGCGAAGAGCCTGGGCCTTCATGATACGCTCCATGTTAGCAGACCAGCCAAACTGGCCAGTTCGGATGGCGCAAGGAGAGCCAACCAGCTTGTGAGATACGACAACCTTCTCAACCTTGTCGCCGAGGACGTTCTTCAACGACTTGGCAAGACCCTCGTACTCCTTCTCTTCGGCCTCACGGGCCTTCTTCTCCTCCTCAGTCTCCTCAAGGTCGAAGTCCTTGGTAATATCAACGAGCTTCTTGCCCTCAAACTCCTTCAGTTGAGTCATGGCATACTCGTCAATGGGGTCAACCAAGAAGAGAACCTCGAAGTTCTTCTCCTTAAGAGCATCCAGGAAGGGAGATTTGGTAACAGCCTTGATAGACTCGCCGGTGATGTAGTAGATGTTCTTCTGGTGATCAGCCATACGGGTAACGTAGTCGGCCAGGGAAGTCTGGTCGTCACCAGACTTGGTGGAGCTGAATCGCAGAAGCTTGGCAAGAATCTGTCGGTTCTGGGAGTCCTCGTGGATACCAAGCTTCAAGTTCTTAGAGAAAGCGCTGTAGAACTTGTCAAACTGCTCCTTGTCCTCGGCAATCTCGGTAAAGAGCTCAAGAGCCTTCTTGACAATGTTCTTCTTGATGACCTTCATGATCTTGTTCTGCTGTAGGGTCTCACGAGACAGGTTCAGAGGCAGATCCTCAGAGTCAACAACACCCTTGATGAAACTCAACCACTCGGGGATGATATCAGTGGCATCATCGGTGATGAAGACACGGCGAACATACAGCTTGATGTTGTTCTTGGTCTTCTTGGTCTCGAAGAGGTCGAAGGGAGCACGCTTGGGTACGAACAAGATAGCTCGGAACTCGAGCTGACCTTCAACTGAGAAGTGCTTGACAGCCAAGTGGTCCTCCCAGTCGTTGGACAGGGACTTGTAGAAGGCAGCATATTCCTCTTGGTTGATGTCCTGGGGGTTTCGGGTCCAGATGGGCTTCTGCTTGTTGAGCTCTTCCTCCTCAATGGAAGTCTCCTTGACCTTCTTAGTCTTCTTCTTCTTCTCCTTGGTCTCGTCCTCGTCGTCAACTTCTTCAATCTTGGGCTTCTTGTCATCGCCCTCTTCGACTTCCTCGGTCTCTTCGGCCTCCTCATCAGGGACCTCCTTCTCGGTCTCCTTCTTTACGTGAAGGTAGATAGGGTACGAGATGAACTCGGAGTGCTTCTTGATAACCTCCTTGATCTTGCTCTCGTTGAGGTACTCGGTCTGCTCATCCTTCAAGTGGAGGATCAACTTGGAACCGCGACCAAGAGGCTCACCTTCGGTGTCAGGCTTGACGCTGAAGGTACCACCGGCAGACGACTCCCAGATGTACTGCTCGTCATCGTTGTGCTTAGAGATGAAGGTGACGCGGTCGGCCACAAGGTATGCGGAGTAGAAACCGACACCGAACTGACCAATCATGGAAACATCCGCACCAGCTGTCAAGGCCTCCATGAATTGCTTAGTGCCTGATCGGGCAATAGTACCCAGGTTGTTGACAAGGTCCTAACTCTAATGTTAGTAAGATGTGATTTAAAATTACACTAATGTTAGGTAGGTAACTTACGGCCTTCGTCATACCAATACCGGTATCACGGATGGTCAGGGTCTTGTTCTCCTTGTCGGGAATGATGTCGATACGGAGGTCCTTGTTGGACTCGAGCTTGCTCGGGTCTGATAGGGCCTCATATCGAATCTTGTCGAGAGCATCTGAACAGTTGGAAACTAATCTCGTAGGAAGATTTCCTTGTTGGAGTAGACTGTGTTGATGATGAGGGACAAAAGCTGAGAAATCTCAGCCTGGAACTCGAAAGTCTCCGACATCTTGATTGAGGGTTTGGTAGGAGTATGAAAATCTAAAGTCTGGAGCAAATGGGCGGTTAGCTTGGCTTAGAAAAATGGGGATATTTGCAAGGGTTGGATATGGGAGTAAGAGGGGTTATGATGGCGGGGTGAAGAAGAGATTCGCACAAGGCGTTCAATGAGAGTGCGTTGAGGGGAAATTGAACAAATTTCTAGGGGCTTGTGTCTTGTATTGTTATTTTACTCTTTACTGGAACAGTTGAAACAATGTAAAGAATCGATTTTTGTTGTAGAATTGAGTAAGAGGCAAAAGACAAGGCTGATAAGGTGGGGGAATGTCTAGAGTGCGGTGGGGTTGAACTTACCAGAAGATGATGGTATGGTGAGGGTGGTTTGGGGGTATCACAAGAGAAATTCTATGTTCTCTTCTTGTCACTAGAGAAGATGTAAGAAGAATGGATTGATCTGAGGAAGAAGAAAAAAAGTTGAGAAGAAAGTGAGGAGGGAAAGGAAAGAAGTATTGTTCACGAAACTGCAGTCCGCAGCTAGAAATGTTCTTCACAGCTCTTTCCTTTCGGTGCACGGCCCCACCATGGTTTCTATTGAATTCTATGGCAATTTTGGTACTAACCAACGGTGCTAAGCTCTCTGATTGGCTAAGAATTGCTCCAGGGCAACCACTGTGGACCACTGATTGGACTGCATCCAGAGCACTGACATATCTCGAGCCTTCCATCTCTTTGCGGTCGGTGCCTGCAGTTTCTCCAAACTTCTGGAACGTTATAGGCAGGGAGAAATCAAACGGGGATAGTTAGCCTAATAAATCTGCCATACCTCTGCGCCGTAGCTGCCTGCCTCTAAAGATGTACCTGTATCAAATTTAATCAGGTATGCAGCCTGCCTTTTACTTACCTGTATGTACAACATATTTCTAGGTTGATACATGTAAGACCTATTAGGTTCAATTTACAAATACCCAATGCCCTTCGTACATATACGCCTAGGATATACATTTAGAAGTTACCTCTTCTGCCACAAATTCGCATTTTGATATTATAGGAGATACTCAAATAGCCGGAGTTAAAATATTGTATATCATTTACACATAGTAGTTAGTTACATAGGTACACAAAAATCTAGTAGAAGCTTCTATGTCCTTGTCCGATAATCGTCAAGGCAATCAAACATTCCACATCCCCCACTTACCTGATAAGGTACTTTAGGTACATAGTACCTTAGCGACTTGGGGGGGTAGCAGTAGCTGCATATATACCGCTTATTAAATATAGCCGTATTTATCCCACTTAATTCAGGAAGCCGCTCCCGATTCTTACGTTTAAAAGATTAAGTGACTCAAATATTTGAGTGGTAATATTACCGCTTACGGTTTAAACGCACCGATTTTTTTAAACGTTAGGCCAAAATGAGCCGTATGCATGCGGTTCCGACCAATGAGCGGCTCCTGCGCCCCTTACACTTTTTGCGCCGCTCCCGATTTGAGCGGCTCCCCGTTTTAAGCGGCTCCTCCGTTTTGAGTGGTACGTATAGGGTATTATTACATATACTTTTGGCCGCACAGACCCCTTATACCCCATAATTACAAATCCACACGCGTGCCTGTAATACGTAACGTAGTCTATTTGAAAAACACGTAACCTTCCAATTAAATCAATCGTATACCGTAACCTGTAATTATATTTGTGACTATGAAAAAATAAAAAATAAAAAAAATAAAAAAAATAAAAATAGAATAAAAAAGAAAAAAGTAGATTCCCATACAAAAATGTATGGGAATATACCTTTTAATCTTTTTATATACCTATGCACTTACCCGGAGCGGCTCCCAATTGGGAGCGGCGCAAAATATGAGGGGCGCAGGAGCCGCTCATTGGCTGGAGCCGCTTACAGTGGGGGAGCCGCGCAGCACTTGTACCGCTCAAAAAAAAATGATTGGCTCAAAACGCCGATACGTATGAATTTAGTGAGCTTCACGTTTTTCACTAACATTTGGGAGCGGCTTATACCTGGGAGCCGTATATATACTGTATATATACGGCTACCACTACCCCCCATCTGACGCTAAGGTAAGGCTGATCCCCAGACTAGATAGCTTCGGTAAATCATCGGTATACTCCACTGAGGCTGAAGCTGAGGCTCATTTTACCGCTTGGCATAAACCTTAGGATCCAGTACTTCGTAAATAGCTTAAGTTCTTTCAGATGGTTGGAAGATAGATGAGCTTCCTAGATGTACATTTATATAAAGTTTACCTCCCATAAAAAATTTTTATATTTGTCAAGTTTGACTGAACAATAATACATGGATATAATCTTGGAAAATGGTATATCTAGTTCTTATGGTATGTGATAATCATGAATCAATAAAGCTGAAGGTCAAATTAATCATCAGGATATTTTTAGCTAACTATGTAAGAAATAACACAACCAATTTTTTTATACAGTACATGATCATTAAATTACAAGAGTAAGAACACTTAAGGCAGAGCATGTCATTCTGGGCCCATGCTTAACTACCTACCTAGGTACCTAAGGTAAAATCAGGTTACTATTCCAGAAAAACGGAACAAAAATCTCAACTACTTGTTTAAACAGGAACTTAGGTGTCGGTCGCCCACTCTTCTTCCAGATGACACCATCCCGAAACCTCCAACCCTTTGCTCCATCATAAACCCCAGTTATCATACGGCTTCATAAGCTCGTTGTTCTTCACGCCCTCGGGGAAATCCTCCTCACCAAGATGTGTCGTATGAGCCCAAGGTTTAAGCCCCATTCTCCTCCCCAATAGTCTTCGAGAAGCAGCCGCTCCAGCCCTTGCGCGGATACGCCTTGTTGACATCATCCCTGGTAACCGCGTCGATGATCTGCGGGTTGATTCCCATGTTGTCGTAGATGGTCGCGAGCTGGATGAGCTGTCCTAGAAACGTGATCTTACCGACAGTACCTAGGTCCTGGTGCCGGATGATTGCCTCCGCTACGGCCTCGGCCTGGGCTGGCGGTGCACCGAGTTCCTTAGTTAGATTCAGGGCTAAGATTCCTCCGTAAAATTCAAATGACAGGAGTGTTGCTCGTAGGTTCTCTTGCGTAGTGCCGATGTCATGGAGGAGGCACGTCAGCGCCCATGTGGACAAGGAGAGTTTGCCAAATTCTTCGGGAAATTGGTCTTTGAGGATGGAATATCCTGGTCGCTTGATTAGTTTGAACTTAAAGGGCTATTTCGTATGTGATTGTTGACTAGTGTCCCTTACCCCAGTGGTAAACCCGCATTGAATGATTGTATGTTTCTTCGATAAGATTCTTCCTGGCGTATTCTTGAATCCTAGCGACGATAGCATCGTTGGAGGGAAACGGGATATCCTTCACTGTCAGGGGCGAAGGTTTGTGTAGATAGGGTTTCCCATTGAGGATAGCATTGCCGTCCACTGGAAAGGCGCTCCAGCCATGTTTGGCAATATCATCTGCTGTTGCTGCTGGTGTGGAAGACATGATCGTTAGTGTTGAATGACTCCTAAAACTAAAACTCTGCTACACTACGTCTGATATCACATTGATGGATGGGCTTCCATTTCCTTTATATATGATTTGTAACACCGATGACGGAGTTTAAATATAATTATTCTTATAAATATTATTTGTCAGATTTTAGCAAAAGATAACTTTGTCGAATTACGTCTCTTGTTCGGGCTTTGGTCATGTATAATAGAGTTAGTATCGTTCATCATGACTGTAATTCCGCGGGATTATAATCCTCGATTAGTCTTATACTTAAGCCTCCCACATCCTCAGCTTCACCATACGTCTAGTATAATTTAAAATTTGCTAGGCCGTGATACGGAGCTATGAGTACAAAGTTACCAAAATTGCTGCTACGACATTTCCGGTGACTATTAGCTCTCGATCGCGATGTTCTTCGCGGGTAGATCTAGTATTGGTATTTAATGTCAATCTTCCGGATTGACAGTGCCTGCAACAACCCCCTCTACAGTAGGAGAGCATGGCATGCTCCAACTTCGCTGATATCTCGGGGTATTCGTTGGAGAAGGTGGCCGTAATCGGTTGAAGTCGATGCTTACGATATGATATTGCCGTTAAGCGAAGAGAACCATATCAAGTTTTCCTGGTATGTATATAGATTGGCTCTTTCCATCCAGTTTGTCGCGATTAGAATCTACAGTAATAATTAGCAATTGTGTCGGAGTCTCGTGGGAGGAATTGACGTAAGTCTTACCGGATTTCGTATGACCCTGCTCTCGTCATGTATCTAACCCATTTTACACTTGAATAATTACTCTTTTCAAACACCTTCAAGTATCGTACAAGGAGACCCGAGCTAGTAAACATGAGAAGGCTGAAGTTCATGCTGAGAGGCGGGCGCGACCAGGCCTTCTGGTTTGTCATGCTCGTGAGCTCCGCCTCGGCACTTAACACGAATTCGCTTTGGCCAGTGAAGCGACCGATTTTCCAGACGATGTTGTTTTCGCTTGGCTCGTACTTGGCCTTTCCTTGGGTGCAGCGTTCCGTGATACGAGCTGTGTTCAACGGAGTGGGGATACGAACAACGACGTTGGTAGCGAACAATTTGCTACCAAAGTTCGCCTTGACGCCAATACTATACTCTACTTTGGTCTTGCCAACTTCATTAACGATGGCGTGCACCTTGAAGGGTAGATTGACGTTTTCCGTTGCTCGATATCGCATAAGCTCGAACTCGCCGTCGGGAGGGATGAAGGAGATAAATTCGGTCGGTATCGAATTGCCTAACTTGACGCATTGATGGAATTGACAGTCCTCCAAAAGTAAACATACCGGCAGCTGCTTTTGTAGCTTTGGTCCCGAGCTTATTACCGCTCGGCAACGACTGGAGGCCATCGTGGTCTAACAGCAGGCGGTCGTTGAGCCCGAACTTACATTCCGGTGTACCCGAGAGATATGCGCGCATGATAATCTGGCCGGTGACATCGGCACGAAGAACGGTCCCCGTAGCTGACATCAAAAGGTTGACATCCTCTATCACGTCAACGAACGCTTCATTCTTTCTATATTTAACATCGGCCTTCCTCCAGGATAGGGCACCGGTAGCTTGCATAGTTATCTTGGCCGAGTCTTCAGGTGCGCGTTCGGACTTGACACCTTCGGTAGTGATGTACATCTTTAGGGTGTCTGTCTCGGTATTCTGAGGGTATCCAAAATCGATGATCTCTGAAACAAAATATTTATTAGATGACATCTACACAATAGTATAGGACGGGTTTATCAAAGACTCACCGTCTAATAGTTCATAGACTAGCACGAAATTATTCTTGACGGCCTCCTCGTCGAACTTGCCGAAGTAACCCCTACCAAGCTGGATCAGCCGGTATAGAAACTCGAACACCAAGGCAGCATTGGCATTGCTCTTAGTAATGGCAACCAAGTAGATGTTTTCATGCTTAACATGACTAAAGGTGGTGCTTCCGAGGGTGAGAATAGGCGAGCGGACCTGAGGATTGGATATAACTTGAATTCGAAAGACATCGGCGAGACGTGGTCGACAGTCGTTTCGAAAGGCTCGGAAGATGAGGTTCCACCCTTTTGATTGAATATTAGGATGCCGGAAAGCATCTTGTCGACCTCGCGACTCAACCCTCGCCAAAAGATAAAGGAGGGTATGACGAGAGTCTTTGGCTATCCAAACTAATTAATTAAGTTGGAATGCGGATGCTAGAATATGATTACGGTGACGCCGCGACGGGCAAAGCAATGGCGTTTCCTATCAGCGTGTCGAACACCTGGAACCAATTAAATTAGGTACCTAGGTTATCTAAGGTGGATTACCTAGCCATATTCCGATAAGATAGGTTAGGTAAGTACCTAGGTATAGGTATATAGAAACGATAAGGGGTCCACTATGGGTTTACAGTAGGTACATGACTCCACTATATTTTAGGTGCATAAAGTAACTAAGACACCTAATATGAAGCATTTATACCCTGAACGGACAAACCCATTTATGCAGGGTTTTATTTCTTGGCTTCACTTTGATACCTCTTCCATACCTTAGGTACATATCAACATCTGCACAACCATCACTTGATCATCGAAAGTCAAGCAGGCAAGGCAATTTATTATATCACATGGCATTTCCCACAACCGGGTTCATTCCGTTCAGTTCCGGATTCCGAAATCTATCCCACTGGCGCCCAGAGTCTAGACTCAAGCAAACCTCAGGAGGTAACTTGTTATACCGGTTTGGATGTTACCTCCAGATCCAAGGAAGAGGTAAATATACATGGGTCTATAATGAGACTCTCGGTCTAGATCATCATGAGACTAAAATAATTAGTGATAGTCATAGACGTAAGTTTACCTAGTCCCGACAAAGCTATCGCTTTGGTTTCCCATTGAGGATACAGCGTAGTGTGTTAGTGGTGGAAGACAACTACGTTTAATCCGAGCCCGCCGCGACTTGAATCCCCCCTCACGGCCATGGGTTACCTATTCTGGCCTATCCAGAGATATGCTCCGAGATCACTACCGAAGTAGGCTAGGTTTATTCCAACGTCTTGGGGCATTATTATATGGAACGTCTAGCTGTGCTCACTTTCGATTGGAGGGTTTGATGTAGAGAAAAACTAATAGTCTGAATATTTCCATGGTCATAAGAGATATCGTCGTCTCTAAGCACCATGACAGCTATGACAGCTATACTGGTGCTTCCCCGAAGTTAGGTCGCTTATAATCGTTCGACTTAAGTCCGCTTTTGTGCTGAAGCTATGTCCATTCTACGGGATCGTGAACCGCGTTCCCGCGCCGCTGAGACAGTCGAGCATATCTAGGCCAAGTTCACGAGACCGCCAAAAGCATCACTTCCATGTGGGGTGATTTGAGAGATTCTTCGATCGTGTCTATAGCAGTCGCGTTCCCGTCTATCCGACAGATCTGAGATCTAGATAGTCTCCCATTATAATATAAAGAGCCATTGTCCCAGGTTCCTGAATAACATCTTCTACTACGACACGCTCGCAACTTCTCATCTCATCTCTAAAGACAACTGAAGTCAATATGTCTGCAAAGAAGTTTCTCGTCGCTGCGTTGAGCTCCGTAGCTCTCGCTGTTCCTTTTGAAAATGTAGTCGAAGAACGTCAGGCAGCTTGTGCCTCCGCCTGGTATGATTTCTCACCCTTCTTTTAATAAACATGTCAACTAATATCGGTATCAGGGGACAATGTGGTGGTCAGGGGTGGACTGGTGCTACATGTTGTGTCAGTGGGAGCACATGCAACAAGTCAAATGAATATTACCACCAGTGCTTACCCGGTACCGCGACAACTACTGGCACAACTACTGGTCCTACATCAGTATCTTCCACTGCTAAACCTACAACTACTAAGCCAACAACTACAGTTGGAAGTACCACGACCAAGGGTTAGTCAATGAAGCCTCGATACTATCTAGGCTGCTCTCCGTAGTTGTTCATTATCGTTCAACCAAAAAGTGGCCCTAGATGTTAGAAGAATTATCACTAAATCCTGAATATGAAATAGTCCCTACTACTACTGCCCCAGTCGGTAGCGGCACAGCGGAATGGTCAGGAAACCCATTCTCAGACGTCAATATGTGGACAAACTCGTACTATGCATCAGAAGTTTCTGCATACGCCGTTCCCACTTTGGGACCTGGCGCAGCAGCGGTTGCAAAAGTACCCAGCTTCATGTGGCTGTAAGCAAAAGCCAATTTAGTGATATTATCTCTGGAATTCAACTGACATGCAATACAGAGATACTAGGGACAAGGTTGACCTGATGGCGGAGACTTTGGCCGACATTCGTGCAGCTAACAAGGCCGGTGCTAATCCCCCTAACGCTGGAATCTTCGTTGTCTATGATCTGCCCGATCGTGACTGTGCGGCAGCAGCCTCAAATGGCGAATATTCTATTGCTGATGGGGGCGTTGCGAAATACAAGGCATACATCGACGCGATCGTCGACTTGGTCAAGACTTACTCTGATATACGACTACTCCTTGTTATAGGTAAGTTTATCAGTATCGAGTATTAAGTCTTTTCAACGCTAACAACTTGAATAGAGCCCGACTCATTGGCCAACATGATCACCAACTTAAACGTAGCCAAGTGCTCCAATGCTGAAAAGGCTTACTTGGAATGTACACAGTACGCAATTAAAAACCTGAACTTGCCTAACGTTGCTATGTACTTGGATGCGGGACATGCTGGCTGGTTAGGATGGACTGCGAACCTGGCGCCGGCTGCTAAGATGTATTCTCAATTATACAAAGACACCGGGTCTCCCAAGGCGTTGCGTGGCCTTGCTACTAACGTCGCCAACTACAATGCCTGGGAAATAAGTACTTGTCCATCGTACACCCAGGGCAATACCAACTGCGACGAGTCCCGTTATGTCAACGCTATGGCTCCTCTACTTAAAGAAGCAGGCTGGGACGCTCACTTCATCACAGACACTGGTCGCAGCGGAAAGCAGCCCACAGGACAACAGGAATGGGGCCATTGGTGTAACGTTATTGGAACGGGCTTTGGCCAACGTCCGTCAGCTAACACGGGCAGCGACCTTCTGGATGCTTTCGTCTGGATAAAGCCGGGTGGTGAATGCGATGGTACTAGCGACACGAGTGCTACAAGATACGATTTTCACTGCGGCCTGTCCGACGCACTGAAGCCGGCCCCTGAGGCGGGTTCGTGGTTCCAGGCGTATTTTGAGCAGCTTTACAAGAATGCTAATCCTCCTTTCCAATGAAGGATGAGGCACTAAAAACTTGTCAGAAATAGGGGCTTAATTGTTATTTATTTCTCCTTAACATTAGGCATTCTAAATTAATCATATATAATGCCATTTATTCTTGAATCAAAGTCCCTTTCTAGGTTAGAGATATTGCTCGTCACTGGAATTGAAATTTTGTCTACAGCATATAATAACCTAATAGTTGCCCGAATCCTTACTTCCGCTTTATAACCGCTACCTGGCTCTTCACGGGCACATTTTCCTTCCGGCTCGGAGTTGGAAACCCATCAACCGGCACCCCGGCACGGAACAGCAGGCAGTGTGATGAGCCGCCGAAATGGAACATACCGATCTGATCGCCCTTTTGTACATGCTGTCCCTGGCCTACCGTGATCTCGCACGTGCTGACCTCGTCCATACCCACGCCTACAAACGCCATCAGTCCGATTGCTGGATTGTCTGCTTGGATAAAGATGACAGCGCGCGTCGCCAGCGCCGTCAGGTATCCCTGCGCCACGCTGATGCCGCGCGTGTCGATTTCGCCAGAGCGTTGTGTGCTGTGTTCGCCCTCGGCATAACCACCTGCTGGGCCTTCGAACAGCGGTTCGCTGAAGTAAGTTCCATCCTTCACAAAGGCGCGTACGATACGGCCTGAGACAGGAGCGTGCCAACGGTGGTACGACAGTGCTGATAGGAAGGCTTGGTACACTGTTGCACCGTCGAACTGTGCGGCTAGAGGATCGTGGCCCAGCATGTCGAGAACCGAGTACGGCTGGCTCTTGATCCAGAAGCGGTCGCGCAGCTTGGCGTGTCTCTCTACGTTGTACACTTTAGACTCGCATGCGTTGGCTACTACGTCGTCGTTATCCGGTGAGGCTACGGGCCGTGCATCCTCGCGCAGCTGTCGCGTGAAGAAGTCTAGTGATATGTTAATTTCTTTTTTTTTTTTTTAAAAATTGTCACAGGCGAGATAACTGATCCCTACTAGATATACTTACCGTCCCAAGAAGTGTAGCCGTAGTGTTTAGCTGAAGGATCGCAGATATACATATCCTCGAACCTGTGCGACGTCTTCAGCGGTGCGTTGGCTACCTCCATCAAGTCTTTGAGGCCGTGCTCGGAGAACCAGCCCTGTTTATGGGAGGCGAGCACTTCGGCTGATTTCGGTGTCTAGTTGCGATGATCACTGTTAGGATGGGCTTCTCCCCTTTTACCAAGACTGGGAGACTTACCTTTAAGAACTTGCCCCATTCATTCAGGATCTTCTTCATCATCTTATTGACCTCTGGATCTAAGAAAGCGGCGTGACCACTATATTCCCGAGTTAGCTAATGGCATATTTGCATACCCGAGTTCGGCAGGGGCGCTCACCTAGGTGTGGCCATCACGTAGTCGAAGATACCCACCATGGGGACTCCGACCATGCCAACGCCGAATGCAGCATCAGTCCACAGAGGAGCTTGCGTGAAGATGTGGTTGAGCACGGCTAGCATGTGCCGGTAGTCTCGGATCTGCCTCTTGGTACCAGTCGGATCTTTGTAATACGGCTTCTTGAGCGGTATCTCATCCCACATTTGGTTGAAGTACATGTAGATACGTGAGTTTCCTTCGATAAGTTTCTTGAAATCTTGAAGAACGGGAATTAGCTCTTTTTGAGGAGCTTTGTCGACGTGTTCGATTTGCGTCTTGAGCCATTCGTGTTGGACACGATGGTCTGCTGGAAGCCAGGCGCCATGACTGTGAAGAGTAACTATTAACAAAATTCCTAGATTTTAATGTTGATGTCTGAGGCCATCGTTAGTGAACTTACTTCTGAGTACGATGTTCCTGGGGGATATCGTGTTCGTCGCCGTGTTGGTGAACCATCTTGAATTACACTATATTAAACCACAATGACAAGTCTTTAACCAAGAATCCTATGTGGATAAACAGTTTCCATCTAGAACTGTTCCTGAATTGCCAAGAGCCATGGTCTTTCATGGTCTCATATACCATAGGGATGCGGGGTACGGATTTCAGAAAGACTACCATGTGGTGAGGTTGAAGACTTGATCATGATGTAATGATTCGACGTTGGCTGCAGGGCGATCAGTAAGGCCCCCCTAGTAAGGAGAGAATTGGGTTTCATGCGCCTCTAATGTCCAAGCTAAAGTGGAATCAGCTCCAGATTAAACGTTTAGGTTTCCAAATCATAGGGAATCAAGAGGTCACTTGATGCTTTGTTCGGTGGAATAGTTGACAGGTTTTTTAAGAAAGTCGCCTAATTTGTGGAATCGAATGATGTAGGTAGTCTTCTATGCCTGACCATGATTACAGCTTTAAAAAAAATAATATGAACGAGTCATACTTCGTATTGGTTAGGTATTTACGACAAGTTAAAAGCTCTCAATGCGGAGCGGAGCGTTCCTTTGATTACTAGTAGGTAGTTAAAAAGAGTGCTAGGACGCATCTCAATCCGAGTAAACCTAGTATGACCACACGTTAGACGCACATGTCAAACGTCTTCATACAAACTATTTGACTGACAGATGCCTTGATGGAATCATAATCTCGGTAACCTGATAAGACTTCGGGGAGAAGCCGTTACTCTATTCTAAACCCGTGTTAAGCCCAGGAAAGAAAGTTATGAAATATGCATAGCTCGGACAAGCAAGAAGCAAGCCCTAAACCATTCCTAGGTAAAATAAAATAACCCCCCTCCCAAAAAACCCCATATTTGCCACTGTCAACTCAGTAAGCGACTTCAAGTTACTAATATGGATGGTAATCTTAGGTCAACAAGGAAAGCGGCGTTAAAATCGATAGTCTTCACAAGCTCATGTTTGAGATGACTTCACTAAACAGGCCGTTCCCAATCCATGTTCTCAAGCCACTGCATAAAATCATTATCAGGCCCTAAGAACGGAGTATCGATACCAAAGTTCAGATCGGTCATAGTAAAATCAGTTGCGCACGGCATGTGAAAGCCGTAACTTTGGGTCGGCTCGTTCGCCGGAGCGCCCATAACCGTCTCGTCAACTTGCTGGTCTTGATCCTGGTGCGCAGGTTGTTCACCTGAAGCCTGACGTTGAATAGGAGGGTCAGGAGGACTTAGAATCCTATCAAGTATATGAGAGATGACCTTTCGTCCCTGGTCGCATATACTAAAAGATCCGTCACTAGGATCGCAGCCCCCAGCCCAGCTGCCGAACACGGCTAGATCTTGGATGGTCTGACTTCTAGGGAGAAGAGGGGCTTTCGGATAAACGGGGAGTTGCTCTTGTTTTAATAGCTCGACTGCCATGACGGCAGCGCTCCGCATACCTTGTACTGCGAGAAGAGAAGCAATATCTGTTTTAAATAGCGTCCCTAGGTCATGGCGTTGACTGATTAACAATATATCCTTTAGGATTGAGCGTGCAAGTCGTATGAGCTCCTCTGAACTTGCCCCAGCTTTACGAATCAAGACGCGCTGGAGCAAAAGGTCGTTTGAACGGAAGGATTGATGGATTACAATCATGAATAGTATTTCCGTTGGTGGTCTTCCCTCTATTTCTATAGGCGAGTCTCTTATTTTCTTGATGAACCCTGGGAGTTCCTCTATATATCGACGGTGTCTATTTTTGATATCTTCTGCGCGTTGTAGGATCTCGTCGCGTGTATACGGACCTAGGGCCAGGTCCAGTATGTCTTCTCTTTGTATAGCGAATCCAATCCAGATTCTTATCCAAGTAACGCGACGTATTCTTCCTGATGTATTGAATCCTTTCTCATCTAGACTAGCAAGTGCTAGAGTTAAGTCATCTCCTTCGAGGAGGAGGGAGACCGCAAGGTCTAAGGGAGGCTGGAGATTACAATAACGATGTGAAATCCGAGGAGGGCGACCCGTAAACGTTGATATACCGATCTCCGCGCCATACATCTGGCAAAGCAGCCTTTTTCGTAGTTCTTCTAAAAAGAATGGAAGCCGATCCTCTTCTTTGACCCCCCGGTGCAAACCCATCGCAACGGTCGAAGCTACAATCTCACCACTCAGGGTATATGTAGTGTGACTAGCTTCGCCTTTAATCTTAGCCGTTAGAGAGTAATTCTCCATGAGAAGCCAGGTGAACATATCACCCAAAGCTCCACAGTCGCGGCAAAAGTTTAAACAAGTCTCTGCAATCTCGTTCATCTGTCTCGCAAATGAGGAATGCGCCGCCGAGTTATGTTTCTTAGAACCGCGACCGAAAGGTTCGGGAGTGTTCGCAGACTGGCCGGCGACTACAGCGATGAGGCCAATGACTTCCCATCGTATGCTTGGTCCAGTAGCAGATCGCGCCCACTTCAATGCGTAGAGTTAGCAACAGAATCTCTGATTCATGAAGATAATATGTTGACGTCGGGTAAATATACATGAACCCAAAGTTCCAAATAGGGGGCGAGTAAATCATCACTTTAACTGCCTCCTAAGGTACCTAACTTACATGCTTAGCTGTCGTATTCTGGTTAAATATGACTGGAGTTTGGGTATTACGCCAGATTAATTCACATAATCGCCGAATCTTTTCGGAATTTTGATCTCTAAGCTGTGTTCATAGAATTAGTTCCAATTATTGCACAGCTCCTGAGGTAATTGTATTTTCTATACGTACAACGTCTCCGTGATGCATGCCGAGACCCCATAGCCACTCTTTCATTATGGGCTCTATACATATACAAGCTTCGTCTTCGCATATTTCGTACCAGCGCGATACGAGACGATTGATCATGTGCTTGTCTTTTAAGAATGAGAGGAGTTTACATCCCTGGATTATTCGGTCGTGCGATAAGCTCATTTCTTGGGCTTCGGGAGCTTCTAGGCCCGGAGAAGAGACATCAAAGCTACCAAGGCCGTCCGTAAAGATAGAAATATAAGATGTCTCGCCAAGAAAGCCTATGCTTATGGTACGGTTGGTAGACCCATCCCGACTTTGCAATGGCGGAGCGGATGCCGCTCGAAGTACTTCGCGAGTTATTACTTCAGCAGAACGTGCCGGCGTGATCTGAGATGCGAGTACGTTAGGTGATTCTGCAGTTTGTGCCTCAATTGACTGCACAGGAGTTATGGGACCATCATCGCTCCTTACTGAGAATCGCGTTGAGGGAGTCGTCTTTTCTCTTCGACGAGCCTACCCCGGAACACCATTAGCTTAATTTATAAACGTTTGTAGATGTTTACTGGTTAATGCCTTTAGATGTGGTATAATTAGTATACTGAATGACCAACCTGAGTAAGAGGATTGGGGTGATAGATGCACTGATCAGCGCAATGTCTCTTAATACATCTGCCGCAGGTTGGGACGACATGATCACACTTCAGCTTAGATCGTCTACATGGTTCACACGATCTAGATAAGGTGAAGAGTATAGCAGGAACAAGCCCCGACTCCCAGGCCGTAAGGTACATGGCTTGATGAGATCCTAGAGGACATCTAGTTTACCTACCTACCTGAGATATGTACCACACGTCTTAGGGAATCTAAGCTTGATCCCGCGGTATCCCCCGAATGTAAGCTTGCGTAGGTATGAGATGGAGCGAGGGTAAATGAGAAAAGACGAGGGGGGACTGGGGAAAATGCATACTGTAATTTTCCATTGCGTCGGTATTTCCCCGTCAAGGCACGATGTGAATGCCTAGGCTGCAAATCTATAATTTGACCACCAAGCGGCTGCTGTGAAGGATTCATTGAGACTACTAAGACTCCGAGATACCTCGGATTTGGGGTCCACAATGTCGGAGTTGATGTGACCAAGATAGAATATATCGAGAAGAGCCCTCTTGATAGTGACCGATGACATGAGTTTGAAGCATCTCTGCTCATTACTTAGGCAGAGATCGGTGTCCAAGTAATCATCGTTCATAGATGTGATGTGATGAACTCCGAGCTTTCCTAGCCGCTGATTGGTTGATAGACACATTGCTTTTCGGCCTTCGGCATATTAACAAACGCGGTCACCTCGGTGAATGACTAGGGTTGAAGCAGGAGAAAATACTCTATTCATGATCATGAAGGTATTGTTGAAGTCATCACCACTATATCCATATAAGACAATTTTCTTAGAAAGAAAGTAGTTTTAAGTCTAGTTATCATGTTTAAGGAAACCTTAGACAAGCAACTAGAGGAACACGTAGGTGTTTACGCAAGTCGTCCTGGTCCGTGAGCCGTAACCTTCTTAAGATCACCTTAGGCATTTCCTCGAACCGACTTTTAATTTGTCTACAATCAATCATCAATTAAAAATATGTCGTTATTAATTTAACTATTAGTCTTATACTAGGAGATGGAAATCTATAATAGGTATACATTCATAATGCTGGCCTAATCGCAACATATTCCGAGAGAAGCCCTCCCGCGATAGCTCCGCCTGCCAGCCAGAACCCATATCTGAACCACCACCAACAGCTTGCTGAATCTTTCAACTCAACGTTAGCGATCATAGCACCTAAAGAAAGCAATGATCCACCGCCAGCGATTACGTGGAATGCGACTCCCATGCTTAGAAGACTTCCGCACGTATATAATAGTGCGATCATGCAGCTAAGCAGCCATAGCAACGGTTTCGTCCAATCTTTAAGCAGAACAGCAATGCTCTTCAAACCCACCCTGATATCATCCTTGATATCCTGATGCGCATAGATCGAATCATAAATAACCGTCCATAGGATGCTTGCGAGGAAGAGGCACGTGGTTGACGGCTCGCTCCAGAACTGTTTCCCTCCGTTTCCGCTCCCAAAAGGTCCTCCTATAAATGGCTCGAGACCCATTGCGCATGACCCCATCATGATACCCCAAGCCAAACAAAAGCCTAGCACCAACTGCGCGAAGTTGGTGTGCCGTTTGGCCCAGGGGTAGTAGAAAGTACCGATAATATTCGGGATGGCGTAGATCGCGCTTCCGGACGGCATCAGGAGTAGAAACGAGGCAGCGCCGATGGCCTGTGTCATAGTAAAAACGAAAGCGGCGTGAGGTGTGATGGCACCTCGGGGGATAGGGCGCTTGCTCGTACGAAGTATTGACTTGTCGACGGGCGCATCGATGAGGTCGTTCCAGCCATGGGCGGCGTTCGAGAAAAAGAAGCTACCGCCAAGCATGATTAAGCTGGCCTGAAGCACCTGGGAGATAGGTGATCTCTGGATAATGGCGGCAAGTATAATACCGAAAAAGTGTGGGAAGTATATGAGGAACAGGGCGGCGGGAGGACTCAATCGTGCCAGCTGGACGTAAGGAACCCATGATGAGGGTAAACGACCAACCCAGCCGCCGACATGTCCACCACCATACTGCTGCGCGAGCGCATTATTTTGGAACTCGGCCGTCTCGTTGGCTGAGTATGGTTTTTCGTTACTCGTCTTACCGCTCATGGTAGAGAGAGCTAGCGGAAGGGTTTGCAAGGACGTGATAGTTATGAATGAGGAACCGATTTCTTCTCTTTTTTTTTCTTTTTTTTTCTTGCTCTATTTTCCGAGACGGGATCGAAGAGCTAACTAAGTTACCTACTTACATTCCGACCTTCCCGCGACTACTTCTAGTAGAAGACGCTAGTTAGAATAGTTAGCAACGTCAAGGGTGGCAGGGACTTCTATCCCACGGACGACAACCATCCTTCACCCCACACAAGGAGGCTCCCGTCATCCGTGCCTATGTACGCCACCGGGAGGTATGAAGCTTCAAACATTTTCTTCCAGGGCTGAATGATACTAATTAGGGGCGACCAATCACTACCAAGTAGGAAAAAAAGGTATGTACGTATGATTCTTCATGTCCACTAAAGAACATGGGGAACTTCTCAGGGAAGGAAATGATAGACTACCTAGGTTAGTAGATATTTTCTAGATCATCTTCTAAGAAGACTCGGCTTCTCATTAAGCCGATAACTTTCAAGCGTTATGTGATGCATTCGTACACATAAATAATATCTACGTAAAAGTCCGTGTTGAATCAGTCGGTCCTTACTACCGTTCTGAATGAGAACTAAGAGCCGCCAATCCCTGCTCATCCACATAATCTCCAGTATTTAAAGGCAGACCCAAGAAGATGTTTATTATGGATTTACTATCTATTTCTAATCCCCAGGCCAGATTAGAACTTGTCCTGGCTTTAGCAAAGAATTCCGGTCTTGATTAGTTTACCTATAACTATGAGTTGATGTTAGATTAGTGTAGTTACCTAGGTGTCTATTAGATACATACACTACAACATCTTAACCTTAGGTATCAACTAAGGATAAACACCTTCAGTCAAAGTTACCAATACAATTATTTGGAATAGCTCCTAATTATCAAGTCTCCACTAGTCCTAGAGCATCTCCTGTTACAGTGTCAACCCCATAATCATGCACTGTCTACATTCATATGTCGTCGGCTACGCTAAGACAGTAGCGAGTGAACTGGGAATTTGGTCTTCAGGGGGTGAAGTCAAATTGAGGACAAAGGTTGGAGAACGGAAGACGCCTATGTATAGGCAGGGTTTCCAAGCTGGTTTCTGGGAGGGAGTATCGTCTGTTTCGTAATCCATATCCATGTCAGCGCTATCAATAGAAATATACAAAATCACCGGTGATCGAGGGGGGCTATTAATTTAAATTACCTTGTGTTTAATAATGCTACGTACTGTAGTTTGCGATCCGAGATACGGTAAGGTACCTAGACCACTTAACTCCTTTCGGGTCTCGATAGCATGCTCTGATCATCGACATAGTAGTATTGAACTTAGGGCTGGACAAGGTCCCATAATCTTCATATGCTTCAATAAGCAGTACTAGGGTCTTCCGGGGGGGTAGATCCGCAGTGGACTACTTTTTATACTTGGTATTTAAACTATTCCATAGACGCCGAGCCAGCGTGAATAACGAGAGCGAGCGACCTCAACTTCTTAGTTCCGGGCAAGAAAAAGGATCATGGTCTGTCTTACCGTATCCCGGGCTCTTGCTGGCTTCCTACTTTTCTTCTGCTCCATAGTAGAAGGATCGCAAGACCATGCCGTGTGCAATCACATCAAAACCCAACTAAACAACGGGACAGTCCAGCCGACTGCAGACACATATTTGGCTTTAAGCACAGAGAACTGGTATGATTTGATTGATCTCTTCCAAGTCGAGAGGGCTAATTTGACTCTTCTATAATAGGTCGCAGACTGTCTGGGCAAAGCCATCATGCATTATCCAGCCATCTACTGCCGAGGAACTCTCCTACGTCGTCTCTACTGTAGTTGACTGGAAAGTGAATTTTGCCATTCGCTCCGGTGGTCACTCGGTCGTACCTGGAGCCGCAAATATCAACCGTGGTGTTCTAATTGACCTAGCGAACTTCAACTCGGTAGATTATGATGCGGACAAGAAAGTCGCTGTCGTGGGTTCAGGGTTGCGGTGGAAAGAAGTTTATACCTCACTAGACCAGTATAACGTAACAGTTGCTGGTGGTAGAGTCTTGGACGTCGGTGTCGGCGGTCTAACTCTTGGGGGTAAGTTTTGTTCCCTTCCACGTTCGTTGTTAGACAGGTTATTAATAGGTGTGGTATAGGCGGTCTTTCGTACCTAACCGACCTGTACGGCTTAGTATGCGATAACGTGGTTAATTACGAGGTAAGAGCTACTATATTTTTCTCTGGGAATACTATAATAGTGTTAACTAAGGTTGTTAATATAGGTTGTCACTTCAGCTGGAGCCGTTATAAATGCGAACGCAGAATCGAACCCGGATTTATTCTGGGCTCTGAAGGGGGGTATCAACAACTTCGGTAAGACTTGATACGTATACTTCTATTATGCTAGAGACTTAGTTGACTTACATATGAGTAGGTATCGTCACTAAGTTCACACTGAAAACTTACGACATCCACGATGTTTGGGGTGGAGTCAAAGTATACTCCTTAGACGCTTTGCCGGCATTATTTGATGCCATGTACCAATATCAGTCGGTTGAAAACAAGGACCCCTACGCGAACATTATGTTGCAAGCTTTCCCGACAAACGCAACCATTGGTGCCATAGTAAATATCGTATACTTAAAGCCAGAGGAGGAGCCGGAAGCATTCGCACCTTTCCGGAATATCACGCCTCTAGCCGATTTGACCAAGCTCCAAACATTAACCGAACTGATGCTCGCAGCACCTCTTCCCGAGTTGACACGGTAAGCCATGCAATAATTCAGGACTCTAACCTCCCGGCATACTAATCTATTTATATAGGGTGAATTGGTTCAGTGCAAGCTTCGCCACCGATAAGGAACTATTTAATAAAGTGGGAGATATTGTGTCCAAGGCCCCAGAGTTAGAGAGCCTGAAGAGCCTAACTGCAGGGTCTTTAGCATTCGGTTGGCAACCAATTTCCAGCAGTGCCGTACTCGCTGGACAAGCAAGTGGTGGTAACGCGCTTGGACTAAAGCCCGTTAATCAGACTTGGCTTGTTCTTGACGTGGGCTGGTGGTCTCCCGAGGACGACGAGCTGGCGCATAATTACACGCAGAGTATGATCAACAAGATCGACGACGCATCTAAGGCTAGCGGGCACTATGTTGACTATATTTTCATGAACGACGCAGCTGCGGACCAGCCTGTTATTGAGCACTACGGACAGGAGAATGTTGCAAAGTTGAAGAGAGCGGCAGAAAAATACGATCCTGATGGAGTATTCCAAACTTTAGCATCAGGGGGGTTCAAGCTACCTAAGTCGTAGGACCATTATTGGTTGGTGGTAGAAGAGTCAGCTCAAATATAATGTTTTATACATATCAATACATTAACCTAGACACCTAGGTCCTAGGATACCCTTTCATCATATGATGTTGGCTTACATACTACATGAACCTAGCTTCTTGGTGACTCTTGGGCATGTTAGACGCATATGCTTGGTGCCTCGAATATCGTTATGCAAAATCAGTTCCGAGCGCCATAGTAGCCCAGCCGTCGGAGGCCAGCCCCCACAGCTTCAACGCTAAACCCCCAGCCGAACGAGGAAATATATGCCGGCCCTAGTAGAAATAGAAAGTGGATTACTAGGTAGGTAGGCACACTATATCAAGTACCTCACAATTAGGAAATTTCTAAACTTTTGGGATGAACTATTTTTTTATAGGAAGTTGATAATATACCCCTATCGGACTGAGGTTAGAATTGAATTAGCTGTGCCACAACTTTACCTTAGCTTTGCAAACCACACAGTTGTTGTACGTATATGTAGATTAGATTTTACCGTTGAGATGCCAAGGACAGGGAATACCTAGCTGAAAACCCGGATGGCGTCAGTCAGTCAAGCAGAACTAGAAAGACGAAAAATGTAACACAGTTTAGATCCTTCATAAATTAGATCGTATGTATTGTCCCTGCGCTAACTTGGAACTCGGACGCTTGAGTTGCAATGCCGATGTTAACGAACCTACTAAGAGCAACAATAATAACAAGCCTGTAAGCTTAGATGATGGAGTACATCCTTGTAGTGGGTTTTATGGAGAATAGCTTGGGTCTCGGGCGATAAAACTAGAAGACACTCTTTTGTTCGTATCCAATTCGAGCCTACAGAAGTTTTCAAGGTGCTACAAGGCTATTACTACTTACAGATCTCATTCAGCTTCAACTATATACCACTATATACAGATCGTTCACTTGTGATAAAGGGTTAGTAACACGAAAGCCGTGTTCTGTGAAGTATGACCGAAGATCCCTATTTAGGCCGCGTGATTATAGCGTAAGTTGCCTGCTCTACGAAAATGATTTGACAGTCGCTTGGGAGTTCTTTACGTGATATAGCAGTGAGAACCTTGCTAAAAGCGACGATTATTATCCGGCCCATATAGTTTCGAAGGCGGAATAACTACACGTGTGATCACTCACCCTTCTCATCCCAACCGAGCCTTCGCTTACGACGTGACCTTTCTCCTCCAACATCCACGGGTCGTCGCAGTCGCATCGCAGAAGCCGCCGCTTCATTTCCACCCACATCAGGAGGAATATCTCCAGGTGCTCGAAGGAAGTCTAGCTGTAGAAGTTGAAGGCAAGGAACGCATTCTCGTCCCTGAAGATGGGGAGGTTACCTTTCCTCCGTGGACAAACCATAGGCTGTACTCGCCGGTTACCAATAATACCGACGAGAACTTAAAGGTGACGAGATTCTTACTTTCAGCCGAGAGCACCCCTGAGCTATTCAAGCTTGATACCGTCTTCTTCGAGAATTGGTATGCATACCAAGACCAAATAGTTGTCAAGGGCGAGAAGGTCGACTTGATTCAGGTTATGAGCGTAGGTTGTTCCATTAACCCTAAACTCTCTAGACTTATCGTTGACGGGTCGGTAGATGTTTGATGCAGGTGGTTCTTACCTTTCACTCCCACGCTGGATACCGTTTAGCAAGACATTGGCATATGCTCTTGGTGTTGTAGTAGGTAGATGGCTAGGAAGTATTCTAGGATATCAGCCGTTCTATCGTAAGTGGACGACAGATTGGCAATCGGCATGCCACAAGATGGACATGTCTATCTTTCAAAGGCGGTTTGCAGATCGAGCCAAGACTGAATAGAAAAATTACCTCTTGCTTCGCTGTATATGTAGAATCTTGGAAATTTCCTATGAATAAATCGATGCTCAAATTGGGGAATCTAAAATACTATTCAACAACAACTTCAATTCTCTGCGCTCCTGGCAAGCTAGGCTTCAACATGCCTCGAAATCCCGTCACCCACCGACATGCTTCATTCAAAGAATGCTTGCAATAGCAGTATTCTCCTTAGTAACCTTTGCCCACTCGGCGCTCTTACCCCACAGCTTCTCCTGCTTATCCTCGTTGTAACTATCGGGGGAACTGGGCTCTTTCTTCAACGTAAGGAGATAACCACGCTCTCCTGGGAAGGCATTGTTCGTAGCAAGATCTATCACATCTATACCTGCATTTGCTGCTGTACGGTAACTTGGGTCTGTGAGACTAAAGAGTGGCCGCAAAGGCTGAAGCACAAATCTTTGAACAATGCGGAGGAACAGAGGTGTGTTCGTGCGTAAAGCGCGCGAATCGGTCAAATTGCCGGGATCAATTATTATTGCTGTGATGTTACGCAGCTTCTCATCCTAGGAAACAGGTCAATTTCGTCCTTTTCATATTTTCATATCTTGATTGGATAAGGAATAATGAGCAAGTAAATCTAAACATACCTTTTCGAGATGCCTGTTCAACGCGTATCCCCACATGAGAATGGCCAACTTTGAATTTCCGTATATATTCATGCCTCGTCCTAACTTGTCGGCATCCGGTTTAGCCTTCAATAAAGAATCCAAATCGTCCGGGATAGCCGGCGGGTACTTCTCTAAGCCGTTTTTGCCGGGGAAATGGGCGTTACTAGTGAATAGTACAATACGGCCACCTTCAGGTCTGAAGCTACCCAGTAGTCGAAGAACTAGAGCAACATGGGAAATGTGGTTCACTTGGATCGCCTTCTCGACTCCTTCTGCCGTGAACTCGGGATCGCTAGACAAGTTCCAGTAATATGCATTGCAGACAATGCTAGCAAGCTGCGGCAACTTCTTTTCCGAAATCTCAGTAGCAATTGTGCTTGCAAAATCGTGTACAGCAGTGAGATTAGCCAGGTCAAGTTGGCGGATGGATGTCTGAGCCTTGGGAAACTTAGCAATGGTCTCGCGTAGCTTCTTGGTATTGGGATCTGTATCCTCTGTCTGGCGAACAGTCAAAACTGCGGTATAGTCTGGGTATTTGGTTAAAAGATGATGCACAGCAGGGATTGCAAGAGAGCCGTTTGCTCCAGTGATGATGATTGTGCCTGTCATGGTGTAATTTAATGTAGATGTTTACAGATGTTTATAAGTAAATGGATAGTTATATCCAGTGTTTAGTATGGTTAACTAAGTGTAATAATAACAATAAGAATAGGAATATAACTATTCGTAAACGCTAGCTCTTAGGTAGTATATAACTAATAATATATAACGAAGCTCTGAAGAAAAAGCTACAAAAAGAAATAGGAAATGTTTAAAAGTTTCCAAGGCCTAGTTAATGACTTTATAAGGTAGGATCCTACTGTTTTAACCAAATGATCCAGGTACGTGTATCATTCGTTAGCCTAACTACTAATGATAAAAACATCTCTAACGGAAAAGGGCTTAATAATTGACAGATACCTAGGGTAGACAGCTTATATAATGCCTGGTAAGTGAGCTTCTCTTTAGGTTACAAGGTAGTAAAAGCTCCTCCGCCCGGCCTCCGACCCTTGAAAACCTCTAGTTAAATTAGTCATAAAATACAGTGAAAAGTAATCATATATACTGTACGGGGACCAAGGAGGAGAACTAGTAGTTTTCAGCGTAGCTTTTAATCAGGGACAAGGCTATTTTATAAATATAGTAAATGATATCGCACTAAAGTAGCAAAGTTAACAACGTTATCATAAGTTCAAGTATTAACGTTATACTTTCGATTAGCCACTTAGGGTGGAAGTTATTATATGTACTGCCCCTTACTTCCCAGACATCCTATTAAATATAAGGCTTCAGATGTATATCTTCGCTGGATTACATATATGCCGAGGTCTGGACATTAAACGCCAAAATAGATAATATACTCCGATAAGGAGATAGTGGGCTTCGATAACATACCTCCTAAGGTACATATCAATCAATATGCTGTCAGCCTATGAACCCTTGAATTACCCTTGAATCTGCTGTGACGTCAATCGGGTCTAAGCATAGTATATCTTAAGCCGCAGGACGGTGACGGGATGAACTAATGCGATAGATAGGTGAAGGGAGAGAACTTAAAAATAAATTAGGTTTTAGGTACTTCGTCCACTGCGTTGCTTAAAGGAATGGAATGTCGATTGAAGCTATGGAATTAGGTACCGGGCTGAAATTCTACATGTGGAGATGAACAACGTAAACAACTGCCCGAACAATAGAAATCTGTTTTTATTAATATATGCATACTCATGGAGTGCGTTTGTCTAGGTTTTGATTTGTTGGTTGTAGTAGAATAATATGTCATAGCTTAACAATATTTCAAATAACAATAACTACTTAAAAATAGCAACCTCTTTCCTAGGTATTATTGATGCTAACATTGTTGTAAATTGTAAACATTAGTGTAAAACAATAACATTTCGCATTTCTCAATCTGTGCCAGTTTGCGCCGGCTCATGGCTCAGGCCGATTAGAATGTTTGTACTACAATAAATGGGCTAGCAGTTGTGACGAAGTCGTCACCTGCTGATGTGTACCTGCCAGTTATGATTGGAGGTACAAAATACAAAGTATAAAGTACATGTACCATGTACTCATAAAAGCCTGTAGCCCATCATCGCATCACACACCGAAATAGTAACAACTGGAGCAACTGCAGCAACTGCCCAAGATCGTAACCGCCCTGCTGCCATACGTAAAAGCCGTAAAAAAGTACCTACCTAAGTGCGGTACACACATCACACTTCTTTGTCACTTTAGAGATGCATTTCCATATTCTTCCTTCCCAACAATACCACTGCCACTGAGGATCACCTAAACCAACTAAACCAAATTATTAAACAATATTCATCATCGCAACTATCGTTAGGTCCTCCTTTACTTCTTTGATTTTTAGCGATTTGCATCTAATTATTTCTAAGAGGGAAGGAAAGTGATCGTCGGTTATTTCTGATACTCGTTTATTCATTCCCTTTTTATTTTTCTCTACTACTTTCCTCTACGAACATCGAAAACCTGATGCCCGTCTGAATACTACCCCTCGATCCACCACCCTGTTGAATCCTTCGATATCACCACCATCGACATTTCGCCAACCTCTTCGAGACATTACCAACGCTACCTAATCTCGAACTTCTTCTCCGAATAAATCGCGACGCAGTCTTCTACAGACTTGCCAAAATGCGACCGCCGGCTCCTTCTCTCGATGTAATAGCCGCCCGTAACTCTGCTGCTGCTGCTGCTGCTGCTTCTGCTTCTGCTACTACTGCCGCCGCAACCGCCGCCGCACCCAATGAAGCTTCAGGCCCAAACATACAGACAATGAACATGTCCGACGACACGAGAGATTCGAGATCTTCATCGTCGACGAACTCGCCTGTCCCCCCAGACAACGAAGAGTCCGACTTTTTCCACGTAGCAAATGATTCCCAGTCTTCCTTAGGAGTAGTACCAAACTTGCAAGACATGCAAGTGACCGATCCAGAATGTCTCCCGACCGTGGCAGCCCTTCCCAGCGAAATCCTCATCAGCATCTTCTCTCGCATCAACAGCCCGGGTGAACTTTTGAACTGTATGTTAACCTGTAAGAGATGGGCCCGCAACGTGGTCGAGATACTCTGGCATCGTCCAACCTGCACCTCGTGGTCGAAGCATCAGTCCATCTGCGCGACTCTAGGACTCGAGAAGCCTTTCTTCACTTATACAGACTTCGTTAAGCGCCTTAATCTAGCTGCATTGGCAGATAGAGTTAGTGATGGCAGTGTTATGCCGCTTGCCGTCTGCACCCGCGTCGAGCGTCTCACCTTGACAAATTGCAAAGCCCTGACCGATTTGGGACTGATGCCCCTAGTGAGGAGTAATAAGAATCTTCTCGCTTTGGATATTTCGGGCGATAACAACATCACCGAGCGCTCTATCGTGGCCATCGCCGAGAACTGCCGCAGGCTTCAGGGTCTGAACGTATCAAACTGCAAACAGATCTCCAATGAAAGCATGGTTCAACTCGCCGAGAATTGCAGGTATATCAAACGTGTAAGTCAATTCTCCTTAATACGCCTCTCAGGCGGCCTTTATTAGTTTCGATACTACTCTATTTGAGACGCTGCTAATCATACCCGATATTTACCTGGTAAATAGCTTAAGTTAAACGATTGCGAACAACTCAACGATAGTGCGATTATTGCCTTCGCCAATAACTGCCCAAACATACTCGAAATCGATCTTCATCAATGTGTGAATATCGGTAACGAGCCCGTTACCGCCCTCCTTGCTCAGGGACGATCTCTGCGAGAGTTGCGACTTGCGAATTGCGACATTATCGACGATGGCGCATTCCTATCCTTACCCTCCAAGATCTACGAGCACCTTCGTATCCTTGATCTGACATCGTGTACCCGGCTTACGGACCGCGCTGTCGAAAAGATCATTGAGGTTGCCCCGCGGTTACGAAATCTAGTCCTAGCTAAGTGTAGCAACATTACCGACTCTGCGGTCTATGCCATATCTCGTCTCGGCAAAAATCTACACTACGTACATCTTGGCCACTGTAGACATATCACAGATGATGCGGTTAAGCGCCTGGTGCAATCATGCAACCGCATTCGTTATATCGATCTTGGCTGTTGCACCCACCTCACAGATGAGTCTGTTGTACAGCTGGCAAGACTCCCGAAACTGAAGAGAATCGGATTGGTGAAGTGTAGCAGCATCACTGATGAGAGCATGTACGCATTAGCTGGAGCAAACCGCCATGCCCAGTCCCGACGCAATGCGTCAGGAAACAACGGTTCCCGAAGACATGAATATCACACTGGTAGTTTGGAACGAGTCCATCTTAGCTACTGCACAAATCTGACACTTCCGGTATGGCTAATCTTATTCCAGAAATGCTATTCACATATAGGCCGCTAACAGTACTACAGAGCATTATCAAACTTCTCAACTGCTGCCCGAAACTTACTCACCTGAGTTTGACTGGCGTACCTGCTTTCCTGCGGGATGACCTAGATACTTTCTGTCGAGACGCGCCTCCAGGTAATTAGCCTTTCTCCCTAGATCCCGTCCGTGCCCCGATGTGCTAACTAGACATTTTAGACTTCACTGAACACCAGCGAGCAGTATTCTGTGTCTTCTCTGGTCAAGGTGTAACGGGCCTCCGAACCTACCTAAATACCCAACCTGAGTTTGCCGAGTACCACTTGCAACAGCAGACTATATTCCCGTCGCGAAGAGCAGTCCAGATAAATCAGGACACAGCTCAGGGTCAGGTACAAGGACTTATTCCCGTACCAGCCCCTGATATTGATGGTTTCGATGATATCGATGGAGTCGAAGATGACGATATGGGCGATGGTAGCGAGATTGCTCTTGACCCTGGTAGCTTCGGCGGAAATGATAACTCTACAAACGGAGCCAGCTTATTAGTCCCTCCGCCACCGCCGCCTCCACCGCAAATTGGCGTCTCTCATCCACCACCTCGTCCGCAGCCGCCGCATCTGGCTGCTATTACTATAGGCGCTATTATGGCGCCCGCGACTCAAGCTGGCACAGGCGCGTGGATTCCCGTCAGCAACACTCCAGGCCCCAGTACTGCCGGCCAGGGAATCTTCGTCAACATAGACTCCTCAGGACCTAGCACAGCTTCCATGCAAGGAGACGCCGAGGAAGACGATAGAGGCGATCGATCATAGAATTGTTGCTGTCGCGTCGTTTTATGCGAACAATCTTAACGTATACGTCCGTTCGTATGATAGTATAGCCCCTGCCTCCCTGTTTGCAAGAATACTTCTTATACTGGACCTATCGGAAATGATATATGAATTGGATCACGCATCAGTACTTAATGTCCACTCAGCTAAGCCACACCCCATGGTTTACCTGATGCGGATAACTACCTAGTAATCCTTTTACGTTGGTACGCGTGCGTCTTCTGTCCTATCTAGCTAAGTGAGACCTGAGTCATCTTGAAGTATTCACGGTTCAGAGCGACGCTTAGCGCAGGGCGGTGTATGAATACTTCCTATGCATATAGCACATCGGGAATATTAGCATTTGGCGACTGGTAATCGTCGCAGAGAGCCACGAGGGGGCTGTGGCTGACTACCAGCATTATGGCCAAGGCACACACGCCTTCGAAACTAATTAGAAACTCTGCCAGAACTCACAAGGCAACAAGTGTATGAGGTTAATGGTGAATGTCTACCTAGGTAGGGAATTGAGATCATTTCTATAGGAGTCCCGACATACCAAGCGGGATCTGAGCTGGTGGCAACAGAACGGTCAAGACGGATCCATGGAACCGTTAGGTGGATATTTGCTCTACTTGTTTTCTAGCAGTATTGCGACAAATTAGATACGGCGGGTTGCCATAACTGGCTTGCCTACCACGAAGCAGAAGGGGATGCTGTGAATAGAATGGCTTCTGTTTCTCTTTGATACTAGGCCTTATTCTACAATATATTAAGTAGAAAATTCGTAAGGGTTTGAACGTTATCCCGTGTGAGTAGTCAGTAATGTAATTGTTAGATCTCGAGACTACTCTTGAGATACTCTTGAGACTACTTAAGGAGTCCGAGTCCGGGATGTCGTACTCGGGACCGAATAGATGTCCGAGACTATCGATAAGCCATATCGACGGTCATCATCACCAGTCATCATCATTCGGCTCCGAATCTTGATGTTGCGGGTACGAGGCTCGACTTATATTTAGTAAGATGAGTCAAACTCCAGAAGGAATGGAAAATAATTATAGAAAGATAATATCACTCCTCCGAATATGACATGTCTTATAAAGGACACTGAAAACATCATCCGATACGAAATCTCCACGATGGATATATTAGACTCGTTTACTACCGTTCTATCGTCCTATCCATCACATAAGCATCAAATACGACGTATCATACATGTCTATTTCTTTAGGCTATTATGTCAACATCTACCCCTAAAATTGCCATCATAGGCGCGGGACCCGTAGGTCTCATGCTTGCCGCTATTCTACATCATAGAGGGACTAAATGTACCATATTTGAGCGTGAAACCAGTGCCACAGTCCGTGCTCAAGGCGGTACCTTGGACATTCACGCCGAGACAGGTCAGCGCGCTATTGCCGCTGCCGGCTTACTGACCGCGTTCAAGAAGTTATCACGCCCCGAGGGTGAAGCTACGCGTGTCGTGAAGAAGGACGGTACGGTACTTCTCGACGAGAACGAACAGCAACAGCAGGATTCAAAGGATTTACAGAATGGTCAAGAGGAGGAAGATGGCCGTGGACGCCCGGAGATCGATCGTAAGGATCTCAAAGATTTACTCATCGCGGCCTTACCCGAGAGTACTATTCGTTGGGGTAAAGGTATTTCGTCCGTAAAGTCGGTTCCTGGGACGCAACGGTGGATGTTAGAATTCATGGAAAGAGATAGCAATACTGAAGACTCTGATTCTGGGCCGTATGATCTCGTGCTCGGCGCCGACGGCGCATGGTCCCGCATTCGACCTCTACTCACCGACGTCAGGCCACTATACTCAGGTGTAACAGCATTAGACGTATGGATTTTGCCGGAGCAGCTAGCGGCACGACCCGAAGTATCTGCATTCATCGGAGAGGGATCTTGCATGATGTTTTCCGAAGACAGGTTTCTATCACTGCAGCGACATAGCGATGGCAGTGCCAGGGCTTACGCGATGGTGCGGACGAATAGGGAGATTGGGATGGAGGTCCTTGATGCGAATGCACTTCTTGGACTCGAGGATAACGAAGAGGTAGATTGGGCAGATGGGAAGATAAGGCAAAGGTACTTGGATATATTTCGGCGATTATATCCAGGAGGCCCGCGACGCGGTTCTAGCTATGACGGAGCAGCCGACTCTACGGCCGTTATACATGCTACCCGTGGGCCACCGGTGGGAGCCTCGTCCCGGGCTATCGCTGCTAGGCGATGCGGCACACGTGATGACACCGTTTGCCGGCGTGGGGGTTAACGTGGGTATGATGGATGCGTTGGAGTTAGCGGAGGGGATCGCGGCATACGTTGAGCAGCAAGAAGAAAAGGGGGAGGAGGGTCTAGCGCAGATGCTGAGGAAGTACGAGGAGGGTATGTTTGAGCGCTCGCGGAAGGACGCTGCGCTCACAGCTAGTATGATGGAAATTGAGTTCTGCGAGGATGGGGCTGAGAAGGTGGTTGAGGTCATGACTGGTGGTGAGCCTCCTGCTTAAGGGAATGGTATTTCACCGCACGTAAGGTAGGAATCTAATATCTATCCTGTATTATTCAGTGTGAAGTAGTTAGAAAAAGGGCAATGCTATATATATAAAAAACTACTCAAGCTAGTACTCGTAAAGCCAAGTAATCTTTCTCTATATGGAAAGTAACAAGCAGTTACAATTAACTAGAGGAATATGTAGGCACACTCTAAACTTCTAGATTGCCGCGGGAAGAACTAGTACAAAAGTTAACAGCTCATGAACGAGCTAGGAAGAGCACTTCGGCAGTCAATATCACGATACGAGATCTACCCCATGGGGATCTTGGCTATGCTTTTTGGCCTCGGTCCGTCACTCCGGGACCAACTCGGTTGCCAGGACTTATAACTTTATTGAAACGCTCGTGATAGCAAACAGAGAAGCCTGATTAGTGGAAAAAAGAAATTCATAATTGGGGTCCCCAGATCTTGACCCCCACATGGAACTGGTATATAAAAGTCGTGAGGCCTGCGTTGTAATTTTGGGTTGAGACTAGTTATTGATATTCTACGAAAACAGATAAACTCATTGTACGGGTACCGAATCTGTCATAGAAGACCCAATTCTACCTACGCAATTCCCGATTTATTAATTCCGACGAATATTTTTTTTTTTAAAAAAAAAATCGAGACAGCATAGCTACGTCGGCATAAACATACAAACGGCCAAACAATTATTTTATCATATGCAGGATAGTTAAGATACATGGTACATAAGATATGGTAGTGGAATCTGGCCGGATGCGGTGTTATGAAGTCGGACGAACATATCTCGGCCGAGCGAGACACCGTACAATCGCGACTCCTATCCCGGCCTTGACCTAGCATTCCTGCTCCGCACTTCCTGTCCGTCGGTGTGTAACTATTACCTATCACACGTGAGTTCGCAACCGGGCATCACCTTGAACGAGTTGATTCAACGCCAGGGAGATTGAAGATCCAGTTCCGGAACAATTGACCGTAGTAATTTACAAGCATGTCACGGGCCTCGATATACATACTTGGATGAATCTAGATTCCCAACATAATTGTCACCGATCGATCGATTCACCGTCTTCTCATCGTCGGTGTTGTTAGTCTAAATATCGAATACACCTAAGCGAAGAAAATGTAAGTAGAAAAGGGAGGCTAATGCTGGCGATAGTGGGACGGGGATAAGAGCCGGAGCGATTGCTACGAACCCCTTTCAAACTCCTCTACGGCTAGTTAACCATGTTAAAAAAGAAGCTTGGATTCGCGAAGGAAACGGGCAAACAACGCTATTCCCTAGGCGGAGGTTTGTTGTTCATCGTCTGGGGAATTACTTAACCTAGGTTAGGTAGTTTAAAGAAAAGACAAGACTTGGAGTCTCGGCTGTTTTTAGTTTGATGGGGACAGAAGACAACAAACAGGTATTATTGGCCGCTTTCTCTAGGAATTAAAAATAACTATGATTGGTTGTTGGTAGGTCTAATTGCTCTTTTCGTATATTTCGGCCGGGACTAGAACTCTTGGACCGGGGGTTCTCACTATTTCTGGTCTTGACAGCGGTGAAATTCCGTTCATCGACATGTGTATTGCTTATTTCTTCATCTTGGCTTACACGCCTCTAATGCCCTTTGAATTATCAAATAAAATCAAGGAAAATTTATTTGATACTGGCTGACACCGTCATACTCTAGTATTCAAAATCTTGATGTAATATACATGTGAACTTCAGATTTTCTCGCCGCATCCATACGACATTAAACATGTATAGTCAGATTAGTTCGTGTTGGCATATAGTTAGTAGTTCACCTAGACTGGTAGGTATGTCTATGTGTTAATGCTAAAAAAGAATCTGCGTCATGTTCGCGCCTCAGAGTTCAAATTGCGTACCTATCTGTCATAATATACTAATTTAATTAGAACTAATAAGCGATCTAGATCCGGGAGGAATCGATGTTCTAGAATGATTGATTGTCTTTATGCTCGACTAGCAATGCTTCATTATTGGATATATCAGGATACTATTGAACTACGCAAAGTCTTTAATCTTTAGATGCGATGCATTTACAACTGCACGTTTAGGTAGATATAGTAACATTTAGCATGAGATCTAAATTATTAAGATACTTTTTAATACGCTGCGCTCATAGAGTCGTAGTGCATGACGATTCTCCACCGGTAAATGATGTACAGCTATCGCGTAATTATCACATATCACATCGAAGGAATCCCGAGATTGATATCAAATCCCGATTTCTAATTACACTGCTATAAAGCATGTAGATACGATATCAGGGTAAATTGCTTACATAGGAGCGTTCTTATATATATGGTTTTGACATTTGCATTTCCAGTATTACACACGGGACGATACTTATGTACATCTAGACGTAGAGAATCACTCCAGCGCCGTAATTAGTGACTAGGACAAATATGACTAGGATATTTACTCCGCATGGACTTCAAGATTGTTACTTTTTCCGTGAGGGGTAACGATTTGCGCCACCATCGCCAGATTCATCTCAGCTCGCAGTGGCATAGCTTGTAGCGGATTAACGGAGAAGTGCTGGTTTAACCTGCCTATTTAATTCTAGTAGTGTAGCATCTGGATTTCGTTATATTGTACCTTATAATACATATCCATAAGCTATCGTCTCCCGCTTGAACTTGTTGGCCTAAGTATAGTATAGTACATTGTCTACGCGTATTAACCCTGGGCAGAAATTGACATATAGTATATCTCGTACGGTCTACTAGATTTTTCTTTTCTTCTTGTAAGCTGCATTAGATATTACAGTGATCTGTGTCCTGCAAGGGTTAGCGTAGAGAAAGAACTTGGCGTTGGCTATTAGAAGCCTTTTTACGACATGCTCACCGAATCATCAGGTTATAAAACCTCCATGCTTCCAGTCTAAATAAATAGCCTTGCCCTAGGAAGAATTGTCTGTTACAAGCTTCCGGTCTGGCGGTTTTGAGTTACACTACCCAGATGCTTGAAGATTAGTCACGTGTAGTGATCAATCACCAAGAGACGGGATCAGGAAGATGTTGGCTTGGCTTTATTAAGTGGAAAAGGAGGGGAAACCCCCTGGGGTAAAGAAAGGATCGATGGGTGCAAGGGGGAAGTATATGGTAACAAGTAATAAGCGGCCTGTGGAATTAATATATGGGTAACTTTTATGACTTGGTCCAATAATAACCCCTGTTTATAATCGCCTACATAAAATCTTGCTTGAGAAGTGGAGTTCATCTTGGGTCTGAAAAGTTCCTGTCAATCATATTTCACCGAGCCGAGAAAAATGACAGAACAAACTGATCCAAAAGATGACCAGCTCACGTGGACTTTGCATACCTATTTACCAATGACTTTTGACTACACACCATTATCAACAGCAGAGTTAACACAAAGATCTTAACCTCAAATTTCTACTTATTAGGTATATCAACTTTACCAAGGCGGAGCAAATGCGAGCATTATGGAGACAAGTATCACTTTGGTAGTTAGTACTAATACATATCGAGATTAGTCGAAAGGGAGATAATTACAGAAGCAGGGAAAGGAATGGCGGAGAAGATGGGGAAACGGCGCGGTCCACATGCCTAACTACGAGAATGTACACGAGCTAAGTAAGATGGAGGATAAACTCCCTTTGTTCTCCTCATAGTCTAACCCAGTTCCCCGCAATGCCCACACTTGAAGATAGTACGGGGTTGATGCCATCGTCGTCATTGTTAGAAGCCATCTACTCGACTTAGACCAGAAGCGGTTTAACTTTTTTTTTATTCTCCCTTTCTTTGGAGTCCATTTCCCCTCATTGTTTCGTCAGGTATACGTTCTTCCCCCGGTCTCAGAGAATTCTTCAGCTTGGTGTACATGGGTAACACGGCCGCCGTTGATTTATACAAGTAGGTACCTAAGGTAGCGAGACGGGACTAGCTGAAATACAAGGGGCTTACATAGCTGTAAAGGTTGCCGGAAAGGTACATTGTGTTATCCTATAGAGCCTCATGCCACGATTACAGCAGTACTTTTCTGTGAGACATCCGTTTTCTATACAAGGTATGTTAGGTATTTCATCTAAGACAACCGCAAATAAGCCACTGGACATCTCATTGGCTTGTACCACCACAAGATGTGCGGTGACCAAGTCACACATGGCCTATATCGAATAGAAACAGAGCAAGTATATGGCATAAACGAGCTCAAATTCGGAATCTATGTTAGAGACAAAAAGGACAAAACATCTCGAACGGCCCAATAATATGGTGTCGGACAAGCCGAGTATGTATACGGCAGCGCGGCCAAGACAATTCCAAAAGGCTTACCCCCGTGCAGATTTATCTTGCTTCATCACCTGATGTTGTGTTCACGCGAGGAAAAATGTCATCGTTCAAACGACTAAATCCGTCTTTCTCGGGCTCTCACCCTCTCACACACAACACAATACCGCACAACTTGCTTCTTATTGTTACATATCTACTATCAAGCTTGCTGCCGCTAACCGGTTCCGTCAACAAACATCCTTGCCCTGCTATAGTACGTAGAAGGGGCTCCATCCACATACCCGCCATCGTTTCTCTGCCAAGATATACCCATGGGTGGAGCTTGTCATGGGCAATTTGGCCGCTTACATAGTAAGTAAGTATGTATGTACTTGTCTAGCCTCTTCGCCACAGCTCACTGGCAGGATTTTTCGAGAGAGTGAGAACAGACGTTAGGCCGCGTCTGGATATCGGTACGCCGAGTCCTCCCAGGTAGGCTAGCAAGCCATCGCTAGCATCCTTCGCGTGTCTAAATCCTTGCTTCATGGGTTATCCCGGCGCGCGACAATTCGCCCATGTGGTGTGGGGGGAGGGCCTTGTATTCATGGGGTTCTCCCCCGTATGTATGGGGGGTTTCGCGCGAGAGAAGATAATCTGGCTGTTGATTGAAGATGCTGGGATTGGGATCTTCGTTGTGCTTACGTCTGCTCGCTGGTGTTCTTTGTCGCTAATATAAGGCTTGGGTGATGCCCATCTTCTTCTACTTCTATTCTCGTCTCCTCTCGTGTCTACCTTTCTCGAGTCAAGGTTTCACTCCCTACAGCCGTCGACAGCTCTCGAGACCAGGACCAGTTCATCCTCTCGTCTGTTGATGGTGGACCTTAGCCTCTTTTCTGCCACTAAGACTTACTCTTATCATCTGTTGCCGCTTTAATTAAGCAGCTATGTCTGAGAAACCTCAAGTTGACATGTAAGTATTCCGCTTACCTTGGTTAAATTTCTCAAACCGTACAATATCTAACTCATAAGTAATAGGATCGAGCCTAAGGGTGTCGAAGGGCACTACTTAGAGAATGGCCTCGATGCTACTGAACATGTTGACCTAAATGCTAATCTTGAAGCGAAGTAAGTGTTTAATTGTTATAGATATCTTAATGTAGATGAAATTGCTTGTTTAATCAGCGTTACTGCCGCGTACGAGATATGACTAACATGTGATATCTCTTTTTACAGGATCAAGAATCCTCTCAAGGGTATTCCCCGTGAGAAGCTAATGCGTGATGTCGAAGCCTTCGCGCACGAGAAGGGTCTTGTCGAACATATTCCGATTCTACGAAGGGGCGCGCTCGTCGCCCAGAACCCCCACGACTTCGACGACCTGAGTGGAGAGGAAGCTCTCGACGAAGCCGAGAAAAAAGCTCTCCACGACGAAGTTCTACACCGGTGGCGCATGCCTGCCCGACTTTTCTTAACTATCGCAACTTGCTCTATTGGTGCCGCCGTTCAGGGCTGGGATCAGACTGGAAGTAACGGTGCTAATATCTTCTTCCCGGCTTACTACGGCATCGGTGGTAGCACTACTAGAGAAAGACTAGTAAGTTCTATATCTATATATATGTTATTTCTGCGTGTCATAGTTAGTTAACCCTTCATAAAGCTAGTCGGCCTGGTAAACGCGGGTCCTTATATCGGAAGTGCTTTTATCGGATGCTGGCTCTCGGATCCCATCAATAATTGGATCGGTCGTCGTGGTGTTATCTTTACCTCTTGCTCATTTCTGCCTTTGGCCTGTCATTGGTTCTGCATTCTGCCACACGTGGGAACAGCAATTGGCTTGCCGTCTACTAATGGGTATTGGAATGGGTGTAAAAGCTTCAACTGGTTTGTCCTCCGCCATTTTTACCTCCCTCCCCCTTCCCCCGAATTAATCTGCTAACGTCATCTAGTTCCTGTTTATGCTGCTGAAAATGCTCCAGCTTCGGTTCGAGGTGCTCTGGTTATGTCATGGCAGATGTGGACTGCTTTTGGTATCTTCCTTGGAACAGCCATCAACCTTGCCTTGCCGTCTTCTACCATCCTCTCAACTGGCGACTAATGCTGGGCGCTCCTTTCATCCCAGCTGTCCCTCTGCTATGTCTGATATACCTCTGCCCCGAGTCCCCTCGTTGGTTGATGAAGAAGAATCGCTACGCTGAAGCTTGGACCTCGATGAATATGCTACGGAACAACCCAATCCAGGTTGCCAGAGATATTTACTACATCCATGCTCAGTTGTCCATCGAAAACCAGCTTACAAGCAAGACTAACTACGTAACCCGCTTCACACAGCTCTTCACCATCCCCCGCGTACGCCGTGCCACCATTGCCGCTTTCACTGTTATGATTGCGCAGCAGATGTGTGGTATTAACATCATTGCCTTTTACTCGACCACCGTCTCGTCGATGCTGGATACAATGATTTCCAGGCCATGCTGTGCTCGTTTGGTTTCGGTCTCGTCAACTGGCTCTTCGCTTTCCCTGCTTTTTGGACAATCGACACTTTTGGACGACGATCTCTGCTCCTCTTCACTTTCCCTCAGATGATGTGGACTCTGCTTGCGGCTGGTCTGTGCACTCTAATGGAACAGGGAACGGCGAGAACTGCGCTCGTCGCTCTCTTCGTGTTCATGTTCGGCGCTTTCTACTCCCCTGGAGAAGGCCCTGTTCCTTTCACCTACAGTGCCGAGGTCTTCCCCCTCTCCCACCGTGAGGTTGGTATGGGTTTTGCTGTCGCCACCTGTTTGTTCTGGGCTGCTGTCCTCAGTATGACATTCCCCTTCATCCTTGACAGACTACACACCGTCGGCGCATTTGGCCTATATGCCGGCTTCAACCTCGTAGCGCTTATCATGATCTTCTTCCTCGTGCCCGAGACAAAGCAGCGTACTCTTGAAGAACTTGACTACGTGTTTGCTGTTCCCAACCGAAAGTTTGCCAAGTACCAGGTCACCAAGGCGCTGCCTTATGGAATCAAGCGCTGGGTCTTGTTCCAGCGCAACGCCGTGCTCGAGCCCCTTTACCACAAGGACGACGAGGACCAGACAACTCCCGTCCGTGAGGACAAGAGGGCGTCCTCATAAAGAGTAAGATAATGTTGGGAAAAAAGAGTGTGTTAGCTTTGGATTAGTCCTACAAGTAGCAGTTGAGGAAAGGATTTACGGGCACAGGATTGTTTAGGAGCAAACTTTTACAAAATACCCCATTTTTATTTCTGGATTTCTATAGGGATTTCCTATCTATAAACATCTAACCTACCTTGTTGTTTTAACACGATGATGTGTCTCCATTAAACGTTTCTATTTTGTGAATGTGAATGTGATTGTACTTGTACTTCGTTGATACCGAATGATCAGCATGGAAATTTCATATTTTCTATAATTAGAAAATACTAGGCTGGAACTCCTGAGACCCGTAGACGTATATGACTAAACTTTGAAGGGTACACTTAAAGTATACCTTATATTGAGTAATTGCTTTTTTAGATCTTGGATTTATGATGCTCCATCTCCCACTTTTCTTTGAGCACCTTTGAACGTTTGCTATTTTTAGAAAAGCCATCATATACGGCTGGCCATCCACCACTAAGGGTCCGGATGTCAACGGGACGGCCGGTTTTAACATCCATATAAGTCACTGAACCTTTAACTTCTGCAACGATAGCCTGTTGCTTGAGTGAGAATAGGGATGTTATTCCAGTATTACGAGTTGGTTCTATGAGTTCTTGGCGATATGCTGCAATAAGCTGTAAATTTAGATTAGTAAAGCTTGAATTTAAAGGTGATATAGGGATCAAAACAACACGGACCGAATCGGGATACTTGACTTGTTTCCGAATATCCAAACTATATCTACGGATGACAGGAATGACAGTTTTGGCGTTGATCATATCATCGTACTCTTGCTCGCTGAGGAACTCATCATAGCTCTCCATAACGCGATAGAAACACTGACCAAAGAAGTGCATATACTGCGTGTGCATAACATGTCCAAAGGGATCTTGATCTTCGGCCCATACGACTCCGCGCTCAACCATTGTTTTAGGGTCGTAACCCATAGCCTCGAGAGTGGAAAGCGCCTGGCTACGAAGTGACGCGTATGGGTCTCCGTTAGGGTGAGGACCTGGGGCGCCGGCAGAAGAGTAAGGTGATTGATATGCCGATTCGGCTAGTCGCGAACGGCTGCGAAGGGTATTGTCCGCCATAATATGTAAAGGCTTAGTTAGGTAACTAACCTAGGAAATACCTTAAGCAGGTAAGTAATTTATATTTCGGAAAGTGAGTACCTATGACAAGCAAAAGGGGTACTAAGTTAGGTGCCAACGAATTGAATTGACCGCTTTATATAAATAAAAAGTAAAAATGTCAGCGGATAACAAAAATATGCACGACCTTACATCAACAAGGTACTCTCCACTTATATATACCTCTTATATATAGCAGGGTACACATATCTATCTATCTTAGATATCTACCTAGACATGTAGCCAACCGAGACATAGCAAACAATAGACCTTAGTGCGATCCTGTTGTGTACGAGAACTATTCCTATAACCTCCAATTGTAATCCTTTAGGTAAGACATGTTTCGGCAATCTATCATTTAGTTACAGGAAGCTTTCCACCCATACTCCCAATGATACTGTTAACTAACCCCTCTTTAACGCCATAGTTTTCTTGACTTCCCATTCCCAGGCCGTCAGTTCACTATCCTCACCTTCCCCTACCAATCGTCTCATGCTAGCATTTCGTTCCGGCCTTACGAGAATCGCTAAGCTATACCGATCAACGAGACGCTGTAGGCCTGGTGCATATCTGACGCGATGGACGTTACTGCGTAGTAACCCACCGGTCCATTGGACCATCGCGTCGCCTAGGTTTACGATTAAGCATCCTGGCTGCGGTCGTACCCACAGCCAAGCATCTGCATCCGCTGGGTCCTTTCCCGGAGCAAGAATTTGTACTTTTATATAGCATGTAAGCAGTTGCTATTATATAGGTTAAAAAAGAGGATTTAAGGGATGACTAAATTGATTTCTTTAATTGAGAGCAAATAGGAATGGTGAGAAATAAAATTAATGATACATACAGCCGCCAAGCACATTTGCTAGTAAAGTGATAGTTCCAAAGTCCGTGTGATGGATCATACTAGTGCGGAGGTCTTCCGTCTCCGTACTTGCGAATGATTTGATAAATCGTAGCACGGTTCCTGATAGTTGTGTAGGGTCCTGTAAAGATGTAAATGTATCAGGAGGTAAACCCAGCTGGGTTGCAAGGACGGTGCTTATTGTGGCAACAATTCTCTGCCCGTGTTTGAGAAAGGATACAAGTAGAGGCAAGTGAGACTGCACAAAGTCCGGGAGTGGCTGCAATGGAGCACTGCCCATCAGGCCGTCTTGACTCATATTAAACCACTCGAAGCGATCAGGCTCCTCGGTCTCAGTTTTTGCACAACCACGCGGCTTAAAGCTAGTAGGCGTTAAATAGTGACAGAAGATCGCTCCAAGACTAACTTACCCAAGAAAACTCTTAGGAAAGTCGTGAGGGAAATATTTCATTTTTACCTCTTCGGGTAGGTTCAAAATCCCCTGGCCCACATCGAATAGCTGATCGATCTCCTCAATTATTGTCTTGCCTAAGTCGTCCTTTCGTAGATCAAGGAGAAAGAAACCTAGTTCCTGGGACGCGGCAAACAGCCTTTTAGAGGTAGCCTCATCGCCTACATTTAAGCTTGCTAGAGAGATTGTGTCCATAGTGGAGAGGGGTACATCATTTGGGAAGTTAGGAATACCTTCGAAAAGCTTCGCGGATGCCATATTTAGGGAGTTTTAGAGCACAAGTCAATAAAAAATGTAATACGTAGGTAGGTTAGGAGATTTGCCGCGTATAGAAGAATCTTAATAAATATGGTTATATGAGACAAGCACCTCTATATATAAACGTCCAGCATATTACCTAAGATGATTCAGAATACACGTAGATTCATACCTACCTAGTAGCTATTTTACATCTGAATTAGGTATGTTGCATATTATGAAGGGAGGTGAAAGAAAAGGAGGCGTACGAGTTTTGCTCTTGATATATATGTATTACCCCTATAATTGAATATAATATCCCAAATACGAAACTATTCCGTTTCATGCATATATAAAGATTGAATACCTGGAGCGAAGCCCCTTTTACCCCTATTTTAATATGATTAACCCTTCGGGTTTTTAGTATATCTCCCTTATGCTCGGCAACATGGTAGGTGAGATAGTACTAATCTGAAATGCAGTAGAGAGATTAGTTCTATAGAGGAACAACGGCTTCTTATTCCCAAGTCAATCATTGAGGTATGGTTTATATACTTGACTGTCATTTGAAACTTGGTGCTTACGTGTAGAGCTCTATATACATTTCGGAGCAGTTCGGTTCGTTATCCCTCTAACCACCCTAACAAAGCCTCATGAAACCTATCTGGTTCTTGAATTTGAGGCGCGTGTCCTAAATCAGCAAATTCTATCAAATCTGCATTTGGTATGGCGGCAGCAGCCTGTTTCCCCAACACATCATAGTGACCTAATTTAACCTGCACCTCCGGTGGGCTCCATTGCTTGCCCAGTGCTGTGTTATCTTTGTCGCCTATCAGCAAAAGAGTCCGAGGCTTTAGTAAGCCGAATTCATATACCACTGGTGCACTCAATGCCATATCAGTAACAAGTGCTTGATCGAAAGCAAATGTAGACGCTTCGCTGCCCTGGTAGATATTGACTAGCATGTTCACCCATATATCGTATGAGTCGTCCCACTTCCCTACATAATATGTTGATTGCTCATATTCTCGGATAGAAGTGTAGTTACTTGCAGACTCGGAGATGTATAGGTCGTCGATGCTTTTGTACGGCACACCGAGGGCCTTCCAATCCTCCAATCCAAGGGGGTTCACTAGGACAAGCTTCTCAACAATTTCAGGGAACATCAAGCCGAAGCGCACGGATGTCATGCCTCCCAGAGAGTGGCCGATCACAGTCACATTCTCAATGCCTAACGCATGCAGCAAGTTTCTCGTGTTATATGAGAGCTGCTGTAGCGTATATTGGTAAGACTTCGGCTTGGATGATTTGCAAAAGCCAAGCTGATCCGGCAAGATAACCCTATAGCCTGATGCCGAAAGTTGTCTAGCTGTCGCCTCCCAAGTAGGTCCACAGAAATTCTTTCCGTGTAGGCAGATAGCGACCTTTCCGTTCGGTTCAACTGTCGGTGAAAGATCCATGAATGCCATTTCAACCTCTTGATGTTGCGACGTAAACTTATACGTCTTCAGAGGAAACGGATACGTAAAATTCGAGCCATTGAGGTCTCCCTCGGATGGCGCATCTCCTATTGAACCTGCGTCCTGAGCAACTGCGAGCCGAACGAGTTTGATATATCCAGAAAGGATTACTGCTACAACCGTGATGATCCTCATGTTGTTAATGGAGTTTATAGTCTATCTATCCTAAAGCACCAGTGCATTGGGTCCTATGTGTTTTTAGATAAAGCGGCTACCGATGCTAGCATCCTTGATCTTTAGTCTTTATTAGCCTGCTTTGTAGCTAATGTTGCGGCTATTAGTATTGAAGGTTTGGCAAGAATCGGCTGGTTAAATTTGATAATATTTACTTTGCTAAGTGCTAGTTTCTGGTGCATTTTGCTGTACCTCGATAGCAAACAATATGATTTTAACCCCTCACTACAAAATCAGGATTACCGGGATCCGAATGTCAACATTATACCGAAACTCTCTCTACCCATGTCTTCTTCAAATTCTATATACATGGCCAGAATGTGAGCTTATAATCGGTATAATGCACTGCCACGTATGCAGGGCACGCACCGCCCCCTTTTGCGAATGCGTGCTGCTTTACACCCGGTTTATATGTCAAAACCCGCCGCAATTATTGACAGCTACGAACTACTCATAAAAGCACAAAAAGACGGGGGGGACTACCTTTTATATAAAATAGCCTATATTTCACGAATGCGTAATAAGCAAGTTGGTCTGAGGTCATACAGACGTCTATTGATGCCGTAGCCTAGAAGTATGCAAAAGGGTTTATTGACGATTCCGAGTGAATCTCTCCAATTAACTTACTATATCCAATATCGACAATGTACGGGTGTATATTGGTCTTGGCTCAGCTAGAGTTGCAGCGGAGATATCGCGTAGTAGAAAGACCAGCTTCCGCATTGCGTTATTCCTCCGATGTAACCTTGGATCTCCAAAGCCTGAAAAACCTCGTCCCGGTAATATTAGGAGGTGTAGTTTTAGATAAGGCACAAATATTTTAGTCTACGTGATTCTAGGGATAATGTTTACACGGCATAAAAGCCCCCGAGTCCAAAGGCTTGGGAGTTAGAAAACGAATAAAAGCATCTTATGATGAGCTCTCTTCCTAATAAAATTGAATGCACCTTGGAAGTATTAGGTAGTCCTTTAAACGATAGTTGAAATTTGACTCTTTATAGTATTTTAAATAATGAGTGGGCTAGATTCGCATTTACCATCTTATTAGAATAATATTCTAGTATCTATATCGTCTTAGTACCAACGTACGCCGGTGTGGGTTTATTGTATCCGGCGTCGCTACCTAACTTAATATTTCGATGTAACAGTTCATTTTTCATTCTCTCAATTATACAAACATTCAAAGAAACACTCTTTTTCCTACAAGTTATCCACTCTCTCTATCAGCTAAGAATTCTGATATATCAGCATTTAGAGATTGAATAATGTCCGTTCCAGCAGATATTAACATGATATATGCGCCGTTGAGCAATACGGATATCAGGCTGCTTACCTTTGAAAGCGGGAATGAGGAGTCTATCAGTTGCTGCCTTCATACAGTACCATTCTCTCCAGACTTGAATTATACAGCATTATCATATCTCTGGGGAGATCAGAGCACCAAGAAAATGATAACAGTAAACGGGCATTTGTTTTCTGTTGGGATCAATTTGTACAAGGCATTAGAAGACATATCCCGGCAAAGATGGTTCCCTAAAGATTCTCATCTCTGGGTAGATGCAATTTGTATCAACCAAGATGATAATAGCGAGAAATCCGAGCAAATACCGCGGATGGCACATATTTATCGTTCGGCTTTTCAAGTTATTGTTTCACTCATAACGCCAGAAACCTTAACTGAAAATGATGTCAAGCTATTATGCGACCTAGCTGATGGCCTAAAGCCCATTCGAAACAACGTGTTTGACCCTGATAAGCACAGGCAGTCTGTTGACGAAGAGTTCGGCGGAGACAGTTGGAGGCAACTTCCCTATGCCTTATTGAGGAAACTCACGAGCCTCCCATGGTTCTCAAGAATTTGGGTGAGACAAGAAGTGACATTGGCGGCTGAATGGCCTACTATCATAATCGGCAAGTATCAAGTACATATGCTTGATCTACTCAACTTATTTTCCATGGTTTCCAATGACGGGTTAGTATTTAACGAGCCCCAGCTTAGGAGCCTTGCCGATGCACGGATGATGATTCACGATACAGGAGTGATAGAGGAAGCTGGATTACCCCTTGACACTGCCGGGTTTCTTCTTCACATAATTTTGTCATATGGAAGAGCCGAAGCAACGCTCCCACATGATCAAGTTTATGGCCTTCTTGGCCAAGTTTACGCCTTCATCGAGAAGACCAATAGCTGTTCCCCCAAGCCATCTGACCCAGACTACACACCAAACCATACGAGGAGGTTTACCATGATTTTGTAGCGTATATATTTGAACAAACCAAGATCTGAGACTACTGGAGACAACACATGGGAAACTCAGAGTTCCATCTTGGGTCCCTGATCTTCGATATCTGGCATCAAATATAACATGGTTATTTCCCCACGGCAAGGCCAACCTAAAGCTGTCGGAGTCTAGAAGAGAACTACAAGTAGAAGGCGTTAGGATTAGTATCTGTCAACGATACTACTGCCCATGCCTAAAGTTAGCCTATACTTTTCACATCTCAGGACCGTATCAATGATATAGAGGAAAAAATCATCAAGCCATCTGCAGTAATCACAAATACGCCCCTTGAAGTATTGCGGGAGAGATGGTTCGAAATATTTCAAAGGATTACAGATCCCAAGGAAAAGAATTGTACAAAAGCTGTTGATTTTCATTGCGGAGCGGCACAATGAAGATTTGTCAAAATATCGCCTAAAGAAACGAAGCCTCGCTTAATCTCCTCGTATTATTGGACAAGAAACAAGTCCTGTTCCAGAATGGGAATTTTGGTATTTGCAATAGATACGACGCTGTCGTAGAAAAGGGCGACACACTCTGTTTATTTAAAGGTGCTCTTTGCCCTTCACTTCTTCGCCCACTTGATGGCAGGTATGTATTTGTTTCGTCATGCAAACTTACTGATGAGACACCCGATCATAGCGTGATAACGGAATGGTTTCAACAGCACCACTGCGAGTTCTTTGATTTGATATAGCGTCCAAGGGGGTGAAGGAGGCCTAAATATAATCAATCTACTAATAGGTCTAATTGCTATTGCTTATATAGAAGATTAATTACGTTAGCTGTCAAATTTTGATTATGTGATGTCGACTTAGCAAACCCCCACGCTTTGATTCGTTTTTACTATTGTCTTCTCTTGGCGCGAAGAGGTTGACTGCCTGTATGCACTCTGGTTATAAAGAAACCTCCATCGAGAGAATTAATGGTAGATAATACAACTATAAAGAAAATGCACTAGTGTAAGCTACCTTAGAGTTCGTTATTTTGAATCGCGAAGCCCGGCAGATCGAATACCGAAGGGTTTGTACAGCTGAATAACTCTGATCGTAATGCCAGAGCAACGCGTCCCTAACCAATAAAATAGCAGAATTAAGTGACGATACGACCATAGGCTCGTACTTTAGAGACACACCCATTCATATCAATTGCCAAATTGGGAACCTAATATTCTCATTATTAGACGTTGTAATATTAACACTTAGCACTACAACAGTGTCTTCCTTTTTGGGTAGTTCATACGACGACGAATTGCCTAAGGAAAGAAAAAATATCAAATACGAGTATCATATAACTACCTAGTCTGCATGGAACCAAATAATCTAGAAACGAATTGGAAAATCGATATGTTTTTCTGAGTGTATTTATGATCGAAATGAATTCGCATGTGGAAAGTAATGTTGTTGATATAGAGATTCCTTGCTTTGTATTTTTTGCGCTAACCCCCCTGTTTCTGTCTATACGGATACTATCTCGACTAAAAACCGGCTCCGGGATTGGATGGGATGATGGGACGATCATAGTCTCGTGGGTACGGTGAACTCAAGTCTAAAACAGCACTATTTACATTTGTTGACCTTTATATCCTCTAAGGCTTTCGCGCAGACCGTCTCGGGACTTCTAATAGCTGCCTGTAAACACGGATTCGGACAGCATATATAATATTCCACCTCAAGATCAAACATTGACACTAAAGGTTAGTATTCTACGCATGAGTGGTAGAATCTCACCATGTCAAGATAACAAGCTAACGCATAAAATAGCTTTACTATGTTGCCCAAGCATTCTATAAGCTCACCTTAAACCTAACTAAGGCGTCTATCCTCCTATTGTATCTCCGCATCTTCCTCCAGCGATGGTTTAGGATCTCATGTTATGTATTACTGGGTATAATTTCGAGTTATATGCTGGCAACCGCTGCTTCGTCTATATGGCAGTGTACTCCAATAAGTAGGGCCTGGGACAAGTCTGTACCGGGAACATGCATCAGTATCACTAGAAACTGGTATGCAAATGCGGGCTTCTCGATAGCTACGGATATTATAATCCTTGTGCTTCCTATGCAGCCCATTTTCCGGTCTAATCTGCCGCCAAAGCAGAAATGGGCGCTGATGATTGTGTTCGCTTTAGGGATTTTGTGAGTTATGAATCGCTTCTTATCCCTGACACTGAGTACCTACCTGATATGATGAAAAGGGGGTGGACTGACTTGGATTATTAGCGTAACCATAACGAGCATCCTGCGCATGCAGACAATCGATTTCTCGTCTACGAGCACTGACCCTACTTATGATGTTGCTTCTTCAACTTGGACAGTTATCGAAGAGAATGTTGCCATAATTTGTGCGTGTCTTCCTATGTGCAAAGGACCGCTTAACTGGCTATTTCCGTCGGTATTCATGTCGACATCAAAGCGCGCCTCATCTAGCTATAAGCCGAGCCAACCGACGAATAACTCTGGTCGGAATTATTGGGCCCCGATTCGCGGTGATAGCGAGATGCTGAGCACGCGTGTGACATCTGTCCAGGGATGTAAGTCTACGGGTAGTAGCAATAGTCAGGAGTATATGCTAGAAGAGACCGGATCGCTAGATCGTAGCAGCGATGTGGAGGAAGCTCGGGGTATTCGGAAAGTTATACAATATGATATCACAGTACATACATCAGGTGGTAGTAAAGAGTCGGTCTGAATCCTAGGGTCCTAATTGGAATCATAGATTTATAGAAATATTGGTATGACAAGAAAGTGGTGTAAATAGACCGGTAGAAAGAATAGGCTTTAAGAATAAGTTGCCGTCTGTCAAGTATATGTTGTAATGCGAATGAGCACTCCCTATGAAAAGGGGTTAGGAAAAGGGGTCAAAGACTAGGGAGAGTTACTAACGTACTTATGTATTTATAAGGTGATATGTATATGTAGGTACTAGGCAGGTTATGTAGTAAACGAGAACTATGTATATAAGCCCGACAATGACGTAGGTACCTGTCTTATTACATAATGTACTAGGTATATATCTATATGCACCTAACCCATGTAGGTAAGGTACCAGCCCATATGTACCTTTGCTAGTGGATGGGAATAAACTCTCGAATTCAATTTGAAGCTTCAATTGGTTTTACGGAAAGCAACACCTTTCTCCATTGTACACCGTTGCCCACAATGAAGCCGATATGCACCTCACAGACCGGTCTTATACCTAAATCTCTTATATCCCGCCAATGTCTATATTCTAGCCGCCTACGTTTTAACCCCGCAACAATGCCGCACATTCCTACGACCTCAGCGACCAATTCACCGAGCGGTTGAGAACCTCAATGTCAGCCGCATGCGCACGGAATCCCACGACTACTACGTTCGGCGGCGAACTTTCCTTTTATGCGGCGCAGTCTCGGGCTTAGTTGGGATCTGTTACACCTCGTATCTTCTCTACCTAAAGCTTCAGAAACCGACAAAGTTCGACAGCGGGTTACCGGATAAGCTCGATCCTTTCAGCACCGAAGCAGGTTCGAAGCGCAAAACGGTTATCCACGACAAAGATGGCAAAGAGCTTGTACCTACAGGAAATAGTACTGTCCCTACATTTCCGCGACTTCTTAACATCGCACTTGGTGTTACAGAAGGACAGGAGATGGCCAATGGGGCAGAGTACACATTAGTCGGCTTGGGCGTGAGGACAGTGAGCTTCTTAGGCATTCAAGTGTATATGGTGGGATATTACATCGCCACACAAGATATCGCTGCGCTACAGTCGCGCCTGGTCAAGGAGATCAATCCTATCGCGACGACACTAGTGCCGAATGAAAAGGACGAATTGCGCAAGGCGCTGTTAGATCCGGAGCGGGGAGAAAAGCTGTGGAACGACATACTGCAGGACGTACGACCACGCTCGCTATTCAGGGTTGTGCCGGTAAGAGATACTGACTTCCATCACTTAAGGGATGGATTTGTGCGAGCGATCTCGGCGAGGTCACAAGGTAATAGTCGTGATTTTGGTGATGAAAATTTCGGCGAGGCTATGAAGGACTTCCGAGGTTTATTCAACCGAGGCAAGGTGCCGAAGGGGCGGGAAATGCTGCTGGTTCGCGACACTGCTGGACAGTTGACGATCACTTTCGACGATGGCAAGGCCGGCATGGGAACAATTGGACGCGTCTCCGATGAACGAGTATCCCGATTGCTGTGGCTTAACTATCTAGCCGGCAGTAAAGTTGCATCTGAACCGGCGAGGAAGAACATTGTCGAGGGTATCATGGAGTTTGTAGAGAGACCAGTGGGCACGGTCGCCACACAGGTAGTATGACGCATATGCCGAAGTCACCTATAACTGGCGAACTGTGCATTCTGGGCGTCGAGTAGCTGTGCATTGGTGTATATTACCCAGCATTCCACTTGCTACTGTACCATCTAGCGATAGTATCAGGGTCGTGTCAATTTGCCCATTCTTACTACCCATCTACATTTCGGTAATGCAAGATGGCCCCGGGTGATTCGAGTATGCTCCTTGGCCGGGTATACTAAGGTAGGCTAAAGATCCGAATGCGACGATATCTTATTCACCTCCTCGATCCGAGCTGCTTGGCCCTGTTTCATCATGACGAAGGGAACTCGTCGTCTACCAGCGCCGGTGGTTGTATGATAGACATGGGAGATTCAGACACGAGCGAAAAACACCAGATCACACCAGGGCTTAGACCTGATATCGAATATTAGGAACCGATATGTCTGTATACTACTCATACGTAAATTAAATGGTCACGTTGTACCGAGTGTAAATGCAACCACCTGTTATTGAAACCAGGAAAATCCGAAAGGCTAATCGACTATGTCGTTCGAGCACATCTATTCCTTCTCTATTATGTCTTTTCCCAATGTCAAAAAACCACCTAGACCACCTAGATATTCTCCGAAAGACTCTTCTCGAACTCTCAGCCGCCGAACCTCTAACGTGGTTGACTCAATCGAAGCGCTCGATGCCCATCTTATCCTGCGTTGCTAATCGACAGGATGTTGGATACGGCAAGTACCATTGCTGTAATCCTCGTCCCCATCGTGTTGATCGCCATCATCCTGGCTATGTGGTACTGTCCCTTTCGGCACGTGAGCCACTCTCATCCTGGCGCACCAGCTCCCAGCACTGCTACAGCGACTGTCGAAAGCATACCCCTCCCTTCTGAGACCCCCTCGTACGAGCTTGAAGCACATCGATCCTTTCGGCTCTCAAGAATTTCCGAGGAAGGAGGCCCCATGAACCATTCAGTGGTCCATAGGTGACGAAGTCTCTTATACCCTTTTCCGACGCACATTTTAGGAGTCCTCTGCCTTCGAAGTTTCCGTAAGCCCCTTGGCGTAAGAGCTCAGAGGCTCAGTTTACTTGTTCCACGCAATATCATTTCCATTCTTTAGGCTATGGAACTTGTTTCTATGATCTTGGTTAGTGAAAGTTTGACCAGGAGGAGATGTACAAGTTAACACCCACACTAATGCTTTTCCTAGACTCCCTTGAAGCTGCTCCAAAGTAATCGCAGCCCTCGAAGCACGGAAGAGCCTCAAAGCCGGCGATTTCCCATGGTTATGAAAAGTACTTGCCAATTTTGCATTCGAGAGTAGTACTTGATACTTTTTGGGTCGGCCTATACGCTGTACCAATATACGTTAATCCTAAAGAATAAACAAACAATAGTTTTTGTACGGTAATTTCATAGGTCGTCTGTTTTCTACTTCTACTTCACTTATTGCTTGATTTTTAAATGTGTTAGTGCAAACTGCTGAGAGGATAAATGATCTAGTTGAAGGTGGATGATAGAGCGAATCATAGCGAAGGCCCCTATGTTATATTCGTTCGCGAAATACAGGCATACATCAAAATGGGATTCCCGTGGCCTACTTATTATGCGTTTTTGCATGTAAGAAGTATATATTAGGGCTTGGAAAAGGGTCGTGAAATTCCTAATTCGAGCAACATCAGTCCATAAATTAGCATAGGCAATGTAAACCGGCTGCATCGTACTAATGCGAAACTCAAGTAAACTCGGTGCCCTTAAATAGCAGCCCTGTCTCATATATATCGACTTATATTTAATGCTAGAGTAGCACTCTAGCTAATAACAATCAGCATCTATATGATGTCTAATTTATAAGAAAATCCATCACCATTACTTGTTTATTCCCTGATTCGCACCGTCGGAAGGACATGTTTAGACGCATACTCTTGAATACCAAACATGACGAACCCTTTCTATGTTCCTAGCCGTAAGACACCTGAAGATTGCAGTGTGACTATGCCATAGCCCTTCATAACTTAGATGGGGAATTATTTAGTCACAAAGCGCCGACCTCGGTAAGCAGACTCTTCAGTTCGCCAGATTTAGCTTGCAAATCTGAGTTGCCACCGATGTGCTTCTTTCCGATCCAGATGTTGGGAACGGTGCGTTGACCTGAAATCTCCTGAAGCGCATCTTGGATAGCAGAGCCATCAGGCACTTCGTCCAACTCTACCAACTTGTACTTGGCACCTAGACTGTCGAGAAGGCGCTTCGAGGCGCTGCAGTAGGGGCAATACGATTTGGAGAACACCGCTATAGAGGACATTTCTTGTCAGCGGGAGAGTAAAATCGCGCAAGGGAACGATAAAGCAGTTACTGGATTTATATCAATGGAAATAATCAATATGTAGTAAATACTTACCAACGGCATTCTCATCGATGATGCTTTGAGCTTTAGTCTTAGCTTCGGCCATGGCTTGAGGCGATATAGATGCAGAGAAAAATCGACGGATAAGAAACATGAAAGTCGCTAGTTAATTAATTGATGTTGTTATCTATGAACTGGTCTGGTGGGGTGTCGGTATTTTTTATAGTGTTTTTTACTAAGACGTTATGTTATGGATATGGCGAATTGTATTTGTCATGACCCGATTTCGTCACAGGGCCCCGGCCGCGGATTGTCGTCGGTAGAATGTGTGCCGCGGACCCGGGATGAGAATTACCTTCAGATAGATACGTACTCTACCTAGATATGACGGAGGTAGAAGGCGCAATTGCGAAACGTGAGATCAATTATTTGAGATCCATGTACGTAACACAGAGCCAAAAGACACTTGCAATAGATTTCGGGATTTGACAATTGCGATAGATAAAGTACCTGCTCATATAAGTCTTGCCGAAAGATACATATCCGAATTTGACAGCTAGAAAATGACGCAATTATCGGACATGTGTATGTACATAGGTACCTATATATGAGGAAAAAAGCGGTTGAGCGCTGGTACCTAACCGGACTTGACTGTATCTGGGTACCTAGGTTAGGTACCTACGTACCTCTATGTACAGCATCCAAGACCCGTTAAGTAGTGGAAGTGGGGTAGGTAACCCAACTGCCCAGCTCATGTTAGGTAGGAGGAAGCTTACATAAAAAACAACCTTACCAATTAACCCCGCCTAACCTAAAAATGGTTCTAACGAATGGCTTTCTCTTGAGATAAATCCACAGCCAGCCTTGTCTTTGTTTCATCCACTGAAGCTCCGACACCTGGCTTCTCATCAATTGATGATTGATTAAAAAATAAAAAATAAAAAAAAAGCCCGAGCGTAGATAAGCCACCTCTTAACCTACCAATACCTAATTAAATCTTCTCCTTACATATTCTATTGTACTGTACATACCTCTCTGTACTTATTATTTAGTACCGGTATAGGCCAATTCTTCAGTAATCGGCAAAGAATCCTCGACTTTTATCGCGCATGCGCGTGTCTGACAGCTTTGCTTCTAAACGAGTTGCACATAACTCATTGAGGCGATCTCTTAGCTGTGGAACTGCCTAATGTTCTGCCCAATAAGAAAGAGAACCTCCTAGACGATTCTTTTACAGAAGATCCATAACCAAGCTACTCCTCGAATCGCATGACCTTCCCTAGCGGCCTATCGTGGGTTCCTCTTTGACCGAACTCCTCCGTCCAACAGCGACAACGCATCATCGATCCGTTAGATAGTCGAGTATCGTACCGCATACATCGATACATCAGCAAATAGAGGGGTTTAGTTAAAGTATATAAAGTTCATATACAGATACTATACATCTCTAGAGTCCGGAGTCTAGAGTTCAAAGCCTAAGGCCTACCTATTGCCAGCCTGTAGAGTCGCAACGGCAATCCGGTTTGCTTTAGGTTAGGTAGTTAGGAGGCGATAACCTATAAGCCAGTCGAAACTTATGCATAAGTCCTAGAACCATACGTATGCACCGCTCCGTCCCGATATTACCTGCATCCAGTCAAACGAATTTTCAAAGGATTGTTTTCCGCAAGTCTCGGTACCACTGATTAGATCTGCAACTCTGCAGCTACTTCTCCGCAAGTTAAAATAAAGAAACAACGCTGGGTGTCCTCCGGGACAACCTAGCTCTTCAAGGTGGCTTCGAATCAGGCAATCTTGGCATCGGCTAGTGCCATCAAGAACCTAACTACATTATTACCACCTGCATTACAGAATTGCGTCCAGGCAACAGTTGACCATCTCTCTGAAGCCGTCGTCGGATCTAGCGAGTACCTTGCTTCGCAGGGAGTTTCATATTCAACATTAGCCTACACCTCCGCTGTGCTCGCCTTACCTTTCATGATGATGTCCCGATTTTGGGGTCGTAGCCGCGACAACATATCGCCATACGCTTCGCAGACCGATACTCAGGGCGTGCCTCATGTCACCGAAGATGACTTTAGCTATATAACGTCCGAAGATCTTGAAAATACCTTACCATCTTCTTCCCGGGCTTATGAGCCTCAAAGTCGACGAGCTCCGCCTCCTGCTAACCTCGACGATGACGTTCTCCTAATCAAAAACAAGGGTGTTACGTATCCTGTACATTTCCCTGCATATTCTATCGGCGATGGTAAATTACTTGTGAGAGATGTACGGGTTCGCGTGGGATTAGTCATGGATCTTAGCGACCGTCGGACTCATCGTATGAAGATGCTCTACAAAGGCCGTCAGCTTACAGAGCAGGACGTCCCCATTCGCGACTACGGTGTGAAGAACAATAGCGAGTTGCTAGTTGTAGTACCTGAAGGGAAACTAAGCGATGAGGATGACGAGAGCAGCAGCGAAGAAGTCATCGTCACAGAGGATCAACAAAAGCCGAAGAAGGCCAAGAAGAACAAGGGCCGAAAGAAGAAGAGGGATCGCATCGATCCCCCGCGAAAGTACTGCAAATCTCGAAGTACCTGGGCAGCGAGAACGAGAGAGTAGGAAGCCGTCCCCAGATCCGTCTATTCATCCATCCAGGGTATCGTCTCCCGCAGTGCCTTCAGGGCCTAAAGACAAGCTAGATGCGATCAGATCCCATTTCGACGCACAACTCATGCCAGGTTGTCAGCAGTTTTTAGATAACCCGCCGAAAGATGGAAAGAAACTACATGATGAGCATCGGAGGATAAGCGAAACGATCATGCAGCATGTGCTGCTGAAATTAGATGAGGTAGATACGGGAGGTGATCCGGATGTCAGAGCGATGAGGAGGGAGCTCGTGAAGTATGTCCAGGATGTCTTGAAAGACATCGACGAGCGTCTACCTCTTTCCAGTAGACCTAAGGATAGGTGATTAGCATGCATCTCTTCCTACTTGCGGGTTTTAGAATTATCATATTTTCTGAGATTCACCTATACCTTAGATTGCTGTCCGAGCTATTTCATCACGATACATCTCACTAGTTCTACCCAGCACATATCTAAGTAGCAAATGACGAGTTCACAGGGCCAGTTAGATATCGATGCATTATCATAAGACGGGTTGACAATATTAATATTGTACCCAAGGAATGGTTACATAGAAGGAGAGAAAAATAAATCAAGTACAAATGAATAGGAAATGGCGATATGCCTAGGTTGGGGACCTATATATCAAAATATACATTTATATGGCTAATGACAAGTTTGCGACGAACATTGAAGCCATCATGAGAGAATCACGCCCTATCTAAACTCTGTTATGGCAAGTAAGAGTAAGGTAGGTACCCAAGTACCTACCTAACGTAAGGTCCCCCATCTACATAGGTACATATGATATGTACACACAGAAAGGACGTAAATTGAAATAATTGTTAGGTTATGCAAGCCCTAGGTACATTAGGCGATAAACCCTCTCGCTTCCCGCTAGAGCCCCACCATTCCAAACTTGGATTAGCGGTCTTCTCCCACGGTGCACACTCTGCGATTATGTGCCCGATAATTTTCATCATCCTGTGATGAACCTTTTTCACAATTGCGACCCTCAACAACAACCGCGACTACTAACCAACAACAGCGAGGAATAATCCAATAGGTCTCAGACGCATTTCCCCATTGCGCTCTTGAGCTATTTAATTCCTCCTTCTTTCTCTTCTTTCTTTCCACATTCCTTCTTCTTCACCCCGCGAACCAACCGTGGTGACGATCCGGAAAGATGTCGTCCTTCGAGCCTGTTGTGAGTAACCGACATTATTTATTCAGCATTATTCTTTCCTGGCGAGCGAGGAGGCATACCGAGTTGAATTAGTTGGTGGCCGGCCTACGTTGCCAATTGGAATACTACACAAATCAAAATTCAATTGTACATCGAGACTAATATGAGATTCCTCTTATAGGTCGTCATTGATGGCAAGGGTCACCTTCTCGGTCGACTTGCCAGTATCGTCGCGAAGCAGCTCCTCAACGGTCAGAAGATCGTCGTGGTCCGCTCCGAGGCCCTGAACATCTCGGGCGAATTCTTCCGCTCGAAGCGTACGTAACCTCCACTCTCCAATCATATCGATCTTTTAGGAATTTGTCAGGACTGCGATGTAATTGAACAAGAGCTTGGAAATATTTGATCGGTAGACGCAAATTAGAATACAGCGGCTAATATAATAAACAGTCAAGTACCACGCCTACCTTCGCAAGATGACCCGATACAACCCTACCCGAGGTGGTATGTTCGAACTCTCCCCCGCGGCGATTCTAGATATAGATCGCGACTCGAATTTCGAAGAATATAAGATGTCTAACATATCCTAGGTCCCTTCCACTTCCGTGCCCCTTCAAGGATCTTCTACAAGGCCGTCCGCGGCATGATCCCCCACAAGACTTCCCGAGGCGCCGCCGCATTGGAGCGACTCAAGGTCTTCGAGGGTGTTCCTCCCCCGTACGACAAGCAGAAGAAGATGGTTGTTCCCCAAGCTCTGCGTGTTCTGCGATTGCAACCCGGCCGAAAGTTCTGCACTGTTGGTCGTCTGAGCCACGAGGTCGGCTGGAAGTACCAGGGTGTTGTTGAGAGGTACGTTAAACATGGATTTTCCCCGCTATATCATGTTCCTTATGTGACTTCACGGGAGCATAGGCTGCTATTTCTTAGCGCAAGTTATACTGACTTATCGATGATAGACTTGAGGAGCGCAGAAAGGCAAAGGGTGCCGCGTACTACGAGCGCAAGAAGCTGGCGCTACGACAACAGTCTGAGGCCAAGAAGAACGCCAAGGTCGACAGCAAGACGGTTGACGCCCTCAAGTCTTACGGCTACTAATTGTTTCTTCATCCTTCTGCATTTTTTCCGGGTAACCAAAACAAATACCAGGACAACTCCGTCTCATATTGCAACTAGATCCGGCGTGTGGGTTAGGGAAACTTGATCATATTTGCTCTTGTCATACTGCGCAATTCGAGGGAAGGCAGGGGCGGTTATAGGGTTGGGGATATGTTCACCGGCTCTAGTCCTATGTTCTACGAATTCGTCGTCTAGACACCGAATGAGAAAAACGAACTCAAGAAAGAGAATCCTTGTGATACTGGACTGTGACGCGTTTTACGTGATTTCGTTAGGTTAGCCATGCCATTAATTACACTAATGGTTTTAGGTAGACGACTCTCATAAAGAAGCAGATTCGTTCTCTGATCGATTGAAGACGCCTCCATATAAGTTTCCGGTTCAAATACCTCCAGTTGGTCTTATCCTATCCCCCGTGTAACTACTTGCTTTGGAATGGTTATCTCATGAGATTCTTGGTAACTTACTACATTTTATCTGTCGCATCCTGTGTGATTTCATTCGCTCGCCCTTCTTAATTACATGGAAATTCAACGTAGCACCGTATCTTCTGCCCTTTAAAGTTGCTATATTTATGCCACTATCTCCCTCTTGTAGATCCCCCTAGCAATATATGACGAGGATAGCTCCTGCAATTTTGTGGGAAGGAATTATCTATCAAGAGTTTAAAGCCAGTATTAATTAATAATATAAAAGAGACAAGACTAGTTTTCCCCAGATGAAGCTCCCTTCGGCTATATGAGGTGTTAGTTCCTGGGAGAAGTATTTCTGTGCTATAGGCTATGAGAATATAATCACTAGGTACCTTTTTGGTTATCTCGAAATACGTGTATGTATAGGTTAGGTAGGTAAGTATAAAGTGCAGTGACTAAAGGGATTGATCTACATGTATGTACCCAGGTAGATAGGTTATATGCAACTTGAAACTCCTTCCAAAGGCCAATACAAAGTTTTATTTGTATATTAAATCCTCTTTAATTTCTTCCATTGTTCAGATAGATTACGTTGACTTACTAGGTAGTGCCCGTGACTATTACTGTCTCAGTTACGAGTAATTAAATTTCTTGTTCCTTGTAACTTCTTTCTTAACTACCAGTGTATCTACTTCCTCAGTGTCTATCATTATAAGAGCTAGGTGACTTATAACCAACTCAGCCTCTTGTTTTAAAGGTCACAAAGAAAGGATACCATATGCCCTGGCATGTTTCGGAATAACTTCTCGAACATCTTAAATATTTCTTTTGTTCTGAATCGTGGATTTACCAGGACAGGGTATCTTAGTTCGATCACTAGGATTCCTGTTTCATCCAACTTGTAGTTTATTTGGGAGCTCAAACCTGAGTTAGTAGCTTATTTTAAGCATTAGCTGTCTTCTATGAGGATAGTGATATATATATATATATATATATTAAGTTTCTTACGAGATTCTTGTAATAGTATAGAGACACTAATATTAGAATTGATGGTGTAGTCAAAGTCTCGGCATCCACATCAACGCAATATTAGATTACAACAGGCATAGACTAAAGTGAAATGGTCATTATAGAATGTAATATCCATATTATCAATGGTAAACCCATTTTGCCCCTACATTATCCGGAGTTATATATCCTGATACTAATATAAAGATCAACAGAGGGAATAGATGCAAATCTATATGTAAATAACCTACCTATTCAGACCCTCTTATGTCTCCAAAGAAATCACAAGGCATCAACTTCTCTTGTATCCGAAAGATTATCTACCTAAGTATCTGCATAAGGTACCAATCATCTGTATTACTAATTCTAGTCTCTGGAATATGCGGGTGCTGCATTAGGTACATTTAGGCAGCTACGTGACTGTATTTATCTATCATCTGAACAGGTGTTTCTCTTAGGCATTGTACTTACCTCAGGAAAAAAGTTCTCATTCGCTAGATGCTTTTTCTTTTCGGGAAATCACGATGGTTTAGAAGGTTAGGTAGGTAAATTCCTAAAGTGACTCTTTCTAAACGTTGCTCTTTCCCAACTTCTGCTAATAACTAATCAGTTGCCAAAGAGACGGGTGTAACTGCTGCAAACTTCCAAAACATCTCGCTCTAAAATATTATGCACTGATACCTCAGTTGAACTTAGGTAACTTCCACAGCAACCCGAAATCACGTCAACACTTGACGGGGTAACTACCTCCTACTTAGGATAACATCGCAATGCGTCACCGCACACACTTTTCTGCCAGCTGCGAATTTCCCAGTAACATATTTTTCCAAATCACACTCAACCTATTTCAAATTCCCATCCTAATTATTATCTCTTAACTACACTCCTTCAACTACAATCTTTACAACCACGCACAATCACAAATATTTCGCAACAAATAAAGCTACCTAAGCAGACAGGTAACCCTAGTTACTACCATAAAAGAGTAAGTTGTCTTCTTAAATATTTCTTCAATAGGTATGTTCCTATAATATATCTATCGGATCAAAAAGCTTCAAATACAAAACATTTTCTTTATTACCATCAACTATAATCAAGCCCAATAACACTAAAACTTAACACTGCTAGGACGATTAAGGGTCATCATACCGCCAACAAATCATACAACTAAAGCGATGAATATTCAACTTGACACGCCATCTAAGGATGGTCAAAACAATTACCTTGGTAACCGTTGGCTAGTGCGAAACCAATGCGCTCCTATTACCAACGACCAAAACTGTCGACTATGGATTGAACGTCTACCACCTCTACCGACTGCACATACCATAACCTGCTGTCCTCAATCCGGGATGTAGGCCCTATATACGCCACCCATATTGTACCCCCTATGGCTGAGATTACAGACGTCGGAGTGCATTCCATTCCAACATCGGCGGCTTCCTTAACTTTCTTCAGTCACCATGACGCCAACCTCTTCTTAGTCAAACACGCGACTAGTCAATTCACGGTCAATGGGTATAGAGCTACAATCCTTAGGCACCGTGTCCGAACAGTCTCGGTAGATGTCAATGGCCAATCCCGTGTACTCATCATAAGAGGACATCCATACTGCGTTGATCCCCAGTGGCTTACTTGGCTCTTCACAGAAAAGTTCAAGGTACACTATGACACAGACTATCTGGTTTATACTCCAGGAAAAGTCTCCAGCGAAGTCATTTGGGCCTTTGGAAGTTTCCGGGCACAGGCTCATACAATCTATAACCGTCTAACCCAACAGCATTCAAACTCCATGACGGTTACGTATGGAACAGACCCTTGCGGTGGTAGAGATGGAATATAGGGTGAAGCCATTATATCCGATGGTGTCCATACTAAAAGGACAACATTAAAAATAATAGAGACAGTGAAATAGTGCGTTACATCTCCGTACGTATAAGACTTAACAGGAAGGTATGTTACCGTCGTAACCTCGCACACCGAGAGCCAGGACATATTTACTGACCTAGGCCCTAGTCTCTCAAACAGCATTTTCTATAACTAAACGTATAAGAATACTTGTAATTGATGGAGCGAAAGAAATTTGCAGTCACCAGAAGTCTGAAAACTTTCCATTCCAACAACGGTGCCATCCGGCAACCAATCATTTCAAACTCCCTTAGTTTTGGTGTTAAAAATCTCCCAGGCTAGGTATCAGCGTGCGACCAAGGAATCACGATGAGAGATATGGCTCCCATAAGCGATACGGGGTCACTTATATCCGGAGCCAAGGAACTGACTCAGGTAGCCTTTGGTATAGCAGCACAGATGAGTTTTCATTCAGCACCTAAGCTGTTGTGTGGTTATATTTATTTAATTGGTAATCTACCAATTCACTGCTTTTTGCGAACGACCTAATTCAACCAGCTCTCTCGAGGTGTAGTCAACAGTTTCAGCATAGGACACTCGCCACAGGCTACTTGGAAGGAGATTATCATGGGCACAACCTATGTGCTGTGCCAATTTCCCTTCCATGGAGTAAACTCTTGGGGTCGCTTGGTGCCGTTTGTTACCTTGGCCCTGTTGATAACGCGTTAGTTGAACCACATCTAGAGCTAGGACTGAAATAACGGCAGTTCACCTTTTTAGACCTCCAAGGTATCGTATAATGCCATGCTCAAGATCAAAGAGCGTTACGTCGGTTTTCCAGATGGCCTGCTATTTCATAGGTATATCACCAGTTAGCTATTGGTCTACCAGAAAGCTTGACACAAAGATGATAACTTCACGAGGCGCCTGATATCTGACAACTGAAAGATTTTTGAAGACCATAAAGGATACATCGGCATTCAGGAGATAGAAGGGGACCAGAGGTACACGATATAAGATTCGTATGTTTAAAGGGGAGTGATATTGGGAGAAGAATAACCTGGTACGCCAGTACTTACGCGATGTTCTACATCTGAAAACTGGGCGACAAATTCTCCGGATCGCTCAGCGAGAAGAATGCGCTTGATTAGGTCATTCAAGGAGTTGATTATACGCATAGAAATGACGATATCACGAGGTTTCATGGCCTCTTCGGATTCTCTGGGCTTTGTCGAGTTGAAGCAGATAGCCTTGTAGAGATTCTGTCGAGCCTTGGATGCTTTCATTAAGCTGAGGCTAAGATCGAAGGGTCTTGGAAGGCTTTTGATGAAGTCGGCATAGATGTTGCAGAGTTCCTGTTCTGTGAGGACTAGGTTTCCATCTATACCAACTTCCAATAACTTCGTGGCCCGGCTAAGGACTTCATAGGACGCGGGCTTGAGAACTTGGTTGAAGCGGTTGAGTGCCTGGGCGTTGACAACAATGCAATTATCCGGAATGATGGTAGCTTGGGTGCCTGTGGGATACCACCACGCAGCTCTCGGATTAAGCGCACTGCGAGTCGACATTGAGGAATCCATGATAAAGCAAGGGTTCTTGTGGTGGAATGATGAGGTTGGAAAATAGTTGAAGTGGAGGAGTTGCGGCGCGACGAGAGAAGTATGGAATCAATCAACGGCGGGACAAATGTTGTGTTGCCTCGCGACTGCCTTTCCGTTACATAAGGCAAGGCCGCAGCAATATTATTGAGACAACTTGCCTCGTGATCTTTGGCGGTGACTAAAATGGTGTGCAGTTTTGCCGATGTCTTCACAGCATATCATATAGCATGCAATCAAACTTACTAGAAACATTAGTTAACGAGATAAAGCATATTAAAAAAACCATTCTCATTATGAATAACATTTCACATGTCTTTGACTTGATTGGGACCAAAGGGGGCTTACCGCTGTTCTAGAATCAGAGTAGATGCACACAGAACTAGGCACTCTGATCGTAAGATAGCGATAACTGATCAATAAAACTGCGACTCTTTCCGATCCTCTTTTCATAATTTTGAAAGGAATTCTAGTCTGAGCAAGATGATGTGTTAGCTGAAAAAAGGAAGATTCTATGCATAGGACTGATGGGAGCTTCTAGATACCTTGAGTGTGAACTGGGAGTCGTGGTTGATGACCCAGGTCGGCGACTTCTTTTAGTAATATGGTGATAGTAGTTGATCAATAGTAACCCTGGTTAGACTCAGGTCGGCGATTTCTCTAGAAGTTGAGGTCAAGGATTCACGCCGGTACTTAAAAGTTGTTAAGTAACTTGGAAGAATCAAGTCGGCAACTGGGATAATAAAAATATGTCAATACCTAAATTGTTCCTCTAAGGACTAAAGATTGAGAGCTCAAATCGCAACTGCCTTAGATACCGACTGTAATGCCTAACTGGGATAACAAAGGTCTATTGGCGGCAGGGACGCTAAAGCCTTAAACTTTAATTGCACGCGTTCTATCAATTGAAGGCAGCTACGTCGGATAGGTACCTAGGTAGATATCAAATTAAATATTTTAGGTACCTAAGGTATCTGGTATCGAGCAAATATATTCAAAACACCTCGCAAAAGTTTTTGGAAATTCAGGGGTTCGACCTGGCAGATAGCTGATTCAAATTACTCGAATAGAGTTAACCTATGTAAGTACTTGATCAAGTATAAATAACAGGCACCTAACCTTAGTATTATAGGATTAAGAGGTATTAGAGAGAAATATTAGAGAGAGAATGCTAGACCCCCATTAGCACTGATCAGACTACCTGTACACCAGCCCGACTCTGGGCTACACAGCATAGAAACTATGCCCGCGATCTCATAATCATATGCTGCACGTCCACCAAACTTCTTCCCAAGCTCCTGCACCTCCGGGGTATCTGTCGGTCGAACCGGTACCAGTGGTGTGACGGGATTCCACCGGGCAAGCGTCTGCTTGATCTCGTCCGGCGCCGATAAATACATGTCCGTCATGACAGGACCAGGGTTGATGGTATTGACTGTGGCACGCTCTGCTAACTCGCGGGACATAACCCGTGCTATTGCTTCCAACGCGCCTTTGCTGCCCGCATATAGCGTCGTGCCCTCGGTGCCGATTTTGCTGTTAATACTAGACATCATGACAATCCGACCAGACCTGTCTGTGGGTAGGTATGGCACGAAGACCTGGGTTAGTAGGATAGGACCTAGGACGTTGACGGAATACATCTTATAAAAGTCGGCCTCTGTCACGTCTTCAAGAGACCCGGTAAAACCAAGGCCGGCATTGTGAATAAGGATGTCGAGCTGCAGCTTGCCCGTCTGGGGGTTCGTAAATTGAGTCTTAGCTGCTTCGACAATCTTCTCACAGCCTTCCTTGTTGCTGATATCGGCCCTGACCCAGATAGCTTTCACGCCATGAGCAGTTTGCAGCTCGCTACAGAGATCAGCGGCTGCTTTGTCAGATGCTTCTGTGGCGTGGTTCACGATAATATTGCATCCTTTGCTAGCGAGATTGCGTACGATGGCAGCACCGATACCTGTATATGTTAGAGACATTTCGCTGCATTGTGTTTATAAAGACCACTTACTTCTTGCCGAACCAGTGACGAGGGCTAGTTTCCCTTCATGAATCCGGGGACTGCTGGATGAGGTTGCTTGAGTTTGTGCCATTTTGAGAGAATATAATGTAGGTGACAGGTAATTCTAAAAAAAAAAACGTGACAGCGTTGGAAGCGAGATCCCTATGTGCATAGGAAAAATATCATGCCCAAATTTCTTTATATCCGAGCAACAGGCTTGTTAGACTATTATGTCCATGGTTAGTTATCGTGGCGTTACAGTGCATACGGTGGGCCATTAATTGGTGATGTTGGACTATCACTGGTTCCACACCATCTTCGAAATATGTATATCGTAAGACATTTTCTAAGACGTTGTTGGTTGATTGATTATATGCGGTTATGACAGACCCGGTTTCTCCTATAAAGAAGCGTAGGTCGAAACGAGGGTTCGGTACCCACCAATGTGCGTAGGTAATATGCAAGCTATGAAACTCACCGCATATGAGGTATGTATGTACTCGAACGTTTGGTTACGTCAAGGTTTAATGGATGTAACATCAGTACTGTTGGCGAGCCTGTGCCGCAAATATTGATATTGCATAGAAAGAGAGACGTGGGCAAACGGCGTAGCTCGTTGATCTAATGAAAGGTTCTAAGAACATATCAAGAATAGTTAGATAGATTAGGTAGATTTACATATGTAAATTGACGTGCTAATCATTCATTCGGTTATTTGTTACCAAGTACATAGGTACCTCTATATAGTAGTCTAAAAAGGGGTCCCGGATCGTGAGATACCCCTGTCTCAAGTACTCCCAAATTATTTGGCTAGACAACCTCCATCGATGGGCATAGAAATGCCGGTAACGTAAGATGAAGCATCAGAAGATAGCCAAAGAGACCCCTGTGCGACTTCCCGAGGTAAAGCAAATCGATTCAGGAAGCTGAACTGTTTAGAAAAATCCTCCTCTGAAATATTCATTGCTTTGATAGCAGCAGCTGACATATCGGTCTTTAATTTTTGCTCGTTTATTAGCATTTCCGTCTAAAGTCTTGGTGAGGCGAGGTGATTAAACGGGAACTCTTACATAAATAGCTCCGGGAGCAATAGCGTTGACTCTGATGTTATGAGGACCTCCCTCCATAGCCGCGTGCTTGGTCAGGCCGATTAAAGCATGCTTAGCAGCCGTGTAAGCTGGCATAGTTGGCTGCGGCTTGAAGGCATTGATGGAAGCAATGTTAACGATCGTGCCCTTCCCGCCTTGCCTGATCATCTGCTGCATCTCCCACTTGCAACAGAGCGCCGTGCCCTTCAGATTGATATCTGTGAGCTTGCTCCAGTAATCCTCGTCGAAGTCGATGAGAGGTGTGGTATCCGGGGTCAGAGCGGCGTTGTTAATCGCAGCATCAAGCCGACCGAACTTCGCTACAGTCTTCTCGACTAGACTTCGTACTTCTTCCGACTTTGATATGTCAGCTTTGACGAACAGGACGTCACCAAACTGAGAAAATTCAGCGGCGACCTCCTGTCCTTCCTTCTCCTTGATATTCGCACATGACGACTTTGGCACCGGCTTTGAGAAAGACTTCGGTGGTAGCCTTTCCCATGCCCTGCGCCGCGCCGGTTATGATGGCGACTTTGCCCTTCAGGACAGGGAAAATTTCAACTTCTGGAACGGTAGGAGGCATGATGAATGGTTTTGTGTGTAGTATAGCGTTGATAGTAGTGGCAAACAAGTCCAGATCTGTATTGGTTAACTCAAGTGAAGGTGTTCAGGCGAGTATGTAAATAAAGTGATGGCTGCCGGGGAGGTTGTCACTAATGACTAAAGGGGCTTAGAGACAGAAATGGGCAGGGCTTCCGGGGGCACAGCTACAACTAACAGCATATGCATGAAGCTTCTTCAGGCCCAACCATGCGTCAATGCAACCCTATCCCATGCTTCGTTCTGGAGCCTCCAATGTCGTAGTGTTTCATTCAACCAGGAGCCTCCCCGGTACGGTTAAGATATCGAATTGAATAATTCACCGGTGCTAACATGTACCATGCAATAGTAACAGCAGTTAGTAAACATGATGATGTTAGCTAATAGAGTTTTTATTGAGCTTACAGGTCGCGTCTGTTCGCACTTTCGTCAACCTTCATCAGACTCAACATTTCCCTAGTGCCTGACAATGGAGTCTATTGACGAGTCGAAGGGTTCTCCAGCCATCAATATGCTTACTACCACCACAAAGGACAGTAGCGATATGAACAGTACCAAGGATGATGTCCCGACTCACCTTAGAGGTACCAGCAAACGGGCAATTCAGGTAAGCCAAAGAGCGCGTCACTAATGTAAATCATTCTGATCTTAGTAGGTGTGCGTTACGGCAGCTATGGGTGGCTTTCTCTACGGCTTCTCGGCGAATGCCATGAGTGGGACATTGGCACAGACCAGCTTTATTGCCCAATTCCTGACGACTCCCGATGCGACTGCACGAATGGATGGGTTGTTGGCAAGTTTCCTTGGTGGCGCTTTCATTGGGGCTGTTATACAAGCCCCTATATCAAACAAATGGGGTCGTCGAAAAGCCAATCTGGTCGCAGCCCTCATCGCAATACTGGCTGGTGTCCTGCAATCGGCGTCCTATCACATTGCAATGCTCCTTGTCGCCCGCGTCCTATGCGGCATCGGTGCGGGAATGGTAATGGCTAACAGCCCGGTCTACATGAGCGAAGTGGCACCCCCTCACACTCGTGGGTTACTAGTTGGTCTCCAAGGTGTTGGTATCGTCACAGCCTATATCGCATGCTCGTTGTGCGGGCTCATATTCAGTTTCGTCCAAAATCCCGTCCAGTGGCGTCTAATATTCATAGTTCAAACTGCCGCGGCAGTTATCTTCGCCTGCTCGCTCATCTTTGTTCCGGAGTCACCGCGATGGCTAATGGAAAATGGCAAAGAGGAACAAGCGAGAGCCGAGCTCGAGCGGCTGCATAGCACGAAGTCGGATCCAAAGGGTACTCTTGCTCGCGCTGAGGCGATACAGATCAAGGCTCAAGTTGAAGCGGAGAGAAATCTTCCTAAGGGGTACATCTATATTTTCACAACGCCACACCTTCGAAAGCGGGCGTTCTGTGCCATCTTGTTATGGGTTATGGCGCAAGGCACCGGCATAACCGCCATTGCTAATCTAATACCAGTACTAATGGGCGGTCTTGGATTCGGAACAACTCTTCAACTCGGATTGGGTTGCGCATGGACGGTTGTCTTAATACTTGGATGCGCGGTGAACGTAACTTACGTGGATAGAGTCGGCCGTGTCAGACTTCTTGGTAAGTACTGACTTGCTCACCTCCTGTTGCATTCACTAACAGTGCCGAACTAGTAATTGGAGGTATAGTAAATGCAGTAATTCTGTCTATCATGACGGCATTAATTAAATTCTACCTCGACACCACCTACCAGCCTGGTATCAACGCCATAGTTGCCCTGTACTTCATTTTTGGATTTGCCTTCACCTCGACAATCGAATGTACAGCGTATGTCTACGGCTCAGAGATTTGGCCTACACACCTGCGGAGCGAAGGTTCTACTCTTGCCTATGCATCTTTCTACGGCAATGCTCTTGCGTATAGCGCCCCGGTTAACTTGGCGCTAAAGAACATCGGTTGGAAATATTATCTCGTCTTCGTAGCTGTCACCGTGGTTTCTACAGCATTTCTCGCAATCTACTTCCCAGAGGTAACTTTACATCTTACTAAGTCTACAGTGTACCTATATATTGACTAACGTTCTCTATAGACCAAGAACCTGACGCTTGAAGAAATTAATTCAAAATTCGGGGATGAAGTGGCAGTTGATTTGAAAGATGCCATTGCAACCGAAGTCCATACCGAGATCAGAGGCGATAAGGCACAAGTCTAATGTAATATTCAAAAGATTACCTAGGTTATTGTGATCAAGATGTCGCGGAAGGGGGGCTAGAAGTGATGAAAATGCAGCTTGAGTATTAGTGACTTCTAGTGGTGTAAAATAGTGTATAGTAATTAGTAATTAAGACAATCCAATTTTCTTACATCTATCAGTATATCCTATGCTAGATGAAGAGTTTCTAATATCCTTAACTAACGTGATACTTTGTTACATGATGTTACCTTGTATTTATTATTTTCTCTTTGCTCCCTAAACATTGTAAACTCTGATAGTTGTACGTATGTATTATCCCCTTTCCTAAGCGACCAGAGTTCAATAAAAAATAGGTTTTGAATACCTTAACTACCTAACCTTAAAGTTTACCTGCTAGTTAATGACAATAATAAATTAAAATTTTACGCGTAGGTAAAAGAGTTGGTAACCCCGCGACGCTGCAGAAAATGCAGGGGATTGCATATGACGACCAGGTTCTCCTTAGTTTGGTGGAGTTCGGTAGCGACAAAGAACACTAGGAAATTTTAGAAAGCTGATGAAATCCGATTCGTCTAAATTCCCGAGACCTCGTGTGATTTACAGGGAAATTTCTGTATACATACTGAAAAGTACGTGACGATCTCGTTATACCTATCTTGTTATACATAGATTTTCCTGAAGAATGCATACGTGTGGGCTCACATATGGGGATATGGGGATGTGGAGGGCGCTACTGGTTATCATCTTGGCAACCTGTACACGTAGTTTTTTGTTGTTGGTATCAAGTTGAATAGGTATTCATGGATGTTTTACAGGTGGTATGGCCTCATTACTTCATTGGGTAACCTTATCGTCTGGTGTTTTCCCTTGTACAATGCTCTTTGAATTTATTATTTACAAACAAGAAGAAGCATATATACTAATGAACTAGGTTAGGTAAGAAGTCCAATGGGCTAGTTTCAAAAGACCATTTAGATACTGGTTGATTTCCGGTATGGAATGTGAATGTCACCATATGGCTTAGAAAATGTTTCTTTCTTTCTTTCTTTAGAGTGCGTTAGTTTAATCGAACCTTGTGGACCAACGCTACGGATTTTGACAGCCAACGAGGCTCGGTCCGCATACCTGGTCTCGTCATAGCGTTGAAGCGGCTCAGGGATTGTGCAGCCGTTTCCACTCTGCCAAGAAGAAGTTGTCAATGATTGGACAACCGGCTTCACCTAAACTTGATCCTCACCTTTTACGATAGAAGAGTTCCGTCCGTTTGGTTTTACGGTCTGTAAAATGTAACAATATACTCACAGTCCAACTCTAATCGCCCAAAAACAAAGTCTCGAGTTTCCGGGACGTGCGTAGCTCAGGGCTGAATAGGCGAGGAATCTAACATTTAGACTTTGCTTTGTTTCCCTATGGAGTATCTTGTCGCTACCAACAGTATGTTTCAGGATCTTGATTCATCCGATCCTGGGTTCATGCGAGCTCCATAAGAAAATGGCTGGAATAAGGCATTCGAAGCTTTAAGCCTACGTAGATTTCCATGGGTTAGGATAATACGCGAGGCTTCTCAAGACAAAAATTCGCTCTCAACGACTGCAATGGTAGATGCGGTAGAGGGTAGTTTTATCATATTGAATTTGATGTCTATTATGCAGTATTGTTCCGGTTTTCTAGTATAAAATCAACTTGATAGCGGGCACTCAGATCTCAATAATATGTATACGTTCTATTCTAGTAAAGAAAGAGAGAACAACTGAGGTTGTTATTCTTAGCGAATTGGCGTAATGTCTATGAGTGTCAGGGTCTGTTGTTTGGTCGGGGGGGGTTATGCTTGTAGTCTGGAAATTAGACAGTGAAGAGTTTTGACAACCACTGCCCCTGCTTACACCCCGAGGCTTATGCTATGTACATTTGGTACTTCAAGGGTTGGCAATGTCCTTGCGCTCAGTACCGTGGTTGAATAATCATCATATTACGATGACTCCCAACGGGCATCTCATCAAAGAATAAAAAAAAAAAACAAATAAACTACAAATACCTTTAACTCTAGTAATATTCGATTACTGGCCGGTCCATTAACCTATGAACTCAACGATCTGGAAATCGGTGGCGTCCCGGGGAGTTTCTTATTTGGTGCTTAGAGATCACGATTCGTAATGCCTTTAGGAAATCAGGGCCCATTGGTCATCGCCGTCGTGTGCACGGAAGCCATACTCGCTGGAGGCTTCATTGGTACGCGACTTGCCATTCGCCATTCATCGACCAAAGGTATTGGCATTGACGACTGGTTTCTTATTGCAACTTGGGTAAGTGAACTCAAAACTGGCCCCTCTGAACCATTCAATGTGCTGACCAGGAAAAATAGATCGTACAGGTTGCATTCGTATGTGTCATAACGGTTTCTTGCCATTATGGCTTCGGTCAACATAACACAGATCTCTCCAAGCCGGATGTGCGAATGGCTACTAAGACAGAACTTGTTGCTCAATGCGTTATTTCATGTGCGATGGGACTTAGCAAGGCAGCTGTCGGCATGTTTTTAATGCGCATTGTTGTTCAAACATGGTAGGGTCCAATCCAAGTTCTAATTCGATGAGTATGCTCACAGAAAGATAACTAGGCACAAAGTAGTCCTCTGGTTCTGGATTTCCACGATGATGGGTTGGTTCCTTTGCTTTCCATCACTGTCTTTGCTCAGTGCGTTCCATTCGAGTCTCTCTATGACGAGCGGGTCCCACGCGAATATTGCCCTCTGGATTTAACTACAATTGCATACATCATGTGTTGTAAGTACCCAATAATAATTAGAAAGGCCAACCGAAGCTAACGCGACACAGCTTGGTCTGCTGCGATGGACTTTTTCTTAGCAGGATTCCCTTGGATGGTACTTTGGAAGTTAAACATGGGAAAAAAGGAAAAGATTACAATTTGCGTTTCTCTCAGTTTAGGAATATTGTAAGGTTCACCTCAACAGTGAACTATAGGGTATCTTACTAACTTCAAATAGGGCAGGAATTTGCGGAGTTGTTAGAACGTCCGGCCTCTATGTTCTAAGCCATACCGAGGATTATTTATGTAAGTCAAGAGCCCCACTATTTCATTTCGTCTCTAACACCCCTCCGTAAATATAGTTGCCACCGCCGAATCGGGTGATTTGGACCAGTAGCGAACTTACATTACACTTATTTGCGTATCCGTTCCAGTACTTCGACCGATCTGGGTTCGACTGCTCGGCGGGACCACCTCGGATCGATATTAAAGCAGAGTGAAGGATCACATAATCTAATTACAATAGGGAGGATGAGAAATCCAAGACCTAATGATATGGAGATAGGCTTGGGCACTATTCGGCCTGATGCAAAGAACTCGAATGTGACGACAATTGGTGCCTCTAGGCGGAACTCGGACGACGGCAGTGAGCGGACCATATGAGGGAGAATCAGCTATTCAAAGGACACGGGAAGTTACTGTTGAATACGAGGATAAATACAGGAGGGAGGGACCGAATAGTTACACACGGCTATCATGGTTACTCTATACATATTTAGAACCAGGTTTAGTAGAGAAGCCCGCCATGATGTCAACTACTATTGGTAATATTACGTTGGGTTCCATTAATCTTAGCATAGGTACATCGGTTTATTATTACCATCAAGATATACCTTAAGTCCCTCTTAACGGCATATCAATGGAACGCAAGTGTACCTATATTCTTTTCAAATATACGTCTAACCTAGCATATAGTTTTAATATAATGGTTCACTCTACCTAAAGCACTACCGACCATTGAGTCTTGATTTTAATGATCCTGTTATCTTGAAGCGTAGAACATTAGGAGTCCACTGTTTTGGTCAATTGAGAAGCAGCTTAAGTCATAGCACTTAAGCTCATTCCTATTCCTCCATCAGTTATCAAGCCACGGTCTACATGCCATTACTAGATATGGGGCCCGCCCATGAATGAGACGAGATTAATAATCTCAGCAGGTGTAAAGCACCTCATTAGGATCTCCGACATACTTATTTATCTTAAACCAGGAACAATCTCCATAGCTTTCCTTATCATTGGAGTATATGTAAGTGTAATTAGGATCTTATGGCTGATATTAATAGTAGCTTTAAGGTTACAAGTCAATAGTAAGTTCGAGGTCACGCATAGAATATCATGGTAATATTACATAACAAAAGTAAGCCATGTTTCGTAGTCGCCCAGATTATGCTATCGTATAGCTAACTGATTCCTCAACTACCACATCGAGGTAAACCACGAAAGCCCCATGCTTTGGACGCTGTCTGTTCTGTGGCCTGTAGGTTTAATTCTGCTATAGGGAGGGTTTTTAAACATTTACTTTAGCAAGTGTATTACATCGTGTTTGCCACTATCGCCCCCACCTTTCTTAGCGTATTAAGTGATCAATGGAAAAAGTTCGGAGTTTACCAGAGTTGTGATAACTTCGTATACAGCAATAAGGTAAGGGATTATTTTATTAGAAATGGGTTGAGTTGCTTACCTTTACCAGTTACCAAGCTATACTTAGCGATATCTATGCATATATGACTATTGAACCAAATGAATTCATCTTAGTATGAGACGTGAGGAAGAGTAAGGGTGAGGAGAGAGTTTTATACGGGAAAATATCTCAGAGCTTCGTTAGCTACTTGAAATAGTACTGTTGGTCAATATGACTATTAGTAAAGTCAACTTGATTGTAACCAACATTAAAAAAAATGATTAGTTGGTTGAGAGGTAGATATTCACCGTCACGAAGTGGAACAAAACAGCATGGAAGTAGCTTCGTTGTTCTGCAAGGAACTCTAACCTAATGGCTTTAAAAGTCTACGTCTATACACATCCCCCGAACAAGTACTTTGTTCTAAATCCTGATATTTCCTCTCCTTTATAGCAATGGAATTCATGTGACATGATGGAGAACAGATACATCTCTCGGCAGCTGTTCGAACATAACACATAACTTTGTCATTGGCCCGACGGTTAGTTAGTAGATATATATTTCTGTGTTA